GTGTGTCTGTAGTTGTGTTTTTGTTGTGTGTTTGTAGTTGTGTGTCTGTAGTTGTGTGTTTGTCGTTGTGTGTTTGTAGTTGTGTGTCTGTAGTTGTGTTTGTAGTTGTGTGTCTGTAGTTGTGTGTTTGTAGTTGTGTGTTTGTCGTTGTGTGTTTGTAGTTGTGTGTCTGTAGTTGTGTCTGTAGTTGTGTGTTTGTAGCTGTGCGTTGTTGTGTGTTAGTAGATGTGTTTCTGTAGTTGTGTGTTTGCAGTTGTGTGGTTGTAGTTGTGTTTCTGTAGTTGTGTATTTTGTGTAGTTTTGAGTGTAGTATTTTGTAGCTGTGTGCAGTTGTGTGTGTGTGTGTGTGTGTGTGTGTGTGTGTGTGTGTGTGTGTGTGTGTGTGTGTGTGTGTGTGTGTGTGTGTGTGTGTGTGTGTGTGTGTGTGCAGTTTTGTGTGTAGTATTTTGTAGCTGTGTGTAGTTGTGTGTGTAGTTTTGTGTAGTTGTAATTCAAACATTTATCATGTAAATTCTCGACAAATTAATAAAAATTTACACAAAAATAACTTGTTCCAATAACTGGACTCTGTGATTGTATGATGAGCTCCAGGACTTCTCTCTTGGTTCTGAGGTGGCATGTCCAAACGGGTCTCAGCTGCAACCCTAAAACAGAACATCCACCATGCAGAGCAGGAATACGGGTGTTGCTGTCAGCTCCAGGCTCCAGGCTTACATGCAGGTTATTCTATAAAGATGTCTTCAGTTGGACAGGAGTACCCGACATGCTCCTTGTAATACTGCTGGAACGCCCTCCTGAAGACCAGAGAAGCAATCAGATTAGTGTGTACGTGTGTGTGTGTGTGTGTGTGTTAGGGGTTGTATCTACTATTTGACTAGTCGACTTCACTGCTCTGTAGTGACTTTTTATGCCTTTCATAGACTAGTCGCTGTCACGTGATAATGACAGACAAGATGCAGTCCTCGGAAAAGACAGTAGGTGACGAGCCCCTGCGCGTCGGGAGGTGACGCGCTGTGTCAGAGCGTCGGTATCTAACGCCTGCCGTAAAACGAACATTTGACCGAATTGTGACGTTTACCCTCTTGCAATTTAACCTTCCCCTCACCCCCATCCTAACCTTAACCAGCTTGCACATGCAAAGCTCTGATTGTTGATGTGCTCCAGACATCTGCATCCCGAGCACGGCCACAGTAACATTATCAAATCAGGTTTCGCCACCTCAAAAACAAATTTAACACGCGATCGTTCATGTCGGCTCATTTCCTTTTATGTTTTCTGTCTTTTGTTTGTGCCTGATGCGTTTCGCTGCTGTGGAGCGGAGCGCATCACCTGTTTTGTCCTCCGGTGATGCACCTCACTGGTGCGGCCGGCACGCAGCGCGCACTGCACTGTTTTGGTCGGTAGATCTTTTAGAACTGCAGTTCAAAGGTAACTCATGAGGTGAATATATATGAACCCAGGTAACAGTTTTTCTTTAGGACTGAGAGGAGATGCAGGAAGATAATAAACAGGCAGGACAGAGAAATAGTCAAATAAAAACAACTTAGTTTTTGTACCTGGTGGTTGCAACAAACAGACACCACTGAAGGTAATCAGAAGTGAGGAACAGAAAATGAAATAATTATTTTAATGTTTAGAGCAGCAGGAACTCTGAGAGGCTGCAGGCGCATTAGTGAGTTTGCCGCCACTGCGCAGGGGGAGAGGGGAGAGGGTTGAAGCAGGATGCAGAAACTACCATTGTTAAAAGAGACGTGTTTCACTAGAAAATGTGGGTGGGCGCAATTTTAATTGTCAAAAACTCCAGCGAACCAACCCGCTTCAGGTGTATGACGTCATCAACGACTAGTCAAAGTCGACTCGATTTTCATTACTTGACTGTTGACTTAAAAAAAATTAAGTCATGCAGCCCCTAGAGAGAGTGTGTGTGTGTGTGTGTGTGTGTGTGTGTGTGTGTGTGTGTGTGTGTGTGTGTGTGTGTGCGTCCCATCTACCGGGTCACCTGTCTACATGCCAGTCTACACAGAAGCCTTCCTGACCTACATGGGTCTTACCTGACAGACTCGCCCAGGGGGTGGAGCGTTGTGTCTGACATCAGGACATGGCAGGCGAAGCGCTGCTGGTCGGGATGTTTGGTGATGAATCCAAAATATCTGCAGCAGAAAACCAGGGATGAACCCGTTAGATGAAATGAAACAGATTAATACTGACTTCATGTTGGACCCACCTGTTGTGTTTGGGATGGCAGCCACAGAATGAGATGTTCTTCAGCTGGAAAAAGTGGAAACACTGGCCTCCCTGGCAAGAACAAAGAACAATGCGAGTTCAGAGACTACATTTAGGTCTAGTTAATGAACTACTATTATAGGTATAGTAGCTGTCTGCTACTACTACTATAGTTACTGAAGTTCCTCTCCAGGAGTTCCACAGGGCTCTTTTCTATGGCTCCTTTCACTTAGATTTAATTTAAACATAAACCCTATTTTAATCTCATCCTGCTCCTACTCTGGTATTTTGACCCCTGATGGCAAACATGGGGTGCTGTACATCTGCGTTCAGGTGTTCCAGCAGGTGAACAGGTGACCTACCCGGTGAGCAGACTGACACTGGTCCTGGACACTCATCTTTACCCCCTCCACGCTGACCTCCAGCACACAGGCTGCCGGTGGCTGACTGGTTGACCGCCTATTACAGACCACCTGTAAACACACAAAACTGGATCAAGTCTCGACTGAAGGTTGATCTGCATGTGTGGAACCAGCTATTGGTAGCTATTCTTGGATCCAGGTGAACTTTTTTTTTACCTTCTGCATTGCTGCACACAGCACATCATTGCCCATGTGGACAGGGACCTGAACCGAACCCAGAAACCGAACCACAAACTGCTCTGCCCAGCCATCATGTCGGACTGCAAGACAAGAACCAGAACCGGGCTGTGGGTCAGAACCATCGGTCAGAACTTAGGTGACTGAACAACTGTGAGTTCTGCTGGGATGTAGTGTACCGTGGATCTGGTTTTTGGGGACCCGAACAGAGTAGAATGCAGGGAAGATTCCTGTGGCTCCGGTCCTCATGTTGTAGCCCTGACACCACAGATCCTCGCTCCGGGTTAGCATCAGAATCGGGTCATCCGTCTCCAGTTGAAGCTCATCTGCATGACGAGGAACAAACCTACGACAGGACGGAACGCTGGAATCATGCTTTTGTGTCTGTTGAGATTCTGTTGTGTGTCTCTATGTCTGAGAGTCTTGTAATGAGTCATTAGGGAGTCTATAGGGTGTTTGTTAGGAGTTTGTTGTAAGTCTGTGCAGACCTGTAAACAGCTCTGTGGCTTTGCTGCCTCTCCACCCCATCAAGAACACAGGAGAACAACCCAAATGGACCAGCTCCTGAGCAGAACAGAACTGACATTAAAATTCTGACCCAACAGCTGAGAACATCTAAAGAACCTAACATGTTGACTTAAACCACTGCAGTTAGCCTGGCCTGCCAGACTCCTGTTTAATTCTGCACAGAGAAAGACTCTGGGAACTCTCCTATTCAAATAACCCCGCCCCCTGAGAATTCTAACCGAGCCAATCAGCACTGAGTAGCGTACGTCACACACCATAACGGCGAGTTTGTCGAACATGGCGACTGAAGTGGAATTCGCTGCGGCTCTTTCCTCTGGTCTAAATGACTTGAATGTCTTTAAAACAACAACAAGTAGAAGCGCTAAAAGCCTTTCTTCAAAAAAAAAAAAAAAAAGATGTTTGCGCCGTTGCCAGACGCCTTTTTTTTTACTACAGCTAAAAAAAAAACGACAGCGTCGCGCGGTTCAGTCGGCATTTCCGTCTTTTTGCTGATTGGTTATTTTTGAGCTGCCTTGTCCCGCCCCTCATGTGCCACTCTGCCTGTGAGTTACCAGACGTTCTCTGTGCAGAATTAAACAGAGGAGGTATGTTTTAAGCCCCACCCACTCCATTTAAACCAATGGGACTCTGTGTCCATCCACATCATATTTCCAGCTGTATCAAACATGGCCAGTTATATTTTTGTTTATTAAACACTGATCATCTGCAGCTTTATTAGGGATTAAAGCTAAAATCCAGCTTTTTGCCCAGTTTGCTCCCTCCAGAGGAAACGCTTACAGGTGAGTCATAAAGACTTTTATAAACGTGTCTGGAGATTTATTTACAGCTAACTGTGGCTAAAGCTAAACTTTGGTGTGTTTTTCTCATCCATCCATCCATTTTCTGAACCCACTTGTCCACGTAGGGTCGCAGGGGGGGCTGGTGCCTGTCTCCAGCGGTCAATGGGCAATCAGGCGGGGTACACCCTGGACAGAGAGCCAGTCCATCGCAGGGCAACACAGAAACACACAGGACAAACAACCATGCACACTCACACTCACACCTAAGGACAATTTAGACAGACCAATCAACCTAACAGTCATGTTTTTGGACTGTGGGAGGAAGCCGGAGTACCCGGAGAGAACCCACGCATGCACAGGGAGAACATGCAAACTCCATGCAGAAAGATCCCAGGCCAGGAAGCGAACCCCGGATCTTCTAGCTGCAAGGCAACAGCTCTAACCACTGCGCCACTGCGCAGCCCATGTGTTTTTCTCATTTCTCATAAACAAAAGCAAAACATAAAAAGTTCCCAATAACCCCAAAAACTTTCAGATAACCGATATTTAAACTTTATATCAGACTTCATCGCAAACTTAAAAAGATGAATAGGTTCCAGATCCAACACCAGGTGCACCTGCAGGTAAAACTCACCTGTGGAGCTGTACTGGTTGCTGCTATTGGCAAACAGGTTAAGAAACTTCCTGCTTCTTGGAACTCCGCCTCTTCCTCCGTTGGACTCGTCTTCCTCTGAGGTCGTGGCTGATGTCACCTTTGAAGTTCTGCAGACCTTCACAACGGCAACCACGTCCTTCCTTCTCTTCACCTCCTCTTCCCTTCTCCTCTTCAGATCCTCCTCTCTCCTCTTTCTCACCTCCTCCTCCTCTCTTCTTTTCTTTTCCTCCTCCTTTTTTCTCTCTTGGAGCAAAAACAGGAAGATACTAAACTGATATCCATTTCAACACCTTTAACATTGTTTTACCTTTTTTATGTAAATGTTTTATGAAACAATAAAAATGATCAGTGATTATTTTAAATGCAAATAAAACTCTAATTTATGAGGGAACGTTTCTGCTCCTATGTAATAAAATAATGTTTTATGCAGGTACCAAACCAGACAGGTGAGCCGTATCTGCGGCGTGTCAGGTCAGTCCAAGCCTCCACGGTGTTTGTGACCCAGAACTAAAACAAGCTGCTGGATTTCGGATCGGAACCATTTCAGAAACTCACTTGTTTACCTGATCGTTTGTTTGCTGTTTCAGTTGATTAAAGGTCATGTGGAGGTTCTGGTTCTGGCGTTAGTAAACATTTGTTTTTCTCTTCCTCCTCCTCTGTTTTCATCCTCCCATGTTCTAAGAGGAGCATCCCACCTCCCCTATCTTGCAGCCGGTACCTGTCTCCTCCCACACTACCTGGCTCCTCCCACTCTATCTGGCTCCTCCCACTCTACCTGGCTCCTCCCACTCTACCTAGCTCCTCCCACACTACCTGGCTCGTCCCACACGACCTGGCTCGTCCCACACGACCTGGCTCCTCCCACTCTATCTGGCTCCTCCCACTCTACCTGGCTCCTCCCACTCTACCTGGCTCCTCCCACACGACCTGGCTCCTCCCACACGACCTGGCTCCTCCCACACGACCTGTCTCCTCCCACACGACCTGTCTCCTCCCACATTACCTGACTCGTCCCACTCTACCTGTCTCCTCCCACACTACCTGGCTCCTCCCACTCTACCTGGCTCCTCCCACACGACCTGGCTCATCCCAGCTGCAAGCTCCCAGCTAAAGGAAATCACAGTCTGAGACTAAAGGAGGAAGCACGGCTTAAAATACTCCTGCATCTCATTCTCAGTGAGCAGCTGACCGGGGCGTTGGTTGTCTTTTCAACATGCTTCGTAACTGATTAGTGTTTCTGTGTTTTCTCTGAATGACGGGAGCAGGAGAGTCCCCGATGAAGATGTCTAGAGTCTGAATGATCCAAGCGAGTCCCTGATTGGATGTGTAGTGGTTACGGCTTAAACAGCGATTTAATTAGCGACGGTCAGATGAAACCTGGCGATGAACTGAAGCTTTCCTTCCAACTGGGAGGATTAATTTGCTCTGCTGCACCATCAAGTGGACGATTTAGGTAAAGCCGACACGGTGATTACGATGATGTCACGCGTGACCTTTATAAACTGAAGAGATAAAATGTTTGTGATTCTGAATTTTGTCCTAATCTGTCCTTTTAATGATGTCTGGTAGGCGACAAACGGTTATGGTCTGTATCTGTAGAGACCCTTCTACTCCCCCCAAGGCGCTTCACACATCAGTCATTCACACGCTGGTGGTGATGAGCTACAATGTAGCCACAGCTGCCCTGGGGCGCGCTGACAGAGGCGAATCTGCCGAGCACAGACACCACCGGTCCCTCCGACCACCGCCAGCAGGCGAGACAGGTTTAGTGTCTTGCCCAAGGACACAACAGCAACATTCTCTGGTCGGAGCCGGGATCGAACCTGCAACCTTCTGATTACTGGACAACCCGCTCCACCTCCTGAGATGCCGCTGCCCCGACAACTCCACAACAACACATGACGGGGAATCAGCAGCCAGTGTTTTGCCACCGAGCCAGTTCTTGACTCGGTCATGTGGTACGGACTGACAGCAGGGTCTCAAACGTCGCTACAAGCCTCAACACGCGCGTCACAAAAAAGTCTCCCTGGGTTACCTGGCACACTTGGAAGCGTCGACACAAAGGACACATCACTGCAGCCGGTTCAGCTCCATCAGAGTGCCTGGTGTTCATTCGTTTGTGTCGTCTGGGTGAGGTTTATGCCTGATGTCATTAATCTCTTTAAACCCCCTGATCTGCCCATGTCACGTGTCCTCCATGTTCCCACACATCCCCTACACACCTGGGTCCTAACACTAAGGTTGTTTCTCAGTTCTGGACTCTGATGATGCAGGTCTTTCACCTACCCAAGCTTCTCGTCTCATCACTCCTCTTCCTCTCCTGCTCATACTCGGGATCTTCGTCCTCATTGGCCGACTGGTAGATGGTCTCTGTGTCACTGTCCTCGTGCTCGTTGGATGGATTGGACCCAGTGGACCCCTGAAGACACGTTTTTAGGTTGATGAGCTCCAGCTGAGTGTGCTCGTCCACCACCAGGGTGTATTTAACAGAGTCATAGTTCAACCCAGCTGCAGCCTCGCCCTGCGGGTCGGACCGGACCGACACCTCGTCTCTCCCTGAATCTGCCTCCGACTCAGTCCAGTCCATCTCAGGTTTGTCTTCACCTACGGAGCAGCAGGTGAGCTTGTTCTGGACGGGCAGACAGGGAGTGGGTTCTCCTTCACAGTCTTCTTCTCTGATGTCTGGGTTGGTTCTGTTGGACTGAGTTGGATGTAGTGGTTCTGGAGGGGGTCCCTCTGTGTCTGAGCTCAGGGACATCCTGTTGGACCCCCCCTCGCTGCTGGACCGGGACAGTACAGGAGGGTTTTCCTGGGTTCTGTCGTGGTTTTGTCCTGGAAAAACAAAGCTGGATTAACAGGTGTGTAAATTGCTGAAATAGTAGAAACTCAAAGTAAAAAAACACTAAATAAAATAAATGTGCTGATTGAGGTTCACTGGATTTGTTTAAACGCTGACGGATCAAACGTTTCAGGTGTTCAGGCTTCTCCAGCTGACTGGACCAGCGCCGTGTCTAAAGACCCCATCAGACTAACCACAAGTTCCTCGACAGGAGGTACCGGATCTAACGTGTCCGAGAACAGGAAGCAAAAATATACTTATTTAGTTCAACTAAATAAAATAAAAACAAATTTTAACTGAAACACACCGACTCTGGCCAACGCGTGCTGCTAACTCTCATAGATCTGTCTGCAGACCACACTCTCCTAGCAGGGCTAGAGCGGCTGGAGGGCTTAACTGATCTGCTCTGGGTTGTTTCCTTCCTGGCCTCCAGAGCTTTAGAGCGCTGGTTACTTTGCTGAAATGGAGTTTTCGTCAAGACCATACACGGTCCTGTTCTTCAGAGAATCAGCTGATCCAATATTTTTCTCAGTTTGAAAAGGAAAAGTTCTGGAAGATCACACCTGTAAGTCCTTACCAGCAGGGGCGGATCTACAAAATTATTGATGGGGTGGCAGAAGAGGGGCAAACATTTTTCTAGGGTGGCAATACACACACATACACACACACACACACACACAATATTTCACTGCACTGAGATATTGTACTTTGGTTCTATTGTTCACTCAGAAACACGTTTTTCTTTTCCCAGTATTTACATATTCATTTGTTTTGGGTCCTCATTTATAAGCTTAAAGGCCCATCACGAAAATAAAACACATAATAAAATTATATCCTTCCTACAACAGCTGAATGCGGCAGTTTCCATGTTGCTCAGCAAAACTATTTACACATTCATCAAGATTCAAAGATTCTGCCCGTTTCGATTCAATGCTGAGTACAGCCTAGCTTCATAGTCTTTTCTCTGCCAAAGCAGACTGCAAATAGGTCTTTATGAGCCTGAGGGTTGAAAAACTTTGATTTTTCTTGAATTTATAGCTGCCAGCTGGGGTGGCAGCAGGGGTAGCAAGGCTTTCTTTTAGGGTGGCAACTGCCACCCTATGCCACCCTTGTAGATCTGCCCCTGCTTACCAGATATGTTTCTGACCAACCTGACTACATTATTTTAGACTGCAGGATTCAGAAGATTCTCTTTAGTTTGGGTGAATTTTTTGGGTCAGAACAAGACAGAGTTGTGTCTTCAAGCTAAAGGGGCTTCCTCACCTTGGTTCTGGGTCTTCTCCTGGTTCCTCTGTGCTACAGGTGTGCGCGGGACCACCATGGCAGGTAGGTAAACCTCCTGGTTGGACAGCTTGTTGTTCAGCTTGATGTTTCCTCTGTTGCTGACCTTTGACCCTCCTCTTCCTCTCCCATCAGCCAGCCGACCTTTCAGTCCGTTCACCTCCTTCTGTCTCTGATGTCCGTTCCTGTCTTTGTCTCTGGTCCTGGACTCCTCGCAGAGTCGTCCTCCTCTTCGATCCGTCACTCCATCCTTCCCTTTGAGCTCCCCGAGGCTCCTCTCCCTCACCGCTCCTCGTCCCCCGCCCCTCCCTCCTCCTCCTGCTCCACCTCCCCCGGCTCGCCGCTGACTCCTCGGTGTGCCAGAGAGCTGCGTGGCTGCAGATCCAAGTCGTTCTCGTGGTCGAACGGCCTGAACGTTGGTTCTGCTGTTCGGCCCACTGGCTGTGGGCGGTTTTGGTGCCGGCCGGCGCTGAACACCAGAACGGACTTTGTCCTCCACTTTGGGCTGAGCATCCTGAGGTGGTTGATCTCCTGATCACACAAAGGAACAACAGATTATGTTACTCAACATGGGGAGCAGAGGGATTATCAGATTTTGAGATCAGTCTGGATTAATGTTGCAGCAAACTTTTATTCTGGAGAACCTGCTGAAACAGGCTTTGAGCTCCTCCATCCTGAAGTTAGAAAACCAGCTGAAAAGGATCAAAGGTCATCACACTGAAGCTGGAGGACAGGAACTTCACTCTGAGGGTTCGTATCAATCCTGTTCTCAGGTCCCAGCTCAAAGGCTCCGCCCACCTCTGACTAGAACATGGACAGTAAATGGTGCATGGCTTGGTTTTGTACAGCCCCTTCTAAGGTTCTAAACCCCCCAAGGGGCTTCTCAACACACCCAGTCATTCACCCACACACACATTCACACACTGGTGGCGATAAGCTACATCGTAGCCACAGCTGCCCTGGGGCGCTCTGACACCAACGCACAGACGCCACCGTTCCCTCCGACCACCCCCAGCGGCCAGAGAGGGTGCAGTGTCTTGCCCAAGGACACAACGACTGCAACTGACTGAGTGGGACTGGATCCCGCAACCCTCCAGTCATGAGAAAGGAACTTAAAGCTACAATCTGTAGTATTTTTTATCCGACAGCACGAATGTTTCGTACCTTAAGCCGTTGTTGTCACTAGTATAGTTACAGCAAAAAGCAACACCTCTGGTTGGTGAACGCAGCTCTAGCCGCCTAAAACACGTCGTTTTCCAATTATTCTCCTCACGTTTTCTGCTGCCTCTGGGCCAGGACTCCCTTGAAAATGAGTTTTTTAATCTCAGTGGGATGTTTCTGGTTAAATAAAGAATAAATAAAATAAAAAATGTTATGCTGTTTATTCACATATATATAGTTCTTCACCACCCTCTCCTTGTTCTGCTCTTATTCCGCCTTTCTCGGGATCCACTGATTTCCTTCTTTCCTTTTCATTTTCTCTCTCCCTTTCCTTACATTTTTTTCTTTTCTTCCTTTAAACATATTTTTAATCATTTTTTAAATATTTGAATGTTTTTATGTGTTTTTGTGATTTTTATCTATATTTAAGCCACATATAAACGATGTGAAAACTAAAATAGCTAAAACAATTGCAATGTTACATAGAGTAAAATGGTCACTGGATGATAGCCCCCTATATTTATTATATAATTCACTTACTGCACCATGTTTGAACTATTGTATAGAAATCTGGGGCACAACATATAAAACTTATACAAATTATATCTATATATTGCAAAAAAAAAGCTATAAGAATCGTTACAAGGAGTAATTACAGAGATCCATCTAACCCGTTATTCATAAAAACAAAAACATTAAAATTCTATGACTTAGTGGACTATAATATTTCTAAATTTATGTATAATGCAAACAAAAAAAAACTTCCAAAAATTTACTTAGAAGATTTATAAAAAGACAGAGTAAATATAAACTAAAAGGACATGAATTATTTACAATACCTAAGCACAGAATAATTATAAAGGAGCGCTGTGTCTCAATATATGGAGTTAAAATATGGAATAAGCTAGGTAATGTAATCAAGGAAGCGAAAACGATATTTACTTTCAAAAAACTAAAAAATGAAATACTGGAATCATATACGTGCAAATCAATTATATGAAAAAATAGAAAATAGTAAATAAATAAAGCTATAGAAGATGTGTGTAGGTATATTCATGTGTGTATGTATAAATATGTATGAATGTTTCTTTATGTGTATATGTAGTGGATACGTGTGTATATCTATATGTAGCTGTATAGATGAAGTGCGACCATATGGGCATGCGATGCACTTTAATGTGTATATATATGAATAGGTATGTGAGCAAAAATCCTTTTGCTTTTTGAATTATTATTACTATTAATTTTTTCTTTCTTCTTTACAAATTGAACTCAAGTTAGCTAACCAGTCGAGCAATTACTTTGTACAGGCTAATTTATACTTATTGTTATTTCAGGGTAAATATGTCATTTTAGTTAAAAAGGGGCAGATAACACAAGGTTTCTTCTTTCTGTTCCCTTTTTAATAATAAATGAAATAAATAATTTTAAAAAATAATCTTGAGAGGTGCTATATAAAAGATCATCTTCTTCCATCAAACTCTGAGCCGATGTAGCTACGAGCTAACTGAGCTAACTAAAGCTAACAGAGGTTGGCGAACTTTTTAAGTCAGAAAGCCACAGCTGGGTGACTCTGCTAACCTCTGCCTTCTAGTCTTTAGAACTTTTATAGTGAGGCCGAGGCCGAGGCCTTCCCTAGAGCATGCAGGGGGGCAAGCTGCTAGCACTGACAGCTCATCTGCTTCCTGTCAATTAAAGGACATGCCCCTAATTAATTATTCAGAATTTCAAGTTTTAATTATAAACATAAACAGAAAAATTCACCCCTCTTACAACTACTGCACACTGGCAGCAAAAGAGGCGCGGAATGGCAGCGCTTCACATAAAATCCATTATGGGGAGCCTAAGTCTCCTCCCTTTCCGGTCGGGTCGAGGGTCCCCAGAAGACAGAACAATTAATGCAAGTAAACGGGGCTAAAATAGTTATTTTCTTACCCGCTCTGCCTTACCCCCTGGATCGTACATATGTTGTACTGCAATTTAAATGAAAAGTAATGATGGATGTTTCCGTTACTTTTGCTTCCAGTGTGCAGTAGGTGTTAGAGTTGTCATGAATGTAAACTAGATCTATTAAACCTAAAATGTCTTTGAACCAGGCTGTAAACATGTTTCTTTCTGCTGTGAAACTGGTATTTTTAACATGGGAGTCAATGGTAACTTGCTCCTTTCTGGAGCCAGCTCCTAGTGGATGAGGGGGGAACTGCAGTTTATTTCACATCCATGTTGGCTCCACTTTTGGCTACCAGAGTTTGTCTCTTGTTTAGGACAATTATTCAAATTAAAAACAGTTCATACCTGTAACATATACACACCTGTAAAAGTTACTTACCTGTAACGTATTCACACCTGTAACATATTCCCACCTTTAACATATACACACACCTGTAACATGTTCATACCTGTAACATGTTCACACCTGTAACATATTCCCACCTTTAACATATACACACACCTGTAACATGTTCATACCTGTAACATGTTCACACCTGTAACAGATACATATCTGTAGCATGTTCACACCTGTAACATATTCACACCTGTAACATGTTCGCACCTGTAACATGTTCACACCTGTAACATGTTCACACCTGTAACAGATACATATCTGTAGCATTTTCACACCTGTAACATATTCCCACCTTTAACATATACACACACCTGTAACATGTTCATACCTGTAACATGTTCACACCTGTAACATATTCACACCTGTAACATGTTCGCACCTGTAACATGTTCACACCTGTAACAGATACATATCTGTAGCATGTTCACACCTGTAACATATTCCCACCTTTAACATATACACACACCTGTAACATGTTCATACCTGTAACATGTTCACACCTGTAACATATTCACACCTGTAACATGTTCGCACCTGTAACATGTTCACACCTGTAACATGTTCACACCTGTAACAGATACATATCTGTAACATGTTCACACCTGTAACAGATACATATCTGTAGCATGTTCACACCTGTAACATATTCACACCTGTAACATGTTCGCACCTGTAACATGTTCACACCTGTAACAGATACATATCTGTAGCATGTTCACACCTGTAACATATTCCCACCTTTAACATATACACACACCTGTAACATGTTCATACCTGTAACATGTTCACACCTGTAACATATTCACACCTGTAACATGTTCGCACCTGTAACATGTTCACACCTGTAACAGATACATATCTGTAGCATGTTCACACCTGTAACATATTCCCACCTTTAACATATACACACACCTGTAACATGTTCATACCTGTAACATGTTCACACCTGTAACATATTCACACCTGTAACATGTTCACACCTGTAACATGTTCACACCTGTAAAATGTTCACACCTGTAACATGTTCACACCTGTAACAGATACATATCTGTAGCATGTTCACACCTGTAACATATTCACACCTGTAACATGTTCGCACCTGTAACAGACACTCCAGGAGTACCCCCCACAGGGACCCCTAGGGAAGCAATCAAACACCTTCTCCAAATTCACAAAACACATGTAGATTGGTCGGGCAAACTCCCACGCACCCTCCAGGACCCCCATAAGGGTACTGAGCTGGTCCAGTGTTCCACGGCCAGGACGAAAACCACATTGTTTCTCCTGAATCCGAGGTTCGACAATCCGATGGACCCTCCTCTCTAGAACCCCTGAATAGACCTTACCATGTAGGCTCAGGAGTGTGATCCCCCTGTAGTTGGAACACGTCCTGCGGTTCCCCTTTTTAAATAGGGGGACCGCCAGTCCAGTGGGACTGCCCCCGATGTCCACGCGATACTGCAAAGCCGCGTCAACCAACACAAGACCAACACCCAGAGCCTTAAGGACCTCCAGGTGGATCTCATCCACCCCCGGAGCCTTGCCACAGGAGTTGTAGAGGTCAGCACACCATCATCACTATAAACAGTGTTGATAGCACACTGCTTTTCCCTCCTGAGACGCCGGATGGTTGACCAGTATCTCCTCGAAGCCATACGGAAGTCTTGCTCCATGGTCTCACCCAACTCCTCTCACACCCGGGTTTTTGCCTCCACGACCAACCAAGCCGCATTCTGCTTTGACTGCCAGTGTCCATCAGCTGCCTCTGGAGTCCCACAAAAAGACCCAAAAGGACTCTTTCTTCAGCTTGACAGCCTCCCTAACTGCCGGTGTCCACCAGCAGGTTCAGGGGTTGCCACCATGACAAACACAGACAACCCTGCGGCCACAGCTCCGGTCAGCCGCCTCAACAATAGAAGCACATATCATGACCCACTCGGACTCAATGTTCATTGCTTCCCTCGTGACGTCCTTCCAACCTTTTTTGAGGAAACTGGTTCCAGAGCCAGAGCCTCTGCGTTGAGGTGAGTCCAACTTTATTTTATTTAACCAGATGAGTGGAATGAGAACTCGTTCTCATTTCCAACAACCATCTGGCCGAGGCAGCAGCAGACTCATGGTTAGCTTTACACCAAAGAAAACCAGGTAAGATAAAAAAAATAGACAATCTACATCTAGCCGGAACCTCTCAACCACACACCAACTCCGGCAACATATAAACACGCCCTTAACATGTTCACACCTGTAACACACAAGAAGAAGAAGAAGAAGAAGAAGAAGAAGAAGAAGAAGAAGAAGAAGAAGAAGAAGAAGAAGAAGAAGAAGAAGAAGAAGAAGAAGAAGAAGAAGAAGAAGAAGAAGAAAATATAATTTCTATATGTCACAAGTCAGTGACTCGATGCAATCGGCGGGGTTTTTCTACATAAAAACGTTTTTAATGAACTGAACTTAAGGCACTGATGAGCAGGTTCAGTTGAAATGTTGAGTTAGTAAGGTGCTTTAAGAAGACTCTTGGCACTACAAATAAACCGAACTGAACGTGTTCACACCCGTAACGTGTGCTCATACCTGTGACATGCGGGGAGGAGGAGTGGGAGTCCTTCCAGCTGTCCTTCTTGCCTAAAGAGTTGTTGTTGATGGAGTCCTGAAAAGAGTAAACGAGACATAGTGAGAGAAATCCATTCACAGGCACATCTTTTGTCTCATCAGTGTCAGGATTTCATATTTCGGAATGCTGGTTCACACGAGATTCCTAAATGCATTTGCTTTCCCGTCTCAAGCCTCATTTGGTTGCCATGGTTACTTTGTGTGTGTGTGTGTGTGTGTGTGTGTGTGTGTGTGTGTGTGTGTGTGTGTGTGTGTGTGTGTGTGTGTGTGTGTGTGTGTGTGTGTGTGTGTGTGTGTGTGTGTGTGTGTGTGTGTGTGTGTGTGTGTGTTTCTGTAAACACGCTTCTGTTGTGACTTCCTGATCTATTTTCTATTTTAAAGCTGCAATGAAAATATGAGCTAAAACATGTTTTCATGCCTCTTAACAACATTCTGACAGTACAGGTATGGATATATGCGGAGATTTTAAACATTAATAAAGTGGTTCTCTCTCATTCATCTAAAAACCTCCACCAATAACACGTTTCGCACCAAAACCAACCATCGGACCATCCGGTTGTCGGTCTCACCGAACCGCCGCACCTCCCTGGGTCTTCCACTCATCACACACTCACGTGTTCGGCAGCAGAACACCGCTGGTGTGAGAGGTTCTCCGCTCAGTAACATCAGAGGAGGAGAAGCAGCCGGCTGCTACCGCTGCAGCTTCAGGACAAACTACCAGAGTCCCAAAAAGAAAAACACGGACAACAAAAGACATTCGGACCTAGAAAAGAGAGACCGGTGTGTGTCTGTATCTCGTTTCCTCAGGCATCGCGGGTTTCCCCGGTGGACGGGTGGGTGTTCCGTGGCCGTGTTTGTGTTGAAACCAGTTTGGTCTGTAGATTCACGTTAGCAGCTTTAAAACCCGTTGAGACAGATGTCTCTGTCTCCACCTCTTCGTGTCTGTCTGTCTCCTCTCTCCTGTCTCTTTGTCCCTGCACACACCTCTCTTGCTGGTTTTAGGTGTTTTCTCAGGTCCATCCAAAAACAGTCACACAACATCTAAACAAGGTCACTGGAGGTCAACCAGTACTGTTATGACATCATGGTGTTACGTTATTGGTCTCTTAGAGTCATTTGAAGCTGATGAGACAAACAAATAGGATTCCACACGTCTCAGTTCAGACTGACCAGAGCGCAGCTGAAACCGATCAATGTGGCGTCTTGTTACGCTGACTCAGCACTTCCTGGTTCTGCTTTTAGGTCCAGAACCCATGTCAGGTAGGAACCATGCATCCTGGGCTTGAGGTTCGTGAGCTTGAGCTTCGCGCAGTGTCAGTTGTGTGAGAGACTCCTCCTTTGGGTCTCAGATCGGGTCAATGTGTGGCGCTGATCGAGAGTGAGACAAAAACAGGAAGTGGCTTGTTTAAAGGAAACATGAGCCCTGATCCAGTACGGCCCGTTCTGCAGAATCAGCTGAACAGAACCAGTGGGTTTGGGTCAGATTGCTCCACTACTCATCCTGCTCAGAGTGAGGGCTCCATTTCACTTCTGCAGCTGCACTAGCTTTACTTCATGTAGCTCAGACCAGAAACACGGTCCACTTTAGCCGGGAAGAACTGGGGTCCAATAAACAATAATCGCACTGATCCATACGGCAGGTTCTGCTGATGATTTGGTCCAGATGAGACTCCCTCTGACAATAGCAGAAGGTCCGACTGCAAAGTTCTGGGCAGTAGGGAACAACGGGACAGGACCAGAACGGGAAATGAGGCAACACCGGCTACCTGGTGTTTCATAAAAAAAACAAACCTGACCTGGATAAAACATCGGTGCAGATGTGGACCTCTGCCTCAGCTGATTTATGAATCTGAATGCTTTTTTCCCAAGATGGCAGAGCAGCTCCTGTCGGTCCAGACCAGAACGGACCAGAACCAACCAGGACAGGCCACCAGGGCGTCCTTGAATGGATCATCTGAGCCTGAACAGCTCAGCTGATGCAGCAGCGGTGCCTTCCACTGATCCGTACGGTCAACTAAACGTGGATGGTTGGTCAGGAACATTTCGATAGAAGATAGCAGCCGTCTCTCTCTCTCTCTCACACACACACACACACACACACACACACTAACCTACTTATTGCCCTCTCTCTGGGTGGATCTCCCCCACCTGCCTACCTGGGAGCCGGCTTTAGGCAGCTGTGGGAACAGAGCCAGGCTGGTTGGTCTCTTTGGTCGGAATTTGTCCATGACAGCCTCCTCTCCTCCTCCTCCACCTCCTCCTCCTTTAGTCGGTGCTCCTCAGCTCAGACAGGGCCTCCTCAACCCTCCTCTACCTCCCGCTCATCCCTTCTTCCTCCTCGATCCTCTCAGCATCAATCAGCTCTGAGCTCTGCCTCTGGACACGCCTCCTGCCCCATTGATTGGCCAGCCACAGCGTCACATCACCTTCATCACCATCACAGAGAGAACAGACGAAAGGAGGGAGGGAGGAGTAGTGAATCAGGACTGAGTGGGAGATGAAGATGGAGGAGATTAGGGAGAGATGCACAAAAAGGAAAAGGAGGAGGAGGAAGTCAAGGACAGCCAATCAGAGCAGGGCATGACATCATCAGCTGATCTGTCTCAAAGCTAATAAACACAGAGTGACTCAGTGAAATAAGATTAGACAGCAGCACAGAGACACGGGCATCTCACCAGTCAGAAACCATTTATTCCCATTAAAGTCGCCATCTTCTGATAAAACGGGCTCCAGTGAATAATCTACAGTTTGGGAATGACCTTTGAACCTTCGCCCGCTGACGTATTTTCCCCCTTTCATACACCAGGGTTGCAACAATTTCAACCAGACCTTCTCTGGTCCTACAGGGCCACCATCCAGCATGTTCTAGAGGTCTCTGCTCTGCTGGTTTTAATCAGGAGGTAACTGCAGCTTATTTACCTGCTCAACAGGTGATTCAGCCATTAAATCACTCGCGCGCGCGCACTCATACAGAGCTCACCTTGTAAAATACCGGGTGTGTAGGAGGGACCTCCGGTTTTACGGATTGGCTACACAATGTGGCGGCGCCATATGTAAATGTATATGTACATGGGCGGTGCCTGTAAACGTGAAATCGGTTTGCATTCCATGGCGGGAAAACAAACACTTCTCCCTGGGCATGGTGTGTTCCTGAACCAAAGGAAATTTGTGATTTTGATTTTCGGAGGAAGACACTTCCGGCTGCGGTACGTCGATACCAAATATGGAAATGGCACCATAGCTTCCGAGGCGGCAGGGGGCGCTATTTCTGGTATCTGTTTCATTTCGTGAAAGTGAAACAGATTGAAACAGTAACTTTTAACTTTTATTCATTTTGTGAATAGAATTGATTTTACTTGTATTAAACTTTGTTTTCATCCCAACATTTTCCTAAATAATGTTCATTCTGATTCTCTTAAGCCAAGGCTTGGTCTTTTTCTGGGATATTCCCTTTCTGGATGCGCCCTCCTGGAGTTCTTCGCTGCCCTGATGTTAGCTACCAACCTTCTCCTTAGTGGACACCATATGGTGCTGCCTATGTAGTGTTACTTCTGCCGAGCACCTCAAGCAGGCACGTGCAGAGAGGGGGATGTTTGAGCACCTGCCCCCCTTTGTTCCAAATGCCCCTTCTTCTGTCTTCACGTCCAAAACTGTAACTACCATATATGTGTGTAGTAATAACAACAGACACAGGTCGGGCACTAGGACCAAGCAGAAGTCAGCGGCCTTAAGCCGAAGCCTGTTTTCCTCGTCTCAGCTCTACCGCGTCATCACTCCAACTCCACCCATCCATACTTTATTTATAAAGTACATTTTGAAACACAACATGGCAGCAGACCAAAGCACTGTAGTAAAACTACTACCACTACTCACCAGTCACGTTTATTTTTCTACTCCGTGCTGTTAGCGTTCCAGTTTTAGTCTGTAGTTTTTTACATGTAGTTCATTTGCTCTTGCTGCTGTAGAGCACATCGTTGCCTCTGTGAGTGAAACGTGTTGCATAAATAAAGCTATCTTCTCTTAGTAATCAAAACTTGGCCAATAAAACACTCAATACAAAGAATGAAACTAGGGCCCCCACAGGCTTGTACAGTAGGCACTAGGCATGATGGGTGCATCACTTCATATGCCTCTCTTCTTACCCTGATGCACCATCACTCTGGACCAGGGTCCATCTGGACTCATCGTTTATGCATCTCCTTAGATGTTTTCTCTGCTTGATGCCAAAGATCTGACCCTTCTCACACAGACTAACATCTTTTCCATGACCACCAGATGGGTCCTTCCACCTGGTTGTTTAAGAAATGAGAAGCAGCTCGTTGCTCCAGTTGCAGCCCTGCAGTCATTATCCTATAGGAGGCTCCTACCTGTCTGCTTAGCTACATCAATATATATGTGTATATATAGGTTAGTGGTGTGCATCTCTACCTGCCTCACGATTTCAATCTGATTCCGATTGTCTGCCTAAAGATTCGATTTGAGTCTGAAATGCATCACGATTCTTCACACAAAATTTTTCATTACTTAATGAAAGCAGTTGCTTATTTAATGTGCTGTTATTGTTACGTACGACTCTGTTGCAGTTGACGTCCATGAATCACATGTAATGGCTACGCGGCTAGCTTTACTCATTGGTTCCATTACCTGGGCTTTGGTTTCGTTGTACAATGCAGGCACAGCAGTTTCTGTGAAGTGTCTTCTTGTCGGTAGATTATACCGAGACTCGAGCATCTTCAGGAGGTAGCGAAACCCGGCATGCTCTACCACAGAATATGGTTGTAGATCCTTCGCAATAAAGCATGCAACAGAGTGGGTGATCTTCTTCCCTCTCTCCGAAGCAGACGGTGAAAATGTCAGCGCTTCTTCAATCGTTGGCTGGGATGTGCTCCCTGTTTTTGTGGCTGTAGCTGAAGAAGTCCTCGCAGGGTGGAAACGTTCAAAATGTTTGGTCATATTACTTTTACTCCCAAAGTACTTTAGTTTTGTGTGGCACACCTTACACACAGTGTGTCTTGTCAAGCTTTCCGTCTCGCTCATAAAAGCCAAAATTAGCCCAGACATCCCATTTAAATGTAACGGGTGCATCTCTGATTACTGGTAATGTTCACCCTGTGTCCCTGTCCGCCATTTCTGTTTTAAATTGGCGCTAGGGCAACACAGCACGCATGTCATTGCAACTCTGCCACTGGAAGTAGTCGTAAAACCTCAAAACTTTATTGTACTTGCACATCCAGAACATCGACATAGGGAGAAAATCTCATTGTGTCACGTCGCTGCATCGATGCAGAATCATGCTCGACCGAATGACGATGCATCTTAGAATAGATATTTTTTCCCACCTCTAATATGTGTGTGTGTGTGACCATGACCATTTACTAAGTGGCCATCAAGTGCTAAACACCTCTGGGAACTCCTGGGACTGTTGGAACACCATTTCAGGTGACTACCTCTTGAAGCTCATCAGGAGAATGCCAGGAGTGTGTAAAGCAGTAATCAGAGTAAAGGGTGGCTACTTTGAAGAAAAAATATAAACATGTTTTCAATTATTTCACCTTTTTTGGTTAAGTACATTACTCCTCATGTGTTCATTCATAGTTTTGATGCCTTCAGTAAGAATCTCCCAATGGAAATGGTCATGAAGCTAAAGACAACACAATGAATGAGAAGGTGTGTCCACACATACATATGTATGTGTACATATGTACACTACATATGTACACATACATATGTATGTGTACATATGTAGTGTACATATGTACACATACATATGTATGTGTACATATGTAGTGTACATATGTAGTGTACATATATGTACACATACATATGTACACTACATATGTATGTGTACATATGTAGTGTACATATGTACACATACATATGTACACTACATATGTATGTGTACATATGTAGTGTACATATGTATGTGTACATATATGTACACATACATATGTACACATACATATGTATGTGTACATATGTAGTGTACATATGTAGTGTACATATATGTACACATACATATGTACACTACATATGTATGTGTACATATGTAGTGTACATATGTATGTGTACATATGTACACTACATATGTACACATACATATGTATGTGTACATATGTAGTGTACATATGTACACATACATATGTATGTGTACATATGTAGTGTACATATGTACACATACATATGTACACTACATATGTATGTGTACATATGTAGTGTACATATGTATGTGTACATATATGTACACCCTAGGCAGAGATTTATCAACATGAGAAAATTATAAACTTTATTTTTGTACCAAACTAGGAAATGGTCAGAGCTCGGTCCAGACCTGAAAAACGTAAGAAAAAAGTGTCCTATCAGAGCAGCGGGGGGGCGAGGGAAGCTCCATCAGCCAGGTTGGCTCTGCAGATTGGACACGTGCTGTTGTCCTGTAAAAGAGCCAGAGAAGAACGAGGACGTTCCTCAGAGTTAGACCGCTCACTCTGGACAAATACTCTGAAACTGTTCTGATCCGGTTTTGATCTCAGCAGCCGGAGATGTCGAAGCATTCACAAGTATCAGCAGCTCCTACCTTCAGCCACTTGTCAATGCACTGGACATGGTAGTCATGGAAACATGGCAGCATCCTCAGCTTCTCACCATCAGCGTAGTCACAGAAACAGATCTGACACCTGCCGACCAGATCAGAGAGATGAACCAACGGCTTTCAGACACAAGGGCTTGGTTCTGGCTGCAGGACTCACTGGGTGTTCCCTGAGCTGTTTGCAGACCCAAACGTTTTGGTGGGGAACCTCTGGATGTCCCTGCGGGACATTTTCTTCTTGGACACCACAGCTCCTTGGTGCTCTTCAAACTCCAGAAGGGCCTGAAAGCAAAAGAATCATAACCAGAAAGCCTTTATTAGCTCTGTGGCCTAGTGGCAGAGTGTCCACCCTGGGACAGATCGGGATTCAAATCCCTGTCGGGTCATACCAACGCCTCCCCGCGATTGGATTGGGGGGTTAAGGCACCAAAGGGTTCCCGAGCTCAGCCACTGCTGCAGCTCACTGCTCCCCACAGGGATGGGTCATGTGAAGAACAAATTTCACATCCCAGTGCGACAACTAGTGGGGGGTGTGTGTGTGTGTGTGTGTGTGTGTGTGTGTGTGTGTGTGCGTGCGTGCGTGCGTGCGTGCGTGTGTGTGTGTGTGTGTGTGTTATGTTTGAACCACCGGTGTCCAGATTCTGGAGTCAGGATATAGCTGGAACGTTCTCCCTCGTCTAACGCTCCTCTTCCTCACCTCATAATCATTTCCCTGAAGACTATCAGATAAATTTGGTGGGACGTTCCTCCGTCGGCTCCGCCTAGGCCGCCTGTGCCGACCAGTCAGATCTAGGAGAACACAAAAGCTGCATCATTGGAAGATCCTGATAAGAATGTGTTCGACCTGGGTTAGACGTCATCAGGTTACTGGAGAGTAGCTCGTATTTTCATATCTCAAACACCTGACTGGGTTTAAACTCCTGATCTGGACCAGAACTCTTCATCCTGTTCTATTGAACATTTGTCTGTTTTCCATACCAGCAGCCAGATTTTCCTGGAAGCTGTTCGGCGGTCCAGATCTGGGCCTGGGACCAGCGCGGCGTGGAACACTAAATATTCACGAGTGAGTAAAGAAGAAGATCTTCAGGCGTTTGGGTCCGTACCGTCCTGCAGGTCCACCAGAGGAGAGACAGCTGCCAGCATCTGAGACATCCAGCTGGGCCCCATGTAGCACTGCAGAGAACCACACAGTCGCTCCATCAGAAGGGTTAGGCTTAGTGGCTTTTCTGCTGGAGCCACTCTGAGCTTCTGGACGAGTCAGATAAAAGCAAAATTACATCATAATTAGTGGTTCTCACTCTGTGGTGGCTCTGCTGGTGGTCCAGGCGCCTGCTGAGTGACCCCTCTCGGTCAAACTGAGCCTGAACAAACAGAAACAGGAAGTTAGTTCTACCTGCTCAGGTGACACGTGTGTCTGAGACTGCAGGAGGAAGCTTCTACCTGAAGACTTCGAGCCAGAGCCTCATCTTCTTCCAATTGTAACGAGCGAACCACAATCTCTTCATCGTCGCTGATGACAATCTCCTCCATCGCCGCTGCAGCAGAAACAATCAATCAGAAATGAGCTACCTCCAGCTGCTCTAAAGCTCCGCCCACCTGCTCACAGTCCTGACCTGGTGAGGAGGCTCCTCGCTCTCCATTCAGCCACTTCCTCTCCTCATCGGTGAGGAAGGACAGGGAGTCTGAGTGGGATTCTGCCACTGATGAGGGGGAGGGAGGAGGTGGTGTGTGGATCCGTTTAGACCAGCGGACTGGTTCTGGTGTCATACAGGAGGCTGATGAGGTAGAGGAGGATGGTGCCTCCAGCCAGCTGCCCAGAGGAAACACCTTCAGGGAGGAAGCAGGAACGAAGCCAGGGCTCTGCTCAGCCAGCCGCCTTCGTTTACGTTTATGTGAAAAACCCTGTTGGTCTCCGCTGGGTCGTTCTGGTTCTGGAGCGCTCCTGAAGGCTGCCTGAGGTCGAACATCACACAATACATCTACAACAGAAGCCATACTAGAGAGACTGGGTCAACATGGAGGAGACTCACGGGGCTGCAATACGCCTTGTTGTTACGGTGACATCTCCCCCGCTTCCTGAGCTGTGGGCTGAAAAACAAAACAATCACAACAGCTGATGACCTACAGCAGGGGTGCCCAGTCCTGGTCCTGGAGGGCCGGTATCCGGCATGTTTTAGTTTCAGCTGCTTCAACACACCTGATTTCAATCAGCAGGTGATTAACAGGCTTCTGCAGAGCCTGATGAGACGCTGCACAGGTGATTCAACCAGTTAATCTAGTGTGTTGGAGCAGAAAAAACACAGAACCTGCTGGATACCGGCCCTCTAGGACCAGGATTGGGCACCCCTGACCTACAGGAAGCCCACTGTGACATTGGTGGAGTATTAAAAACATTTTGTAGGATTTGCTTTAATGATTGTTGCTGGAACATGTGGTTGTTTGTTACGTGCGTTCTGGTATGTAACCATACCATGTATGTAATTCTTAACTTTAAAAATTTGACTCGTCTTTGAAATGAAACACAGAATGGTGTACATTTTTTGTTATTGAAAAAGCAAAGATTCCTTTCAACTTCTGATTAAATAAATAAACTTTTGCTATTAAATTTAATTTTCTTAAATTAAACATTAATCTTTGGATTAAAAATAGACCAAGCTCGTTGGCATATGGTGATTGTAGCCCCCAGAAATATCCGCTCATGCAAAAAAAAAAAGAAAGAAAGAAAGATGCCGAATGCAGGATTTTCAACAAAAAATGGACTGCTAAGTATTTTTTTTACTGAAGTCGGAGGCAAAGCCGTGTGTTTGGTTTGCGGGGAGGAGATTGCCGTGTTTAAGGACTACAATTTGAGTCGGCATTACGACAAGAAACACTCGGAAAAATACAAGAACACATCTGATGCTGAGAGGGCACGGACATCCGAAGCTTTGCTAGCAAAGTTGCAAAAGCAGCAAGGCTGTTTTACTAAGCTTCACACATCCAGGGATGCAGCAACCAGGACCAGCTTTGTGATATCCCACAAAATAGCTAAAAACAGCTAAAAACAGCAAGCTGTTTTCGGAGGGAGAGTTTGTCAAAGAGTGCATGGAGGACTAATATGCCCTGAAAAGAAGGCGCATTTGAGCAAATCCCGCTGTCCAGGCGAACCGTGACCAGGAGGATCGAGGACATCGCGGGGAACCTGGAGCTTCAGCTGCAACGTGAAGTGGCAAGTTTTGACTTTTTCTCATTGGCCTTAGACGAGAGCTGTGATGTCCGCGACACAGCCCAGCTGCTCGTATTTGTCCGGGGGATAACGGACTTCAAGCTCACAGAGGAGCTGGCAGCAATGCGGTCGATGAGAGGGACAACGACAGGGAGTGATCTTTTTACAGAGGTAAATGCGTGCATGGACACTCTGGGATTGAAATGGGAGAGAATGTCAGGTGTCACAACAGACGGTTGTCCAAATCTTACAGGGAAAAATGTCGGACTTTAGAAACGCATGCAAGATAAAGTGACAGAAATCGATGCAGATCAAAAATAGGTGTTTTTGCATTGTATTATACACCAACATGTGTTGTGCAAGTCAGTGCTAAAAATCAACCATGTTGCTGATGTTGTTACTAAAATAATAAACTTCATCAGGGCGCGGGCAATGAATCACAGACAGTTTGTGGCTCTTTTGGAGGACTCCACACAGCTGTCAGATGGCTCAGCCTGGGGAAAGTGCTGAAGAGGGTTTGGGACTTGAAAGCAGAGATTCGAGAGTTTTGCGAGAGGAAAGGCAAAGACATTCCAGAGCTCTCAGATGAGGATTGGATGGCAGATTTTGCATTTGCTGTTGATGCGACTGCACTGATGAATGAACTGAACACCAAACTGCAAGGCAAGGGCCTTTTTGTTCATGAAATGCACAGCCTCGTGAAGGCCTTCATGAGAAAGCTGCAGTTTCTTTCAAGTCAACTGGAGAGCAACACTCTCACTCACATGCAAACCCTGAACAAAGTCACACCATCAGCTGATCGCCTCAGCAGGTACTCATCCATGTTAGGAGCATTACATGGTGAGTTTTCAAGGCGTTTTGAAGATCTCAGAACAATCGAGGATGAAATGCACATGATTTCCTCTCCCTTTACCTGCAGTGTGGATAATGCAGCCAGTGATGTGCAGCTGGAACTCATTGACCTGCAGTCTGATGCAGTACTGAAGTCAGGATCTCTGCTGGATTTCTACTCTTCTCTTAAGGAGAACTTTCCAAACCTGAGGAGACATGCTCAGAAGATGTTGGTTCTCTTCGGCTCTACCTACATTTGTGAACAAACATTTTCAATGATGAAGTTTACAAAATCCAGGTAAAGATCCTCTCTCACTGATGATCATTTGTCAGCTGTGCTTCGCATCTCCACCTCAGACATTCAACCTGACTTTGATGCACTCGTTAAAGCCCAGCAAAGACTAGATTTCTCTCACTGAATAAGAAAAAAATCGCTTAAAAACACGAAATAAGGTGTTTGGACCACAAATGTAGGCAACTAGCAGTGAACTGGGACACTTTTTTAAACTTCTTTCTCAAGATCACAGTTCAGTGATTTTATTTTACAGACAATACTGTGTGTCTGTAGAATGCTAAGAACCTCTTTCCAACAATATTTGAAACTCAAAATGTGTTTTGGAGTGAATGTGACTGAAACTGTTAACTAATATAAGTCACAAATGTTTAACAAAAACCAAATGTGCACACTTTGTTTACCATTGCCTTGGGAAATTTGAATAAATCACAATTTTGTAAGCCAACCTCACTTTTTCCTTTTTGCTCATTTATAACATAGTCTACTCTTACCAGCTTGAAAAAACATCTGTATTTACTGCTTTTTATAAAGAAATACCATTAATATTATGCATAATTGACTTCAGCCTTTTGGCCTGGCCCTCCACAAAATTTTCCGTTGCAGTCGTTGTCCCTGGCAGTGTTTTCTGCGTACCACACAGTGATGGAGGAGGTGAGTATTGATTCGATGATGGCCTTGTGGAACTGGATCATTATCGTGGCTGGCATGCAGAGCTTCCTCAGTTGGCACAAGAAGAACATCCCTTGCTGGGCTTTCCTGATGAGGGTATTGATGGACCAACACATTCTCATACCCAAGGCGTCAAAATATGACGCGTGTGACCAAGCCTCAATATATGACGATTCGGGACGCCCCAGTGCATCAGGAAACAAAGATCAGGGACAAACTGCTGACACAGCGTCCCAGAGCGTCGGTATCCGACGCCGGTGGTGAGACGGACATTAGAACTACTTTTGAACAACTTAACCTTCCCCTCACCCCAGTCATAACCTTAAGGTCACAGTTTATGAACCTTAAGGTTAGGATTGGGGTGAGGGGAAGGTTAAATAGTGTCCGTGTGACGGCACGCGTCAAACAGTGACGCCAGCAGAGCCACGTGACCCAGCGTGTCCCTGATCGTCATTTCCTGACGTGCTGGGGCGTCCCAAATCGTCATATATTGAGGCTTGGTCACACGCGTCATATTTTGACGCCTTGGGTGTGAGAATGTGTTGGATGGACACCTCCCACTTCAGTTCATGGGTGATGGTGGACCCAAGGAAGCGAAAGGAGTTCACAGGTGAAATCTGGTTGTCTGTCAGGGTTATGCCGGGCAGTGGTGCCGGTGCTCTCCTGAAGTCTACAATCATCTCCGCTGTCTTCTGCTCGTTCAGCACCAGGTTGTTGTTTCTGCACCAGGATGCAAGGCACTCCACCTCTCCTCTGTATGCAGACTCGTCCCCATCTGAGATAAGGCCAATGTGGGTGGTGTCATCCACGTACTTGACCAGTTTCACCATCTGGTGGTTTGAGGTGCAGCTGTTAGTGTAGAGGGAGAAGACTAGAGGAGAGAGGACGCAGCCCTGGGGGGTTCCAATGTTGGTGATTCGGGTGTCTGAGACATTTTTTCCCAACCTCACGTGTTGTCTCCTATCTGTCAGAAAGTCTGTGATCCACCGGCAGATTGGGTCGGGCACGTTCAGCACAGATAGCTTGTCCTGAAGGAGAGCTGGGCAGACTGTTAAATGCTGAGCTGAAGTCTACAAACAGTATCATTGCGTAGGTTCCTGGGGAGTCCAGATGTTGCAGGATGAAGTGGAGGGTAAGATTGATTGCATCAACTACAGATCTGTTGGCTCTGTAGGCAAACTGCAGGGAGTCCAGAAGAGGGGTTGTGATTTTTTTGAGGTGGTTCAAGACCAGGCGCTCAAAGGACTTCATGGCTACTGATGTCAGCGCCACCGGCCTGTAGTCATTTAGTCCAGTGATCTTTGGTTTTTTAGGGGCTGGGACAATAATGGAGGATTTGAAGCAAGTTGGAACATGGCATGAGTCCAGAGAGGTGTTAAAGATCTTTGTGAAGACAGGGCTCTGCTCCTCTGCACAGTGTCTCAGGGTGGAAGGAGTCACGCCGTCTGGTACAGGTGCCTTGTGGGTGTCTAGCTTCTTGAATATCCTAATACCAGGGGCGGCGTTAGGCCCGGCTACTTGGGCTGAAGCCCCGGATGTTTCAGGAAAAGCCCCGGATCTAAATTGCGGAAGTAACATGCAGTACCAAAGTCCAACAGAGAGGGCGCAGCTGGCAGTAGTTTCAATCAATCAATCAATCAAAGCTTTATTTATAAAGCGCCTTCCGCAACCCTGTCAGGAAGCCCAAAGCGCTGAACATGGTACAGTTGTAAGTAAATATATTGAAAAAATCAACAATAAAAGAAATTCAAATTACAAAATACAAATTACAAAATACAAAATGGAAATTATAAGATAGATGAAACATTCTGGTAAAGGACAAATGTGTGAAACACATTTGGATTGAGTGGATGGATTGAGTGTCCAAATGAAAACTGTGGAATGGATTCAACATAAAAGAGGGCAAAAATCAAACATGTCCTGGAAACGCCAAGTGGAGGAGGTGTGTTTTTAGGTGATTCTTAAAGACTGGCAGAGATGGGGACAGCCTAACTGAGGGTGGCAACTGGTTCCAGAGTAACGGTGCTAGGACTGAGAAAGCCCGGTCCCCACGGGTACGACACCTAGACCGAGGGACAGCGAGCAGGCCTTGGTCAGAGGAGCGCAGAGCACGTGATGGGGAGTGTCTTTTCAGGAGTGTGGCTAGATAGGGGGGAGCACCACCCTGGAAGAAATGATAAACAAAGACGAGTATTTTGAATTGTGAGCGATAGCAAATCGGAAGCCAGTGCAGAGAGGCCAGAACTGGACTGATGTGGTCCCGTTTCCTGGTCCCAGTCAGGAACCTGGCAGCGCTGTTCTGCACAACCTGTAGGCGACGCAGTGTTGACTGACACAAACCTGCATATAGAGAGTTGCAGTAGTCAAGCCGAGAAATTACAAAGGCATGCAGTACCTGCTCCAGGTGGGCTCTCGACAGCATAGGCTTGATTTTAGCAAGGCATCTCAGGTGAAAGAAACTGGACCGGATCACAGAGTTGATGTGAGCATCAAATTTAAGTCCAGCATCAAGTTTCACCCCCAAACTGGTAACAACTGGTTTTGAGTATGGAGAAAGAGGGCCAAGATCAGCATAACGATCCACATTCCTGCTGTTGGGGTGAAAAACAATGAGCTCTGTCTTTCCCTCATTCAGATGTAGATAGTTGGACATTAGCCAAGACTTCACCTCATTAACACAGGAGACAAAGGACTGAATAGAGTGACCTTTCTCCTGACACAACGGAGAGTAAATCTGGCAATCGTCAGCATACAGATGGAATGATAGGCCATGTTTACGAAAGCTTGACCCCAAAGGTAGCAGATAAATGGCAAACAAAAGTGGACCAAGGATCGACCCCTGCGGGACCCCCCAGCAGAGCCCCTCCCAAGAAGAAAAAACATCACCCAGTTTAACGCAGAATGTCCTGTTGTGGAGATACGATCTAAACTAATCCAGAGCTGACCCTTTGATCCCAACCCATCGTTCCAAGCGATCCAGTAGAATCGCGTGGTCAACTGTGTCGAAGGCTGCTGTCAGGTCTAACAGCAGAAGCAGCACAGATGTTCCCTGATCTAGTGAAAGATAGATGTCATTTAAGACCCTCAGTAGAGCCGACTCTGTGCTATGGCCAGACCTGAACCCTGATTGGAAAACCTCAAACAGATCAGAGTCAGCTAAATGTGAGACCAGCTGCTGATAAACGACTTTCTCAAGCAGTTTAGATGTAAAGGGCAGGGTAGAGATAGGCCTGTAATTTTCTATCACAGAGACATCAGCACCAGGTTTCTTCAGGGTCGGCTGAATAACTGCTGCTTTCAAAGCAGCTGGGACCACACCTGTGTTGAGGCTCCCATTGATAATCTGACCAAGTGAAGGGCCAAGACACGGAAAGGCAGCCTTCCAGAGACGAGGCGGCAGAACGTCAAGTGGAGAGCCAGATGGCTTCTGCCTAGGGATGCACCGATGGATCGGCATTTGATCGTAATCGGCCGATAGCGCCCCTATCGGTTTTGATCGGAATTTTCAAAATAGATCAAAGCAAACCAATCAGGTAGGGTTGTCACGGTAACCAGTGTAGCGCTAAACCCCGGTAAAAAAAAAAAGTTGACAATAATAACCGTCTTGTTTTTAAAAAACTACATTATCTTGGTGGGTTTACCGTGGCTGCGGTGTAGGCGCGGTGACCCTTACCAGCCACCGTATCATCTGCAGAAGTTGCCGGCGGCACATACACGCTTTGTTTACAACAAAACTTTCTTGAAGCTAAAGCTGAAATAATGGTCAAAGGAGGAGACGGCAGCGCTCAGGAGGACATTTATTATCCCTCAAAGAAGACAAAGTCGGAAGTACGGGCATATTTTAGATATTTGAAGAATGCCGAGGGAGTTTATAGAAGACGGGCGGCTATCCTGTTTGCAGCACGAGCAGAAAAAATGTCTGTGAAAGGCAGCAACGCTTCTTATCTCATGACACATCTGCGTGACCATCACCCACAACTCTACAGTCAACGCAAGGCAAGTTAACGTTAGCGTTTTAGCTAAAATGCGTGATCCGAGGATTTGGGTTGAGGGAGAATGCAACGAGTCGCTATATAAAGCAGCCGCAGCGCCGCTACCTGCATATAAACCTTGTCGCGGACACCCCCCATGTTGAAATGACGCTATGCATTACGGGGCTCCCAGGGGCAGATAAGAGTTGGTCTCTCTCCGAGAATAATTATGAATTTAACAATGATTACTGCCTGATGACATGTTCCCACATCTGCAAAGCTCACTGGTAAGGACACAAACCGAGGACAAAATTTTCCTGAAATACGGATTGCTCAAGTAAGGGTAAAAAAAAAAGTATCTGATTAGAAGGCTACTTGAGTACTGAGTATCATCTGATCTAATATTTTTAAATGATGACATCAAACAGACATAAAATACGAAGTTATGGGCAAATATTGGTATTTTAAAGACTAAAGGGGAAAATGTAAACAAATAAACAACATAATTACAAAATAACACATTTTAGGCAAAATTTAGACACAAACTGAGGACAATATTTCCTGACATACAGGGTTTATTTAATTGTGTGAAAATGTAGCACGTTTAAAAAAAATACCGCGATAATACCGAAAACCGTGGTAATTTTGGTCACAATAACCGTGAGGTTAAATTTTCACACCGTGACAACCCTAATACAGACCATTTTAGATTAGGTTACATTTCCTTTATTCCCAGATTATGTAGTTTGTAGCACTCATTATAATGTTGTAGAAAATTTCTGGCCAATCCACGTGATCGGTATCGGTGATCGGTATCGGTGATCAGCATTCTTTGATATCGGTATCGGTGATCGGCAGCAAAAAACCTGATCGGTGCATCCCAGTTCTTCCTCGCAACAAGCTTATTCAGCTCAGAGTATGAAACTGTATTGAGGGAGCTCAGGGTGGGTGGTGATGGAGGAGATGGAACAGGGTCAACAGTTACCAGAAATAGCTGCTCTAATGCCCGACACGTTATCAACAAAGAATTTGTGAAAAGCTTCAGAGTTTCCAGCAGCTGTAGGAGACATGGTGCTAGGCTCCTGATACACCAGAACTGAGTTTAGCGTTTTGTAGAGAATCTTAGGATTATTGGAGTTTGTCTCAATGATGTCTGCAAAATAGGCCGTTCTGGCAGCCCTCACTGCATCCTGATAAGCAACCAGAGATACTCTGAACAACTCACGCGAGACCTGTAGGCCATCCTTTTTCCACTTTCTCTCAGAGGATCTACACACCCGCCTACAAGCCCATGTGACATCAGAGAGCCATGGCTCCCTCCTAGGTCGAGACTTGCACAGTTTGAGAGGGGCAACCACGTCCAGGACCTGATTACAAAGTACATCAAAGTGTTGTGAATAGTGATCGTTAGATGGATCAGGGTTAAAGGTCTCTAACCTTACAGACATACAGTCCACAAACTTTGAAATTGTTTCTGCATCCAGGGCTCTGAACCTAGTAGCGGGAGTTTCACACACAGGGACGGGACATGGCAACGTAACATAAGTTTGTATACAGACTGCCTGAGCCTCCACCACTGAAGAAGAAGCCCTTCAGCAGCCGGCTTCTTCTACACTCTCTGCCAGAAACGCATGAGTGAAGATGGACATAAGGACGTTTTTTAGACCAAAAGTACAACAACAGAACCCCAGCTTTGATGAGACTGGAGCTGACTCAGGTTTGTGAGTCTTATTTGAAAATATTTGTTGTGCTGCTGGTTTGCCTAAAGTTAGCTTATCAGGTAAAGTTGTTGGAGAAGGAAAGGGAATATTTACTATCATCTCACACTAAACACTAACAGGAACAACACTCTGCCCTGAAAATGCTTAATATGTAGCTTCAGATTAAAAATTATGTGGTACAAGACAAATATGATGTTGACTAGTGCGTGTTGTGTGTGCGCGCCCGTGCGTGCGCGCGCGCGCGTGTGTTAAGCCCCGGATCTTCTTCAGTCCTTCTCACATCCGCCCCAGCCAAAGGACTGTTAGGGGTGAGTTGGAGGAGGGGGATGGGGGCTTTTGTGAAGAGACTTCTGGGGACAGGGAGGTGTGAATAACCATGTGTAGATCTAACAGATGGGTGGTGATGTCCTGGTTGATTGGTGGGATTGATTGCCAGGAGGCTGTTTACTAACAGGAACTAAAGCTCAGAGACAATTGAGATGACTCAGTTATTACTGGTGTGTGTGTGTGTGTGTGTGTGTGTGTGTGTGTGTGTGTGTGTGTGTGTGTGTGTGTGTGTACCTGGGAGTTTGGGGGACGATGACAGACTCGTCCTCCGGAAAAAGAACGTCACCAGCCTCGAGCAGACAGGCTCGGTTCAGACCAGGACTGTCCGGTTCCGACGAACAGGGACTGGCAGTGAGCCTGTCAGCCATGACCTCCTGGCACCTGGTCCCGACACGAATGAATCTGCTGATTAGGGCTCAGGTCAACATGCAGCTAGCCCAAAACACAGAAGCGACTTAGCTACATCTCCGCTGACTGAACATGAGATGAGGGTATTGCAGATGACCACAGTGATGTTTATAATAGAATTATACACACAGGTGTCACAAACACACCAACATGGGGTATGGGGGAACACAAAGAAGCACCTGAAGCTTATTCAACCCAAAACTTTCTACAACATAACCGGAGGTCATTTCCGCCTAATAAAACCAGCGTCAGAAAAAGCTTAACAAGCAAAACAAGCACGGCACGTGACGCTCCTAAAGGATCGTCAGGATAAAACAAGTTTACCTAAAAAGATTCTAGCGCCAACCGCCAACGGACGATCCTGACTGGAAGAGCTGGTCCAGTAACTACAGGAAGCCGCCTTCGCAATAATAGTGGAAACTTCCGGTGACATCTAGAGGTTCCCTTTCAGAATAAACAAGTCCAAGTTGAAGCCGGTTTTAGTAAACTGGTTTTTTCGGCACATGTTGATGGTTATTGCTGTGTAAGTCAAGCTTTAGTCTAAAATTTCTGCTGTTTTGTAAATGTATATGATTCACTCACTGGAAGCAACTCCTTATCTTGTGTGGGTTTGTTCCAAGTGTTGCCCACCAGACTGAACATACCGTAAAGGTGTAGAAGTTCTACACCTTTTTCAGTGTTCTACAGTAAACACTGGGAAAAAAAAACATTTTAATGATTATAATCAGTCAGTGTGTCAAGCAGGCTGAACATGAAAATAGTCTCCAACACCTATCTCCTGCAGTAGCTTCTGATGAGAAAACAGACGGTGAAACTCTAGGATTAGAAAAGCCTGACAGATCTACGTCACACTGTCACTAACATTCAAGGACTCACCCATCCGGACTCATGACAGGGAAGGCTGTTGTTGGTTTAGCGTCCAGGAAACAGCAGAGAACGTCTCAGCTAGTAGAAGCTAACTGTTAGCATTAGCTACTCCACCACACAGCAGAACTCCTCCAGGCTTGTGTTATTAGTTAAGATAAAACATCAATGTTGCAGAACAGTCAGTGGTAGTCGTGTTGCTGTTAGCCAATCAGAGGAAATATGTCCAGATATCAGGAAGTAAGACTCCAGATCCTGTCGTCTGATCACATTTGTTACAATCATCCTTTCTCTATCCTATTTCATTTTTGTGGGTCAGGGTTTTTCATTTTCAACTCTAATTTTCATGAGCAGGGTTTACTCATTTTTCATTCACAGAGCAAACAGAGCTTGTGACAAAAAATGAAATGCTGTCATCTGAAGCTACTTTCTCCCCAGCTGGGTTTTACTTCCTCGAAAAGGCACACCTGAGCATTTTTCCCCAGAGAATGACTTACAAGGCATTCCTTCCTACTAGACACAGCAGATATACTGGAAACATGAGTGAAGTCAAATTAAGAAATATCAAATTCAATAACTTAAATCATTATTCGTTCAAAATTTCATCCATCCTCTTCTACTTATCTGGGGTCGGGCCACAGGGGCAGCAGCTCCTCTGGCGGAATCCTAAGTTGTTCCCTGGCCAGCTGAGACACAGTCTCTCCGGGATGTCCTGGGTCTCCCTTTAGGTCTCCTCCTGGTTGGACGTACCCAGAAACCCTCACCATGGAGGCGTCCAGAAGGCATCCTGACCTGAGCCACCTCAACTGGCTCCTCTCGATGTGGAGGAGCAGCGGGTCTACTCCTCCCGGATGACCGAGCTTCTCACATTATGTCATGACTATAGTTGACTGTTGGACATTCTTTATCAGTTTAACTAAAATGAAAAGACAAACCATGTGTGATGTAAAAATAATCTTTTTAATGAAACTGATTCAGCAAAATGACTCGGGAAAGAAACCAGAAGCAACTGCATGAATTGAAACTGGAGCGGTGTGAAAACCCATCAGAACCAGCAGTCACAAAACCGGAGTAGGAGACCTTAAATGTCACTAGAACAATGAAACACATGGATCACTGGAAGGGTTGCTCTGGTAACAACAGGTCAGAAAAGCATGGAATGCAGAGACTTGCGGACTGTAGCCATCTCCTGCTGTTGCTATGGAAACAAACAACAGGACTTAATAAACGTTTGACTCCAAAAACACATATTAGTGCTGTTATGTTTATGATGTAAATAAAATCTAAACTAGAGGTAACATTTCCTTTTTAAGGTTTCTGCGTATCACATGACATTTCTGTTTATTAGCTCCATCTTTTCAACTTGGGTCCTGACCAAGTCCCCATAATACTGGTGTGAAATTGAAGCCAACACGGAAGTAACAAAAATTGCAGTTCCACCCTCATCCACTGGGGGCTGGTGTCAGAAGCGAGCAAATCCTCATAGACTCCCATGTTAAAAATACCAATTTCACAGCAGAAATAAACATGTTTACAGCCTGGTACCAAAACATGTTTTTTGTTTAAATGATCTAGTTTACACTCAAGACAACTCTGAGGGGGGTGGATTTTTTGTCACTCTTCTGTTTAAGTGTATTAAATGCCTAAAATTCTGACTAATTAATGAGCATCCGACCCACGTGAACGCAGAGCTAGCTCTGGGGAAAGGCCTCAGCCTGAGCCTCGGCCTCGCCTTAAAACTGTTCTGCCATTTTCAGTCTCTCAACTTAGACCATTAGTTGTAGTGTTTGTGCGTTCTTTTTGGATATTATTTGTGCAATTAATGGACAAAATGACTTGCTGTGGCATTAATTGCACTAATAGACCGTCCAAGGAGTCTCCACTTCATTTTTTTTGGTAAGTAAAATGATATTTATGTATTTTAGGTCACTGCCGCTGTTGCGCTAGCTGAGCTTAGATTTTAACATGTACTGTTTAAACATGAAATTTAAATGTAATAGGGTAAAACCCAGTGCATTTAACATAACGCTGCATTTTTGAAAATGGGTTGAAATATAACATGTTGGTGGAGCTTGGTTCCGACTATCAGTATGGTCCCCTCCCCTCAGCGGCAGCTCGGCGCATCTCTGATCGCAGCGGCGGCTAACTGCTGTGCGGCTGCCGGCTTGTGGAGCTCTCGGGAGACCTCTGTGTTCCACCCGGTTTTACCCAGCGGTCAGCCCGGCGTATCTGTGACTCAGAAGCTCTGGTGTTGTGCACAGTTAACTCCGGTTGTAGCTAGGTAGCTACCTCTGTTAGCTCCCACCTCTGCATTAGCTTTGGGTTAGCTTGTAGCAACATTGCTTCAGTTTGACGGGTGTCGTCAATTGATCCCAGCCTTACAGCCCCACCTCTTTTCCCTTTTTTGGAATTGTCTAGGTTTGACGGAACCTGTGACAGTCAAATTGGCGGTGGTGGGAACCTCCCATTTTTGCACAAAAACTTATAATTGGAGCCTATGGACATGAATTGTCCAGTATATATGTCGATGGTCCTGACGCACAACCTGAATTTACTCCAGATGGTTTGAACTGAAGGCTTGAGGCCAAACATAAGTGCTTCCTAAACCTGTTTGTTCTTTTAATCATGTATTTTATGCCTTTTAATTATCCCTCAGTTTTTTGCTTTATGTCTGTTGTTGTGTTTGAGCCTTTGGCTTTTTATGTACAGCACTTTGGTTAGCTGACATGCTATTTTAAACTGTGCTTTATAAATAAAATGGTATGGTATGGTAAAGTTGACATCTCTGATAACTTTAGGGTTGAATGTAGTTTTGAAGCTGTGTCTCGTACGTGTGACTCAGGGACCATGGTAATAACCACATGTGTGTTTCCTTTAGAGTGGAGCACTGTGTGGTTTAGTAAACTAACAGGATGAACTCACAATGTCCATGAGGATTTTCTTCTGAAGCGTGGCCATCTCCTTCCTCAGCTCCTGCTGCGCCCCCTGTAGGAACGTCTCATGGTTCTTCTCCATGTTGTCCATGTACTGAAGCAACACAGTGAAAACCTTTAAATGACCTGCATTCAGGTGCAGGAGGGGACATCACACCTAAAGTATAAACATCATGGATGTGATCTACCCTCAGAGGAATGACAGAGACAAAAGATGCTGGCAGCAACATCCACGGAGCAGAGATGACAGACTGGTCTTTACCTGAACTAATACGTTTGAATGGAGAACAGCAGCGCTGTGTTTGTGCTGGAACTGATAACAAAGGTCTCACCTTGACAAACTGCTCATACAGATCTCTGACAGCTTTCAGCTTCTGGTTCTGAACCACCCGGGCCTGCTGCAGGATTTTCTGCTGCTGCCGAAACAAATTCTGTCAAAATAAAAGATCAAGGCATGATTTCTGAGTGGATCGTGGGATGCTGAAGTAGCTTTTGGGCAAAATGCTGAACTTTGTAAAGCATGTAGCTGAGATCTATGTGAAAGGGTGAATGTGGCTTGTTAAACTCTAAGTAAACTTAACAGAACCCAGGGTGTTAAGGACATTCACTCATGTTTTCAACATCTGCAGTGGCCTCTAGTATTGTCATGGTCTGTGACTCCCTCATGTGTCTCCTTGTGATCCTCATGTGTCCCCTGGTCTGCAGCCCCTCCAGATTATCCCTCCCAGGTCCTGTGCTCCCGTTGGTCTCCCCTAGTCTCCCCTCTGCAGTTATTCTATAAGGTTCAGCTTTTCATTTAATTAGTCTCTTTAGTGTGTTTCTTTACCCGGTTTTGGTAGTTTTCCTTCCCCCTGAGAACATTACTTATTTTTCTTGCTCTTATTGTCTTAAGGTTTTTGTTCTTAGGTCATGTTAGTTTCCTCTCCCTGATTAGTTAATTGCTTTCACTAGGTTTCTCTCCACAGGCAATGTGGCGACGCATCCATGAGCCTGCTCAATTGCTCGATCGCCTATTTTTTGCTCATTTTAATTATATTTTTAACCATTTTCTAAATTCTTTTTTATACTTTTACATTTTTTGTTTTTGTGAAGCGCCTCGTGATTTTTATCTTGAGAGGCGCTATAGAAATGACATTTTCTTCTTCTAAAAGCTCTGGCGCTCCTGTTTCAGTAACTAGAAGTTAGCTGGAGCTTCAGACGACAGGATGTAGAGAAGTTGGTCTTTAAATCCACTCCTCAGCAGGTCTGTCAGCTTTAAATATGAGTGGAACACAGAAGGTTTAGCGTGCGGACACTGAGTTGAAGCTAACATCTGGGAGTGGGAACTGACGTTCAGTTTCTCCTCCTGCTCCTCGGCTCGCTGGGCTTCATCCTCCCACTGCTGCAGGGCAGAAGAAACCTGCTGAGAGTACTGCTGGGTCGCCTTCTTCCTGCACACACAGTTTGCATAAACACACACACATCTGTATTTCTGCTATCACATGGGTGTCCAATCTGTGGAAAACTCTTGTTCTCCTATATTTTGAGACAGGTTATCCCTTTAGCCCTATCCCAGGATAACTCGAGCTAACCCTAACTAGCAGATCTATCCCAAAAGACAGTCTGAAGACGAGCAGCCCAGGTTTCTGCCTCATGGATGGAAAATGGAAGCTGGTTCCACCAGAGAGCAGCATGAGATCTGAAAGCTCCGTAGAAATAAACCTGACAAGAAACAAGCTAAAGGCAGGGCGACAGTGGCCCAGGGGTCAGGAGGTCATCCTGTAACTGGAGAGTTTCTGGTTGAAGCCCAGGCTACGTTTGTCAGTCTTTGTGTCCTTGGGCAAGACACTTCCCCCGCCTGCCTGCTGGTGTAGGTCGGAGTAACTGGTGGTCTCTGGCAGTGTGTCCCACGGCAGCTGTGGCTACAATGCAGCTCATCACCACCAGGGTGTGAATAGGTGACTGGGAGCTTTGGAGTCCTCTGACTGAGAAAAGTTCTTTATTTTTTTTTATCTGTCCTGTCCTGGCAGTTGAAGCAGACAGAATGGTTGATCTAGGCACCATCACATGTCAGAGTAGTTTCAATCTACAGCAAGAAGGATGTGAGATATTCCTCCTGTTGCACCAAAGCCTTTAGTACATTAGATCGTATTCACTTATGTACCATTTGGGGCCACCAAGCTTGGAGCCCTCAGCCTAGCACAGTGTCACCGTCACCAAATCAGGCCAGCCTGGGGTGAGACAACCCCAGGCCCCAAGGGCAAGGAACAGCCAACATGGGGTGACCAAGCCAGCCCAGCCCCCCGGTGGAGCGAGCACCAGCCCCTCAACCCTCAGGGACGGTGAGGTGTGTGGGGTCATGCAGTGGAGGGCCCTCCCCCATTCCGGAAACAAAGGCCACACCATTATTTGGGGGTGGGTAGGTTCCTGACTGTCCCCCCCCCCCCCCCCCCCAACCTGCAACTGCCTGCCCCCTCCCATAAATGCCAACACCCAGAGTCGTGGGACCGCTCCCCCCGAAAAGCGCTTTATTAGTGCAGGTCATTCATCATTAACCAAGACCCTCAGTGATGAAACAGAAGAAAACCCTCAAAGCAGTGAGAGAATAAAAGCACGTTTAGGGAGAGTTTAGCACTTTTTCTTTAGGTTTTCCTGAAGTTACAGAAACAGTAACCTTTGGCCGTGATGGTTACTCCAGAGCTGCTCCAGTTTCTGTTGGCTTCCCTTCATGTAGTTCTTGGTTAGACACTCTAGGCGTTTCTTCTTGGCCTGCATCACCTTGCTGATGTCGGCTTAAACAAGAGAAAAGACAGTCATGTTTGGTCTGCAGCACTCACAGCTGATCTAACAGAATGTGTTAAATCTGAGGTTTGATAAACACCAGAAACCATTGTTTCCTGTCTGTGAGCTCACCCACCACCTTTTATTTTGAAAGAGAAACCTCAAAGCTGCAGATGCGCTGACATTTTAATCGTTACGCACATCGCAGAGGTAGCTAAATTAATAAAGACAAGATTCTCATCAGAACATCTGAGCTGCATACTGCTCAGCACAGCTCGCTGTCAGCGCACACATAAGGTGGACAGTGAGCTGAAGGTGTGGAGAGGGGCTTGGAGTGGGTCAGTCACAGGCAGCAGCAGAACCAGAACCATGCAGGAAGGTTCCTCTCACTGAAGCAAGTGTTCTCCAAACCCTGTCTCTCAGAGAGACGTGTCACTTAGAAAATGTTCCTGATGATGAAACTTTGGCTGAATAGCGCTTGTTCCTGTCTCCAATGTGACAACGCGATCCATGAGCCTGTCTGAGGAAAAGAGTCTCACATCCTCTTCAGCTCAGAAAGCTCCTATAGAGACATCTGATTTCACACAAGCAGGTGACCTGTCACTTCAGGTCTTTATCATTTTTGTTTAGATTTTAAAATATGACTATTTTTACATTTAGAATTGGCATACAGATTAAAATGAATGCAGTAAAATAAAATACATTTTAATTAAATATTCATTCATTATTTTACATGCAGAGAGATCAGATGGATGAATGAGCCGCCGGTTGCCGACCGCTGTGCTAGAATAACAACAATCCCAGAGTAAAGGCTTCACCTTCTCTACAGTAAGGGTATGAAGTAACTCAAGTTTATCACTGACGAAAAGACTGACAAACAATCATGTTTAAAAAAAACTTGGGTCAAATGAATAGGAACAGCAGCTTACCCCCAAATTTCTCCAACATAGACTGAACCTCATTTCTGAACAGGTGACAAGAAAAAGGTTAGTGTGAAATATGAACAGAATCAGCATGCAGGTGCAAAAGCTGTAAAACATATTAAAATCACCCCTTATTTCAAATATATTTGCTTGGAGATGATAAGTGGTGGTTTGATTTCTTATCACAAAACAAGCAATTGATAAACAACATAATTTATTCTGAGACCTGTGACTGATCATTGCTGATGAGAGAAACTGTACCCGACTGCACATGAGACGGCCTCCTCCTCAAAACCAGCTGCTGATCTCTTCTTTGCCATCTTGTCAACAACATGAGTTTCATCTGGGGACATTAAAAGTCAATAGTAAACAGTGAAACCTCATAGCAGGTCCAGATGAAAAAACATAACAGAGTGGTCAAATGTAGAACCTATCCTAGATAGTAAAAAGATGTTTTATAACACAGCTGTGATGTGAAAATCGTTTTTCTACTTGTTAAGTTGCAACAAAGTGGGAAAATATTATTGTCTTAATTGTGTAGGAGCTCTAGACTAGTCTAGACCAGGGATTCCCAAAGTGTGGGGGTGCGCGAGCTGCCGCTAGGGGGTGCGCGAGGTGAAAAGTGTAATGGCTGCGGAGCTCAGAGAAGTCTGTCATGTGTCACCATTATTGTAGAAACTCATTTGTGGGTGGGCCAAAGAAAAAGTAAGTGGGCCCAATAAATGTAATTGAAAACAAGTATATTTTTGCGCGCGTGTCCTCCACATGTGCCCTAGCTTCATAATAACAATGCACCGAGCTTCAGCACTCTGGCCTGCGCACGCCGATATGTTCCGTATTTGATCATTTTTAACGGTGTTGGAGGAATCTGAAGGTGGCGAGTCATTCTGGCAGATTAACACCTGTCTCATGCAGGTGTTCTGACATTGTAAACCTCACACACAGAACATTGTGGATGTAACAGAATAACAAGAAATGATTCCCATTCAGGCTATTGACAGCGCGCTGAAGATCTGAAGTTCAGAGTGCGTCTGTCAGAGGTCAGACGTGTTCCAGCGGAACCACGGCTCACGGGTGCACATGTGAGCACATCTGGGCTGGGCAGAAGTTTAAATAGCGCCAATAACGAGACGCGGTGACTTGAGAGGCTGTGTCCTGATGAAGGTCTCTGACCAAGAGCTTGACGAATAAACTCCTACATCACAGATTGAAGTGTGTGGATTCTCATTTTGTTTGTACTTGTGAAGCGCCTTGTGATTTTTATCTTGAGAGGCGCCATATAAAAGATCCTTTTCTTTCATTCAAATACACTGACTTTCTGCGCCAACACCTGTAGATTTCTGAAGTGCTGACCAGAGGAAAGTGCTCCACATAACACAGGGATTGTTTACTTTAGAGTAAAATATCTTTAATAGTCAAATTACATTATTATTGGGGGTTGTCTTCTAAAATGTCATCTTATCTGTACAACCTGCCCATAAGAAATGGATTTCTGTTGAAGCCAGCATTAGCTAGGACACTTCAGGCATACCTTCTCTTCCCTCTTCTTCTGAGCCACTCAGGTCTTTCTTTTCATCTTTTTCAGTAAAAGCATAAACAGCTTTATCCAGTTTTTCTTCCAGGTGTTTTTTCGTCATCGGTTTTCTACGTGTAGCCATTTTCCAAATCTGCTCTGTGGGTACAAATGAAAATCATTAGAGTTCATGCTAATGGCATTTCCAGCAAAATAACGTAACTGTTTTAAAACTTCAGCTGTTTAGCAATTTCTTAAATGAACTAATTAACTTGAAATTGTAAAAGAAGATGTAAACTGGCCTGTTTCTCTACTCTTGGAATAATTTTCTCCGAAAAGTCACTCAGAGAAAGCAAGACTAGCCTAATGAAGTTAGCTCCCGCCACAACGGGTGTCTCTCGCTGCTAACAGGTCCCTCCCGAGGCCGGAGAACACAGACGCGCGCCCCCTGCTGGCTAGCCTCCGTAAATGCAACTCTATAGCCTGGCAAGTCATGCTATTTTTCCTGAACAAAATAAGAAAATAAATGAACATCTCTGCTTTTAAGAGTTTATTACTTTTGATTCACCTACTTCTTACCTTATCTTGTTGCAGTATGTTCAGATACTGTTTACTTTAAAAGAGCATGGCAGAGATCATCAACATGTACAGAAAATACAACGAAGCAAATACAAAATACGTCCATTTAGTTTATTTGAAATGTTTTAGAGTTCGACTTAAAGGGATTGGATACTGACGTTTTATGGATTCTTTTTCAGTTGATGGTTGAATCTGTAATAATTACAACAGATGGGAAAGCATCAAATTAAACAATAAAAATTACAACGTAATGTCTATTTAGATCACAGGGAGGCTGCTCTGCTTTCACATGTTTTACTTTTATATTTCAACTGAATTCTTTATTTTTTACCATTTTCCACCGTCGATGTGAGAATGGATGAGTGATAGTATCGTAAAGCACTTTGGAGTTCTCCGACTCAGAAAGGCGCCCTAAAAATGCAGGTCATTTTTCATCTAATCTATTAGTGAAAGTTTTAGAAGAAGAAGAAAATATTTCTATAGCGCCTCTCAAGATAAAAATCACGAGGCACTTCACAAAAACAAAAAATGTAAAAATATAAAAAAGCATTTAGAAAATGTTTAAAAATATATTTAAAATAAGCAAAAATAGACAATTGTGATTTATAAAATGTTAAGAGAGAGAGTGAATAGGAAAGAGGGAAATCAGTGGATCCTGAGGAAGGTGGATTAGGTGGGGAGAGCAGAATAAAGAGAGAGTGGTGAAGAAGGTGATACAAAAGCCAGCTTGAACAAGTGAGTCTTCAGCTGCTTTTAAAGGAGACCACTGAGTCCACTGATCTCAGGCTCAGGGGGAGAGAGTTCCAGAGTCTGGGGGCCACAGCAGCAGATGATCTGTCACCTTTGGTCTTTAGCCTGGTGCTGCACAACCTGTAGGCTTTGGTCACTGGACCTCAGGGACCTGCTGGGGGTGTAGGGACTAAGAAGATCACCAATGTATGATGGTGCTTGTCCATGTAAGGCCCTATAGACCAGAACCAGGATCTTGAAATGAACCCTGAAGTTGACTAGCAGCCAGTGAAGCTGGAGGAGAAGCGGGGTGATGTGGGTGTGTTTGGAGGACTTGGTCAGAAGCCGAGCACAGGCGTTCTGAACCACCTGTAGACGGTTCAGGGAGGTTCTGCTCAGACACGTGAAAAGAGTTACAGTAGTCTAAGCGTGAGGAGATGAAGGTGTGGAGAACTGTCTCAAGTTCAGAGCGGGACAGAATGGGACTCAGCTTAGCAATGTTCCTGAGATGGAAGAAGGAAGAGCGAACAAGAGAACTGACATGAGAATCCAGGGTGAGAGCTGAGTCAAAGGTCACGCCAAGATTCCTGACAAGGTTTGGTGTGAGAAGCAAGCTGACCAAGAGAGTCTCTGACTTTGGGAACCAGCTTGTCTGGGGCACAGATGAGGATCTCAGTCTTATCTTTATTCAGCTGTAGAAAGCTCCCACCATCCAGGCTTTGATAGCGTCTAAGCAGGTGTGTAACAGCTGCAGCTTAGACATCTCATGGGGCTTAAAGGAGATGTACAGTTGAATGTCATCTGCATAAAGATGGTAGGAGATTCCTTTGAAGGCGCTCAGGATGTGCTGCAGAGGAAGCAGATAGAGGAGGAAGAGCAGAGGTTTTCTTAGAACATTTTGCTTTAAATCATGAGATGAAACTATAATTGCAATAAACTGGAACCTAAATCTCATCAGTTGACTTTTATTACAGAAAAAGGCAAATTATTTTTGTCACATAGTTTAAAAATCGGTTGATGCTGAAATGAACTTAATTATTAGTAATATATTGTGACGACCACTTCTGTTTTTTATTAGTATTTCTATTAGGCTGGAATGAAGCTGCTAATGTGTCTCAGAACCAGTGAGATTTTCTTTAATGACATTTATAGTTGATATGAAGGCTTTGTTGGTCCTTGGACAACTTTTATTGGTTTAATAAACATTTTCAGTGCCCTGGCAGACACGCCGGGATACTGGGATCTGGAAGATGTTATTAAATCTTATATTTGGGTATTGTACGTCTGATTACGAGGATGAGTCTTTGTTGATCAGAACGACACAAAAACACATTCAGGTTTGCCTTTTTTAACATGTTTAGAACTTCCTGTCTTCAGACAGAATGGGATGTTCTGATACAGGGAACAGGAGAACAGCAGGAACCCAAACAGATGAAACTATGACGATTTCCTCTAGCAGGAGGCAGGAAATGATCTGCCCGCTGGTCTGATTAAAATAAGCACACCTGGGAAAAAATATGTTCCTGTGCCACGTTCACCAATACCAAATAATTTCACAAACAGACGTGACTGGACGCCTCTCACACAAATAATCACGAACTGCTTTAACGAGCAGACTAGCAGAACAATCCTCCTCCAGGAGCCTCAGAAGAACGACAGAGGAGTATTTAAAAACAGGAGCTCTGAAGGAAGACTCGGGTCCAAACAGGATAATGGATCGGATCCGTCTCACTTCCCAGCCACCACAGACAGCTGGTCTCTGATACGTCCCAGTCCGTCCAGGATTGTGTCCAGAGACTCCCTGCTGAGCTCCACTGTCACCGTGGAAACAGAGTCCCCATCTGCAGATGGACACGGATCCTCCATCTGGAAAGCAGCACACACTTGATCAAAGGTAATGTCACACACAACACGCGTGTCTCTGGTCTCAAGTCTATATCAATAAAGATCGAGTTGAGTTGAGTGTGACAAGCATGACAAAGATACCAGCAGGTGGATGTCTCTGGTCAGGTGAACTCACCAAGTTTAGGTTCTAGTTCTCACCTTTAGCTGGACCAGGCAGGTCGGCACCGCCACCCGGCTGAGCGAGTCCGAGCTGGACACCAAGTCCACTCTCCAGTCCAGGTCCTGCAGCTGAGGGAGGGACACTGGACACAAAAACACAAATATGTATGTTTTTGCTGGGACACCTGGTCCAGAAATACCTGACCAGAACCTATATGAACTTTGACCTCAGAATTAAGGAAGCAGATAAAGTACACATTATAATTAGCTACGATAACTAGACTTCCACCTTAAAAGTTCAAAAAGCTTAAAGTGACTCAAACATCAGAACCTCAGGACCCCACAGAACCAGGTGTAACTGGACTCACCTTGATGACTCAGAACTTCAGACCTCCACTCTGGGCTGAAAAACAGTAGACGATACATGATGTCATTGCAGCCTGTGGCAATGACATTCTACATTAACCAATCAGTTGAGGGCAGCATCTTTCCCAGGGACACGACAACCAACTCAGACAGCGCCTGGGTTCAAACCAGCAACCCACCTCCTGACTCCTGAGCCTTTCTACATTTTATATTCTAAACTATTAAAACTACGATGGCAAATCTACAGAACAAGCTAGCTTTTTTCAGTAAGTGACCTGGTGACGACAGCAGAGGCAAAATGACTGCTCAGCAGAACTCCTCCAGGCTTGTTATTGATGGAGATAACACATCAACGTTGCAGAGAGTCAGTGTCAGCTGTGCTGCTGTTAGCCAATCAGAGGAGAGATGTCCACATAACAGGAAATAAGACTCCAGATCCTGTCGTGTTAAGCGCTCCTCTGATGTGGCATTCTGCTCGTTCCTCTAACAAGAGTACGACTTACCAGGCATTCGTTCCTACTAGACCACTGCAGATGTATAGATTAAATCGGTGTCCCACACCTTTAAGTCCTATATTTAGAAAAAGGACGTTTTGCATCTTCTTTAACAGTTTATGGTGGACTGCCCCATTGACTGACACCCGTAGCGGTGAGTACGTCCTTTTGTTTGTTGTCTAGCAGAAAGTGGAGACAGTTTGAAAGACAACCGTAGATCCCACACCGCCACTGACTCTGTCCAGGGATCGTGGACGGACCATATATTGACATATATAGGATGGTTGCCAGGCTACCACTGACCCGTTTTCCAGCAGGATCTTAGTGATCAGGTTCTTCAGGCTGGAGTGGAAGTACTCAGGAAACACAGCCAGGATCTGGTCTGGAGAGGTGAGGTTCTGGAAGAGGACGTGATGAGACAGAGTGTGGAGGGACTGGGTCAGCTGTAGGACAGAAAAACAGACTGGATCAGAACCACAGACAGGATCAGGGATGGGACAGAACCACAGGTGAGGGGGCTACCTGAGCTGCCTGTGCTGCTGGGATGCTGAACGTGGCTGCGGTTGTTTCTGTCAGCTGACGACTTGGACCTCTGTGGCTCTGAACACAAACATCTCTCACTGCATCTTTAGTTGGAGCCTGGGGGGAGACACACACACACACACACACACACACACACACACACACACACACACACACACACACACACACACACACACACACACACACACACACACACACACACTACGTTTAATCTGAGGTTTGTTTCAGTGACAGCCTCTCCAGATGAAAACACTAAAATCCACAGATTAGTATTCTGCTTCAGATTACAGATTAAAACTCAACAGAATCATCGATGAATACCTTTAGAAGAAGCTGCAGGTTGGTAAAATCTTCTGTCGTTACATCGGCGGCCATATTGTCAAGTGACAAGTCATGTGCTTCGCTACGACTGATGGGAGATGAAGTCCAAAGAAAACGTTCACTGAAAAAGAAAATCATCAAATGTGAAGCTAAATTGGGAGAACGTCGATGGAGAACACACCGAAAACGACTTCAATCAGAAAACTACAACTACGGGCTATGAAATGACGGAATCGCGAACAGAACAAAAAAGAGTGAAAACGGCAAATAACATCTTTATTCAAAATATATCTATTGCTTTGAGACAATAACATGAATTATTATAACCCATTATGAATTATTACAACCCACTTTTCTAGCAAAGTTACAAAGATTTCATAAAAACATAAAAAACTTGCTTAAAAAACCTCCTAAACCGTTTCCGGTCAAGATTTCAGATTCCGGTGGGGTGGGGGGCACCAGAGGCTGTTTGCTACAGAGCACCTGACTCGGGCTGCGGGCAGTCGGAACCCGGTACCGTCACTCCGTGATGTCTATCTCCGGGATGAAGAAGCAGTTCCGCAAAGCCAGCCAGGTACACGAGCCGGGTCTGTTCGGAACCGAACCGTCAGGTGGTTTTAGGACTCGTCTTGGTTCTGACAGAGTGCTGAGACACGAGGCCTTCTCCAGTACCGAGCCACCCGGGCCTCGTGAATGAAGTTCTGTAATAACAACAATAATAATAACAACAACAACAACAACAATAATGTGGAATACCTTGTTGAATAGAAATAAACGTTTTCTTCTGAGTTCCGTACCAGATTTAAACATTTTGACTCATTTATTTTAAATATCTGCTCTGATTCTATAAAGTCACAAATTCTGCTTTTGAAACAGGAACGAGTTTTTCTGGAGGAAGATTTAGGATGAAACACGTTTTATTGTCACTTCCTGGATGAGTCAGCAGGACTTATCCTGGTTTTATTGCTTCAGGCTTCAACCAATTAATTTTCAGTTGCTTGATTACTTTTATGTAAAATTGATAATTTGTTGTTGTTGACCGAATAAAAATATCTATATCTAAAAAAATATATCTATCTAAACTAGAGTTTAGCTGCTTTTTAGATTTTCCTCTGCTGTCTGTCCTCTGCTGTCTCATCTGTCCTCTGCTATCTCATCTGTCCTCTGCTGTCTCCTCTGTCCCCTGCTGTCTCCTCTTTCCTCTGCTGTCCCCTCTGTCCTCTGCTGTCTCATCTGTCCTCTGCTGTCCCCTCTGTCCTCTGCTATCTCATCTGTCCTCTGCTGTCTCCTCTGTCCCCTGCTGTCTCCTCTTTCCTCTGCTGTCCCCTCTGTCCTCTGCTGTCTCATCTGTCCTCTGCTGTCTCCTCTGTCCCCTGCTGTCCCCTCTGTCATCTGCTGTGTCCTCTCTCCCCTGCGGTGTCCTCTGTCCTCTGCTGTCTCGTCTGTCCTCTACTGTCCCCTCTGTCCTCTGCTGTCTCATCTGGCCTCTACTGTCTCCTCTCTCCCCTGCTGTCTCCTCTGTCCTCTGCTGTGTCCTCTCTACCCTGCTGTCTCCTCTGTCCCCTCTGTCCTCTGTTGTCACATCTGGCCTCTGCTGTCTCCTCTGTCCTCTGTTGTCTCCTCTTTCCTCTGCTGTCTCCTCTTTCCTTTGCTGTCCCCTCTGTCCTCTGCTGTCTCATCTGTCCCCTGCTGTGTCCTCTGTCCCCTGCTGTGTCCTCTGTCCCCTGCTGTGTCCTCTGTCCCCTGCTGCAGCGTCTGAATGAGAGGTTGACGGGAGCTGAAGGAACTAGGATGGACGACGACTTCCAGAAGTTGCAGAAGGTAAACGTGACCCGGGCCTTAACTGAAGGACTGAGATCAGAACTGGGTCTGACCTCTTCTTCTGTCCATCAGAGCGTCTCAGTGATCGACGCCCTGGTGGCTGAGCTGCTGTCCAGAACCACAGAACTCCTTCAGCCAAACCCAGGTACCATTGTGCTAACAGAACCAGAACTCATCGTTAAACATCTAAATCAGGTCAAGTCTTCTGTTCCGCTGGTGAGCAGCAGCTCAGTGGTGGAGTGGGTTGCTTCATGATGGGAGGGTTGTGGTCTGATTCCTGCTCCCTCCAGGGGCACTCTGCTGTTGTCAGATATGAAAATCTCTCGCCTTTCGGCGAAATTTGCCATTTTGAATCCAAAATGGGTCACCTACGTGATTCGTGCAGATCTGATGAGAAAATATTTGGGGGGGTAGTTTATGTATTTAGCAGACGCTTTTGTCCAAAGTGACTTACATGTGATAATCTGCATGCTGCCCTTGAGGCTAACAACAACAATAACAACAACTTGACATCAGTCATGGAGAGGAGGGAACAAGGAGTGGACAGTAGTGAGGGGGGACGGGTGCAGGGAGGGTGCTAGTTTAGAAGATGCTCTCTGAAGAGCAGGGTCTTCAGGAGTTTCTTGAAAATTGAAAAGGAAGCCCCTGTTCTGGTAGTCCTTGGAAGGTCATTCCACATTTGTGGAACGATGCATGAGAAGAGTCTGGATTGTCCTGAGCGTGGTGTAGGCACTGCTAGCCGACGATCCTGTGATGAGCGGCCGGACCGAGACGTAAGCCTTTGCAAGAGGATTCAGGTAGATGAGAGCCGTACCATCTCGGACTTTGTATGCTAGTGTTAGCAATTTGAATCTGATGCGTGCTGCTAGTGGTAGCCAGTGGAGCTCAATGAACAGAGGGGTGACGTGCTCTTTTTGGCTGATTGAAGACCAGACGCGCCCCTGCGTTCTGGACCATTTGAAGAGGTCTCACAGTACAGCCTGGAAGACCAGTTAGAAGGGCATTGCAGTAATCGAGGCGGGAGATGACAGTAGATTGCACCAGGAGCTGGGTGGCATGTTGTGTTAGGTATGGTCTGATCTTCCGTATGTTATACAGCGCAAAGCGGCATGAACGAGCAACAAAGGCAACATGATCTTTAAAGGTCAGGTGTTCATCAATCACTACACCCAGATTTCGAACTGCCTTTGAAGGAGTCAGAGATAGGAAGTCATTTTGGATTGAGATATTGTGCTTTATGGATGGTTTTGCTGGGATGACAAGTAGTTCAGTTTTAGAGAGGTTGAGTTGGAGATGGTGGGATTTCATCCATTTTGATATGTCAGAGACAGTTTGATATTAGTGCAGAGACAGTGTGATCGTCTGGTGGAAATGGCAGATAGAGCTGGGTGTCGTCTGCATAGCAGTGGTAGGAGAAGCCATGTGATCGAATGATCTCACCCAGTGAGGTGGTGTATATGACAAAGAGAAGAGGTCCTAGTACAGAGCCCTGGGGGACTCCTGTGGCAAGATGGTGCATGGTAGAGGATTGTCCAAGCCAAGATGCACTGAAAGATCGACCTGTGAGGTACGACTCAAACCAGGCGTGTGCTTTCTCTGTGATGCCATGCTAGAGAGTGGACAAAAGGAAGCCATGGTTGATAGTGTCAAATGCAGCCGATAAATCGAGCTGCATTTGTGAGGAAGGCTTTTCCATTTTTAAGACGCCCTCGACACCATCGGTCAAAAAAAATTAAAATAAAACTGTCGGAACCGGTGACGCGTGACCCGCATGAACGCAGCTCATCTGGAAGTCTCCTGTGATTAGTAATCATCATCATCATTTATTAGACTTCTAAAGTTACTTTTTTAGGCACACAAAACGAGAAGAATCATTCATTCACTTATTCATTCATTCATTCACACTGATGGTGAGCTACATGGTAGCCACAGCTGCCTCTTTGAACTCCACCACAGTCAGGTGAAGTCTCGTGGCCAAGGACCTGGGATCAAACCAGCAACACTCCGTTTACCGAATAACCCGCTCCACCTCCTGAACCTGCTGGTCCTACATAATTAATAAACCAGTTCGATAAGATGCTGTAGGAATGTCAATCAGTTGCTGTTAACCTGATCTGGTCCAGAACCAGGATCCAGTTGGGTCTGGATCTCTCAGGATCAGAGATGCAAATAGGTTCCTCCTCTAAAGAACCGAACATCTGGAGAAGGTTCTGGTGTAAAGACTCAGGGACCAGGTCTAAGCTGGAACACCATGACCTCTTACTCCTCAGACAGGTTCCACTGTACAGAAGTTTCATCAGGCTCTACAGAGCTACACTCACCAGACTTCACCTGAACATTTGTGTGTCTCTCCAGCATACCGAGCAAAAGTGGGCATGCTCAGTACCGTGTCCAGGATAAGAGGACAGGCGAGGGCGACGGGATACCCACAGACAGAGAGGATTCTGGGAAACTGCATGGTGTCCTACGGCCAGCAGCTTGGAGCTGCTTCCGAGTTTGGTACTGTTTGGATCTGGTGATTGGATCTGTGATAGGAGTAAGGAGTAAGGGCGTGAGTCAGCTGTTTGTTTCTGTGTAGGTGGGGCTCTGACTGATGTGGGCGGAGCTCTACAGCAGATTGGACAGGCCAGGGATGCTCTAAACATCATCGTGAAACAGACTTTCATCGACCCGCTTCAGAAGCTCCATCACTCAGAGCTGAAGCAGATCAAGGTGAACCAGACTCCTGGAACATCTGCTAACACATTCCGATGGAGGAGAATCAGTTTCTTCATGTGGGTTATGTTCCATCTGGTTCAGTTCCAGCTGAAGAAGCTGAACAGCCAGCGGCTGGATCTCGACTATAAGAAGAGACAACAAGGAAAAGTGGCAGCAGGGGAGTTGCAGCGGGCTTGGGACAAGTTTAGCTGGTCTACAGAGATGGCTGAGAGGAGCATGTTTGTTCTGCTGCAGAACGAAGTGAGTTTAAACTTCTGGATGTTCTGGATCAGCTGGTTACCATCGGTAACCAGTACCAAGAGTAACCAGTACCATCAGTAACAAGTACCATCGGTAACCAGTACCATCAGTAACCAGTACCATCAGTAACCCGTACCATTGGTAACCAGTACCATCGGTAACCAGTACTATGAGTAACAAGTACCATCTGTAACCAGTACTATTACTAACCAGTACCATGAGTAACCAGTACCATCGGTAACCAGTACCATGAGTAACCAATACCATTAGTAACCAGTACAATCGGTAACCAGTACCATGAGTAACCAGTACCTTCTGTAACCAGTACCATTATGGGCCATTCCCATCTGTACCGGGTCGGCCCGGGCCGGGTAGCGTAGGTTGTTTACATATCTGGGTGACCTGGTATTTTTCCGGGCCAACCAAGGCTCATTCTCAGCCCTCTTCTCGAGGGGGTCTGCTTCAGGCCGACCAGGGCCAACACACCCACTGCTGACAGCAAATTCACACCTTCCATTAGAGCAAGCCTCTGATTGGTGGGTAGAATCAGCCCACATGGGCTTAAGGCAAGGATGTGTGGAATCAACCGGGCCAGGCTGGGGCCGACTGGGGCTACCCGGCCCGGGCCGACCCGGTACAGATGGGAATGGCCTATTAGTAACCAGTACCATCGGTAACCAGTACCACGAGTAACTAGTACCATTACTAACCAGTACCACGAGTAACTAGTACCATTACTAACCAGTACTATGAGTAACCAGTACCATCGGTAACCAGTACTATGAGTAACCAGTAGTGATGGGACGAACGACACTGGCGCGTCAGCACAGTGTCGACTGCACAAGAGTGAAACCTCGTATCGGTGCGTGTCGCTGTAAGAAAATATCATGTGACCGACACAGGAAGTGTGTTGTTTGGATGTGCCACGCCAAATTGTGTTTATAAGGAAACAAACTGTATCGACATGTTGCGGATTTGTTGGATAGAGTTTTGCTGTTGGATTTTGGATTTTTCCTTACCCTCACGCTCACTTTTCTCCGCTGACTTCATGGATCGTTCCAAGAAGTTTTCCCCAGTCTGGAATAATTTTGATCTTTTGACGCCAAAAAAGGTAAATTGTTTTCTCCATTTGGCAACGTTTACTGTTATTTCTGTATTTTAAATGTGTTTGTAGTCTTTCTCTGGTAAGAGGCTTACATTGTTTTCAGATAAATTAACTATTTATTTTATTGTAGGTGAAGTGTCTGCTCTGCTCCACAGAGCTGTCTTACTCCAGTAAGAGCACTTCATCAATGCTGAGGCATTATAGAGCTCGGCATGGCAATGATGAATTGGTAGATACCCCAGGTATGTTGAAATTATCACAAAAAAAAATCTTAATTGTCAAAAATAGTCTATTACACACCCTCTGAACACAGTTCAGGTATGAAAACACATTTCTTTGTGAATATTTGTTTATTTCTGTGTAAGTTTGTCATGTGATAGTAAACCAATGATTAACAGACTTACTTCCAATTTATTTGTTAGGACACAATCTCTGGAGACACCTTGATATGGAGGTTGAGGAGAGCAGGATGACCTCTAATACTACAGCCAATTCCATAATTGAAGTCCAACGCTACCTGGCTGAAAGAAACACCAAGAACACAAGACCCATTACAATATTGGAAAAATAACCAGAATTTATATCCACACCTTTATCAACTCACACTTCAATTCTTCTGCACACCATCTTCATCTGTACCCTGTGAATAAGTTTTCTAAGGCAGGGGAACTGGTGTCTTAAGAGGAGAAATCGCCTTGGAGCAAACACACTGCAGAAACTTTTGTATCTTAAATAAAAATGCATAAATGAATCCATATTTAGTCTTTTATTTTGTATGATCTAACACAGAGGTTAACACATTTACATAAGTTAAAACTTTTACTTCTGATTTTTATTAGACACATTCAGAAGATTTAACATGCCAACTCACTGTAGCATTTACACAAAGGTTATAAACAAATGTTAAACTCATTTCATAAACAACTTAACTTAACAAATTGAGTAAATCAAATTCCATAATGATATAATATTTTGATTACAGGAAATTAAATCTTGCACACCTGGTGTGGGTTTGCAGCATGTAAGCTTTTCCATCTTATTTACCTGCAATAATTTTAGAAATACTGCAGGTGTCACTATTGAATGACCAACACAGTGTCAATACAGTGCCGACAGTTTGTCTAGTGTGTCAATGCACTCCTTGAGGTATCATCATTCCATCACTAGTAACCAGTACCTGTCACGATACAGGATGGTAGGACCCAAAATGCAGGAATCCAAGATGACACGAGGCAGGTGATAATATAAAGAAAAATCCTTCATTTTGAAGGATTAACCAAAGAATAAATCCAAGGCAGGGAGCCAAAAGTCCAAAATCAAAACTAGAGACAAAAACACTGGAGACTAGAGAAGACTGACAGAATAACCACAATGGGACGACACAAGACAGAGACAAGACAGGGCTTATATACACAGGGAGGAGTAATTAGGGAAAATGGCAGCAGGTATGTGGAGTGAGGGCTGGAGGGAAGACAGGTGAATATAATTATCTAAATGGGAAAACAGAAACAGAGGAGGGCAAATAAACCTAAGACACAAAACTAAACAATTATCTAAACACAGAGGGAAGGGCTCACACACACACACACATACACACACTGACACATACGTAAACTCACACACACATACACACACTAACACACACAAAACACCAAGCTGGGGAAGGACACGCACACACACACAAACACCGAGCTGGGGAAGGACACGCATACACACATACACACACACACACACACACACAAACAAACACCGAGCTGGGGAAGGACACGCACACACACACACACACACACACACACACAAACACCGAGCTGGGGAAGGACATGCATACACACACACACACACACACACACACACACACACACACACACACACACACACACCGAGCTGGGGACAAAGAGACTGGAGCTACACCTGGAGGGGCTGGGGATGACTTAATGAACACCGGACCTGAGGGGGATGATCAGAATGGCTACAACAGAAGACACATAAGTGAGACGCAGAAAAAGGACACATGAGGGCGCTATGAGACACAAAAGGGGAATAAAGAGAGGGATGGAGAAACATCAAGAGACTCATGAGTGAAGACGCAGACCATGACAGTACCATCGGTAACCAGTAACATGAGTAACCAGTACCATTAGTAACCAGTACCATGAGTAACTAGTTCCATCTGTAACCAGTACCATTAGTAACCAGTACTATCTGTAACCAGTACCATCGGTAACCAGTACTATGAGTAACCAGTACCATCGGTAACCAGTACCACGAGTAACCAGTACCATCGGTAACCAATATCATTAGTAACCAGTACTATGAGTAACTAGTACCATCGGTAACCAGTACCATCAGTAACAAGTACCATCAGTAACTAGTACACCAAGTCAGAGGATTTAAAGTTTCAGAAAAATAGCTGTTTGACAAACTATTACTGTGTGTGTGTGTGTGTGTGTGTGTGTGTGTGTGTGTGTGTGTGTGTGTGTGTGTGTGTGTGTGTGTGTGTGTGTGTGTGTGTGTGTGTTTAAGTTCTAATGTATAACAAGTAAATATTCTGGATGTCAGAAGGTTTTTACTAACTTCATGTCTAAGGAGTTTCCAAACTTCTCTAATGTTTCCTCCTGCAGGCGGATCTGGTCAGTCTCCTGGCTGCGCTGATCTCTGGGCTGCTTGACTTTCACCGAAACACCCAACATATCCTGCTGGGTCTCCATGGCAACCTGCAGGCCAGGTGGGTGTTTTGTCGTCAGGACCACGATGCTGTGATGGAATGAAGCCATCCTCTGAATTGGACGAATCTAAATTTTATGATTTTATTGTTTTGGTTTGTTTCTGTTTGGTTTTATTTAAACTTTTTGTTTGTTTCCTCTAAATGTTGTGTACACGCTGCCCACCAGACTGACTGCTGCCAGTAACAAACCGGAGCGACGGTTCAGGTCCAGAAAGGTCCAAGTCCAAGGAGACCACAACAGCATTATCGGGTTGGATCATCAGCCCTCAGACCCAGCTTCCACGTCCTCAGGTCACAGAAACGTTTGTTTCAGTTGAAAAAGTAATCAGCCCAAACATCATGACCCCTGACAGGCTGAAACCCCTGGTTACCATAGTAACAAGCAGTGGGTGGAGTCTTTCAGACAGCAGGTGAACTTCTTGCCTCAGTGGGAGGTTTTGAGCCACGTTAACAAGAACCAAACTGTGATGATCAGATGGCTGCGCCAGAACCAAAGCTCTGTAAGATGTTCCTGGTCCACAGAGGTTAGAAGCTACCCACCAGCAGGAATCAGAACCTTTGGTACATCCGAGTCCATTTGGGTCCACGTTGGAGGATAATAAAGAACCGCTGGAGGAGCAACCAGCTGGACTCAAGAATCTCAGCCCGGTTCAGACTGCAGGCAGTGGCGGATTTAGCAATTTGGGGGCCCAAGGCGAACACAAACATGGGGCCCCCTTGCACTAAATTTTCGATAATCTTATCTTTAACTGGATTTGTGAAACTCTCCCCTCTTCTGACATGAGCTATTTTCACTTTTTATTAGTCCTCCTCTTTATTCATGTCTTTCTCTCCCTTTGAGTGCTTTCTTCTTCCTGTCAGTGCTCCTGTGCTTTTGCCTTTGTTTTTTTCCTTTTATTTTCCATTTTGCTCTATGTTTTCCTCCATTTGAACATTTTCCATTGTCTTTCCTTTCCTGCTTCCTTTTGATGTTTACATAGAAAAATGACGTCACTTTCAGAAGTGAAGATAAAAGCTTTTTTAAAGCAAGCTGCTTCTTTCTGTTATTGGAGCCACCAGGATAACTCCATTTCATTCTTAATGTTTAGATTCCCGCTTTGAGTTTGTTACGAACGCTCCCGCCTCTCTTCTTCTTCTTATTTGTGGTCTTGTGGCACCTGGCAAACAATGATTTGGTGCGTTACTGCCACCAAGTGGATTGGAGTAGAATGACTACCAATCACTTCCTGTTTGTGCATCGAGTCTTAAAGGAATAGTCCATTGTGGCATTAACAGAGGGGTGCCAGCAGTCATGGCTAGGGGGCCCCCCAACATAGGGGGGCCCCAGGTGGCCACAGATCTATACCTAATGGTTAAACCGCCACTGACTGCAGGGGAAGTTCTGAACAAACAAGTCTGATTCGTGGAGGCGCAGCTTCAGAACCTCTGGGAGCCAGGCACCTCCAGGAGTCCAGGCAGAGATGGGTCAGGGCTTGTCTAGAAGTCATAAAGTTCTGACTCATCATTTTATCTTTACTCAGTTTAATTTGGACAAATAAGTTTTTCCTTTAAATATTTTTTATGTTCCGTCTGCAGGAGAGCGACACCCAGTGGTACCGTCTGGACTCAGCAGGCCCATCTCCGACATCAGTAAGAAAACAGCATTTCTTCCTGTTGAGCTCCGAACATGAGGATCTAACCCATCTCGGGTCAGAGCTTCTCGCTCAGCTCAGTCAAAGCCTAGAGAAGTTCTTCTGTTTGGGCTCGGTATCATCATTTATGGGGCAGCAGTAGCTCAGGTGGTAGAGCGGGTTGCCTCATGATCGGAGGGTCATGGGTTCGATTCCAGCTCCCACCAGGGGTATCCTGCTGTTGTGTCCTTGGGCAAGACACTTCACCCAACTTGCCTGTGTTAGTGGTGGTCAGAGGGGCCGACGGCGCCAAATGGCAGCCTCGCCTGTGTCAGACCTCCCCAGGGCAGCTGTGGCTACAAGTAGCTTGCCATCACTAGCAGTGTGTGAATGTGAGAGTGTGTGAAAGCGTCTTTGGGGGTCTAGAAAAGCGCTATATAAGTTCAATGCATTATTATTATCAGATTCTGTGGGTCAGAACATGTTTGTAAATCCACCAATAGAAATGCTCCTCTGGAGGGAGGAGCCACCTGTGATTGGTCAGACTCTGTGAGTCAAAGCTAACATCTGGAGCAGCTGTTTTCTCATTGGATTAAAAGGTTTTGAAAACCTCCGGTCCGGTCCGACCCACTTTAGCCATGACCTTTTCTCTGGTTTCCACCCAGCTGACAACAACCTGGTCCTGGACCAGCCCTGCTGCCGGGCCATGTACTCCTTCCTGCCGAGCCACGACGGTGAGCTGGAGTTCAGCGAAGGCGACATCATCCTGCTGGTGCGCCAGGTCGACGCCAACTGGTACGAAGGCTCACTCGGCGCCAGGTCAGGGCTCCTTCCTGCCTGCTATGTGGATGTGCTGGTGCCTCTGCCGTTACCATGACGACGTGTCATCAGACATCACCCTTTCACTCCAATAATATGCAAGTTTATAGTTTCCTGTTTGTCTGGAGGGAGGAGAGGGTTCAGAACCGATCACAGTACCAGGCTCGGTTCTGAAAAGCCTGTAAATGAGAACTAAACCAGCAGAACCAGTCAGTGAAGAACAGGGTTCTTCTGCTGGTCCACTCTTGGTTGTTTCAGTTCATTTGGTTCTGCTCAGCTCTGATGGTTCCACCGCATCATCCCCTCTGAACCTTGGTTCTGTTGTCTGTCTGCTGCTATGTTTGGATCCTAGTTCTGACCCGGTTCAGACTTTAGTACCCAGACGTCTTCATGGTGGGTCAGAACCAGCTCAAACCGTCAGCCCCCACCACCGTGTTGACAGCTGGGATGAGCTGTTCGGGCTGCAGTGCATTCTGGGTAAACATCTTCACTTTGGGACGATGCGCTAGGAGAAAAATTTCCAAGCTGAGGCGATATGTCAATGTTTTTTGAATCAGCTGGTCGATCTTTCTGATTGTAAGAACCATCCTCACTACCTGTTTGAGGTTTTTAGTTTTAGATGATGACCCTCTGGTCGACCAGATGTTCTGCAGGTTTCTTCGTGTGCTAGGAAGTCAGCAGAAGGACTCAGGGTTTTCCAAATGGAGTCCGAGGCGGGCGGATCCAGGTTTGATATAGAAGGACTTTTAAGAGCTGATATTCTCTGGGGGATTTTAGAAGTTTTCCACTGAAACGTGACGAGTTTCCTCTGTGACACGTTTGGATTCATCTGGGAAGAACGAGAGGTTGAGACCTGCAGAAGGAGCTGAGATTTCCTGATGTTCTCTCGACCCTAACCGTCCTCTGAGAACCAAGCTGCTGGGCTGAGAAGATGACTGCTTGTCCAGAAGGTTAGAGGGTTGTAATGAACATGTTCATCATCATAACATGTAACAGGTGTGGTCAGGTGGATTTACTAAATCCCACATGATGGCTGTTCCTGACGCTTAGGTCCATGAATGAGAAGACATGCAGTAATCATGGATGTCCCTTAATGAGACGCTTCAGGACACCAGCTGTGTAGATCTTTGTTTTACACATGAAGGAAGCAGCTTGTGTGAATCTAAAATGTTTTTATTCAGCAGGACCTTTAAATCTTTTCCTTTTTCTCCTTCAGGGAAACATCTGATTTGTTGTGGGATGTTTGATTTTTCTTGGTGTTTTTTAGTGTAAATTTTTTTATTTGTACTTTTCTCTGTAGAAGTAAATTCCTGGAACATATCTGACGAGATCTAAATGTCTTCTGGGTGACTTTGTAGAGGTTTGGGGGACTTTTGCCTATAAATCACTTCAGATTTTTGCTGTAAAAACTCAGAATGTTCCTTTTTAATAAACAGATTCTTTGATCCGTACTCAGTTATTTAAAGGTGCAGTCGACCTACCTTTTGAAGAATAAAGATTCAAACGTCCAACTTCCTCAGCCTCAAAAGTCTGAGCAGTCGTAGTTCTGATCTAACGCGGTCCTGGTTTAGTAGACATGTTTTTACCCGACGGTTGGGCTGCTGGCTTTCTCTGAATCCACCTCCACACTGTCAACATTAAACCGGCGGAAGTTCCCCTGGAGTGCAGAGCTGCCTGTGAGGAGCATGCAGCGGACACACCGGCGTGAACGGTGACAGGTGTGTTGATTCATACTACCTGCACTCAGGCAAGATTGATTATGATTATATTTCATCTTACAAGATTGTACTGACAAAGTACTTGTGTCTGAGGCGTGGTGCTGGTACACAGAGAGTACAACCTCTACAGGATATAGTGAATTTTTTCATTCCATCAAAAGGTAGGCATGATGATGAAGGCAGTTTTCAGATTAAACATAGTGACAGCAAATAGTCTGAATCCGTTTCAGGAAGACAACGAGCCAAAGGCTCAGTGAAGAGGCTCCATCCTGCAGATCTGATCAGTCAGCTGTTGGGTGGTTGGCATGCAGGCTGATAAAGGAGAGGAAGAATTAGAACTTTTAAGAGTTCCATGTGAAGGAAAACAGGACCTGAAACGAGAAGTGACTAAATATTTTTAAAGAAATGTTTCATAAATCACAAAGGGATGAATACACACTAAAACTAAATTATGTTAATGACATAAAACAATTATTCCATAATTTGTTTACTAAAATACAAACAAGGGGAGTAAAACCTCAGAAGTCGTTCAGCGTGGTTGAGCTGTGAAGTTTCAGCCTGGGGCCGACAGGGGGCGCTGTAGCCAAACAGGCATACTACTTTCGCCGGAGCGTTTAAACTTTTACCGGAAGTCCTTTCGGTCTCTTCTTCCAGGCCGATCCAACATGGTGGGTGATGATTTCTTCTCATTCCTTTTCATCTAAAACAATCCGAATGTTTCAGCCGTTATAAACCACCGATACGGACGTTAACGGATACCGAAGCGTTCCGTCCGTTCGGAGGTGGTTATATTACTGTTGGATGACTCAAGCCGACTGCGTTATTTGTAATTTAACAGGACCACCGTTGGGCTTGACGAACCCCGGTGTCGGCTCAGGTTTTGATCCGTAAAGGTGAAGGAGAGGGCTCCTGCTTCTGTGACAATTACCGTGTAACAGGTTACCGGTAGCTCTCCGTTAGCCCGAGCCCGGTGGTATCCGGTTCAGTCTCCGAGCGGAGCAGCCGAAGGGCGGATGAGAGCTCGTGAGCTGTTGCAGTGCCCTGCTGCAGGTAGAGCTGTCAGGTGTGAAGCCCTCTGCACGAACACCTGAACTAACTTTCCTGGGGCGCACGGACAATGGTGAGGGCGCTGAGCACCACCAGCAGGCAGGGTTAGGTGTCCTGCCCAAGGACACAACAGCAGAACTGTCAGAAGCCGGGATCGAACCTGCAACCTTCCGATTACTGGACAGCGCTGCCTGTTGAGCTGCTGCTGTCAGTAAGACTTTAATGAACTAACCTAAAGTCTAGTTTAAAGAATAAAAACTGTACCATGTGCTGTTCCAAATATTCCCACACAGTAAGGTTCAGAACACTTCATAGGTTGTAACGAACTAGAATTAGTCATTTGTTGTGTCTGCAGCATATTTACGGAAGTCAAAAGCTTTTTAACAGCTCGTGTTAACATACAGACCCTTGTTTGGTAGCAGCTTACAAGTCCTGCATCTTCTGAACTTGAGGTTTTGGACCGTTTCTGTTTTAATTTGATTGCAAGAAGTCCGAATCCCTTTCAGTGCTGCTGTTTGGGTGTAAACGTCTCCCATCCTCATAGGCCTGTGGCTTGGGGGTGCTCCAAAGGTTCTCAATAGGATTGAGGTCAGAGAGGATGGAGGCCACACCATGACTTCTTATCCCCGTAGCAACCACTGATGCAGAGGTATTCCTTGCAGCATGAGATGTTGCATATTTGTGCATGAAAGTAATTTTGTTACGCACAGTTCTTCCTTCTGCACCAGGAAAGAAGGTGGTCAGTCAGAAGCTCCGCATACTTGGCAGAGGTCATCTATACACCTTCAGGGACCCTGAAAGGTCCTCCCGTGATTCCGGCCCAAAATAGGCACCAGCTGCTTCAAAGATCTGTTTGCTGCTATGTAATTTCATTTTAGCAGCTGCTCTCTTACGGATCTGGCAGAAATATTTCCTCAGTGTGCCTTTATCTGTACAAATCCATCTGTGCTGTGAATCTGTCACAAATCTCTGAATAGTGCGATAATCACTCTTAAGTTTCTGCTAAATATCATGTTTTCTCTCTCCAGCAGCAGACATCCCACATTGGTTGCTAACTGTGGTCTGTTTAATAACGTGGAACATCTTTCTTGAGTAGTTTGTGCTTTATTAGCCACACCTGGTTTCAGTGATCCAAAGATCCCTGAGATGCAATAACATCCATGAGTTTAATCAAAAACCAAAAGATCTCATCTTTGTGACGCTTAAAGATTCTTTCCTGTTGGCTCAGTTTCACTTCCAACCGTGGGCTGGACCCCCTGAGTCCAAATCTTGGATCAGACCGGGTTCTGGTTCTGAAAGCATCTGGTTTAACAGGGAAAAGGGATGGGCTGTGATAGAATTAGAGATCTGCACTTAAATGGTTCAGATCAGAACCAGAACACAAGTTTTATCTGGTAACATGTGGGACGCCTTCAGCTGTGAGTAACAGATGACTCTTTTTATCTTCAGGGACGAGTCAGGACCAAGACGGTGAAAAAGGCCGCCAGAGTCATCATCGAGAAGTACTACACTCGGCTCGGAAACGACTTCCACACCAACAAGAGGGTGTGCGAGGAGATTGCCATCATCCCCAGCAAAAAGCTCCGCAACAAGATCGCCGGGTAAGTGTGTGTGTGTGTGTGTGTGTGTCTATCTAAAACCAGGTCATCTTACCCACGGGTTTCTGCCCTCCCCCACATGCTCAGACACAATTGACCCTTTGCACCTATGTCACTGATCACATGGGTCCATCATGGAGGACGGCAACAAGGAATTACAGGAATATTCAACAGAGATGAAGTGATGACTGGGGGTCTACCTGGTTTCTGCCGGTTCCAGCCCAGTTCCCTTGTGGGCAGGTGGGGCTCATATGGGCCATTCCCATCTGTACCGGGTCGGCCCGGGCCGGGTAGCGTAGGTTGTTTACATATCTGGGTGGCCTGGAATTTTTCCGGGCCAACCAAGGCTCATTCTCAGCCCTCTTCTCGAGGGGGTCTGCTTCAGGCCGACCAGGGCCAACACACCCACTGCTGACAGCAAATTCACACCTTCCATTAGAGCAAGCCTCTGATTGGTGGGTAGAATCAGCCCACATGGGCTTAAGGCAAGGATGTGTGGAATCAACCGGGCCAGGCTGGGGCCGACTGGGGCTACCCGGCCCGGGCCGACCCGGTACAGATGGGAATGGCCCAATAGAGAGCGGTGTTGAAGCCTGATTTACACGTATCCATCTGCTTGGATATGGAGACACGCGCCATTGTCGGTGCGAGGGCGCTCTGGTGGGCTCCCGGAGGCTGAAACAAGGACCACTACTTGGTGTGGCTCAGTCCGACCGCTGTTCCCAGGGGCATGGTTCAGTATTTTCCCTCTACTTTCTCCCGAATTTTAGTCCGTTGGGGTACCTGGCCAGGCTGAGTCGGGCTGAACGCGCTTTGATTGGCCACTAGAATACCTCCGCTCAGCCAGCAGCTCACGTAGTGCACACACGAGGAGCTTTTACCCCCCGTAAGGCTGAAAATGTCAAGCTGGTTAGATATTCACCTCAGCATCTCATGAGGCAGGAAACTGAAAATCAGGTGCACGCAGCGAGCTATCTGCAGAGCTAATGGTCATTCGAGGCCATTTGCTCAGCAGATAGCTCTCGTGTGTGCCAGGCTTTAATGGTTGTTGCACAGATGTTGCAGCTTTTCTCTCCCTCTCTGGAATATCTTTATAAGCTGTTGTCCGATTCACTCGCCGCAGGAGTTTGCTTCATTCATTCTAGCCGTTGTTTACGTCCCGCCCGACGCTGACGTGCACGAGGCTCGGCTCGTGGAACAGATATTGTGGGTGGAGTGGACGTACTCGGACTCCCTCAGGCTTCTGGGAGATTTTAACAAAGCCAGTCTGAGCCAGGAGCTTCCCAAATATAAACAGTATATTAAATGCCCAACCCGAGAGGAGAAAGCTCTGGACCACCATTACAGCACGGTAACCGAAGCCTATCACACAGTACCTCGCCCTGCGCTCGGACTTTCTGACCACGTGACCATCCGTCTGATCCCAGCGTACAAACAAAGGCTAAAACTCTCCAAGCCTTTTGTGAAGTCAACAAAACCGTAGAGCAACGAGGCTAGATGAGCTTCACACCTGCTTGGAGACCACAGACTGGGAGGTAATGAAGGTCACCTCTGACAGTTTAGATGAGTTCAAAAAGCCCCGGGCCCTGATGGTGTCTTCTGCCACTCTAAAGCAGTTCTGAAGAGCTGGCCCTGTGTTTATGGGCATTTATAACTCCTCACTAGAGGCTTCTCGTGTGGAGGCAATCTGCAGGTGGGTCACTGACATCCTGACAGACAGGTCAGACTGGGGAAGAATGTCTCGGACCTGTGGACCATCAGCATCGAGTCTCCTCAGGGATGTGTTCTCTCCCCTCTGATCTTCTCCCTGTACACCAACAGCTGCACCTCCAACCACGAGTCTGTCAAGTTTATCACGTTTACAGACGACACCGCTGTCATCGGACTCGTCTCTGATGGGGACGAGTCTGCCTACAGAAGGAGGAGGAGTGGCTGGTGTCCTGGTGCAGCCACAACAACCTGGTGCTAACCACATAACCCTATCTGACACCCCCATCACAATGGCTGACTAATGTCTCTTCCTGGGCACCACCATCACCCAGGACCTCCAGTGGGAGCCCACCATCACCTCCATCATAAAAGCCCAGCAGAGGATGAACTTCCTGATGCAGCTGAAGAAATTCAGCCTATCAGCACAGTGGATGAGGCAGTTCTACACCGCAGTCATCCTCACCTCTTCCATCACCGTGTGGTACGCTGGAGCTACCATGAGGGACCAGAAGAGGCTGCAGCATGTTGTACACTCTGCTGAGAAGGTCATTGGCTGCTAACTCTCCTCCGTACAGGACCTGTACACCTCCAGCAGGGTTCCCCCAGCGCTTTATAAGCCTGGCGGTCCGCCAGGCTAAGCGTCATGCCCCACCCTCCCCGACCCTACCGTGTCCGCTGACACGAAAGGCGCACGCAGTGAAACAAAAGTAGGGCCCTCCATCAGCTGATACTGGTGAGAAACAGCTGCGGATCGTGTGCACGCACCATTCCCACCCCCCGCTGTCACGGACGAGCAACTGAACTCAGAATTCATACACCATGCCCCCCCCCCCCCCCCCCCCCCCCCCCCCCCCCCCCCCCGCTCTGATCGTCCATTCCGCCAGGCTTTACTCGTTTTCTGGGGGAACCCTGCTCCAGGATGCAGGTCGGTTCACAGCTGACCCGTCTCACCCTAGACACAGTCTTTATGACTCGCTCCCATCTGGCAGGAGACTCGGATCCATCCGGACCAGAACCTCTTCCCCTCTGCTGTTGGACTCATGAATGACAATCGTAGACCTGCCCACTCCAGCTGCTTTGATCCAGTCACATGACCCTGTGTTGTCTGCACCTGAACTGACTCGCTCTGACCAGAACCTACACTGACTTGTATAAAATAGCTGCTTTATTATCATAATTTCATTGTTTATTTCATAATTCTAGTTTTGTTGATGGTTTATTTTTCTTGCACCGCAGCAGTTCTCTAAAGTGATTCTCGCGCTTGTGGCAACGAAACCTGCAGACTGGCATCAAAACTGTGTCTTTAAAATTCATGAGCAACATGTGAAATCTATGGCACGGATCAAACGGGATCAGGAAGCAGCTTTTGTCCGCTCATAAGCCTCGTTTAGAGAACAATGCCGCCAAGCCGGCATCGGGTATCCTTGGGTTGTTAAGAAGTGGTCAGACTGGCGGTAAAGTGGTGCAGTCGTGTCCTTTTTACAAAAGATCTTTGCAAGATCATGTGCAGCCACACGTCCGGTGTAGCGGTAATATTACTACCAGGCTTGGCAGCAGGAATGCCGCAACATTTCCGCATCGCCATGCCGCCACGGCACGTTTTTGAGACACGCCGTGGCGGCAGTATTGTGCTGATTGGTCGGCACGTGTGTCTTCTAAAAAGGGCTACAGACATTAGGCAGTAGGAGACCCATGGCCCAGAAGTAGATGGGCGTGGCCTAGGCTCTCTTTGTGGTCAGACTCAAGGGTTTTATCTCCTGCAGATATGTGACACATCTGATGAAGAGGATCCAGAGGGGTCCGGTCAGAGGAATCTCCATCAAGCTGCAGGAGGAGGAGAGGGAGAGGAGGGACAACTATGTCCCTGAGGTCAGTGAATACCTCTTAACCTGTGTGGTTGTCAGTGATGTTCCTGCTGCAGCACACCTGTCTCTAATGATTTAATCACCTCCTTCTCGAGCTGTGTTCTGCAGAGCCCTGATTTAAATCAGGTGTGTTGTTTCTGATGGAGAACTGGAGCTGGTGAACTCTGCTCTCTGTTTAATGTTTTTTCTGCTTTTCTAAAAACCAGTTTGTTTTAAAATGAAAGGGTTAGGTCAGCATCAACAGCTGTTTAGGTAATCATCAGCACGTCCTCTGATCTGGGATCTGCCGTAGCTCAGTTGTCCTGAGCTACGTCTTCACATTCGTTAGCGTGTCCTGTATCGAAAGTGATCATGGTGTGTTTGTCTCCAGGTCATTGATAGTACAGGAACAGCAACATGAGAGCTTTCCCGTGTTTAAAGGACTTCCTGTTCCTCTTGAACCCTGACGCTCTCAGACAGACGGGCCCAATCCCAAAACTCACGCTGACACACTCACACCAGCAATTACTGGCACACTTGTGTGTCGCGCACTCGAAGCCTTACAGCGCACTTTCTCCAAGTGCACTTAGCTGAAGACCGCAGGGCGAGTGTTGGGATTGAGCCTGTTACCGTAGCACACTTTCTGGAATGTTAGCAACGCTTGCAGCTGGATTAACTTGGATTACTGCCAGCTCAGGGCAGGAGACTGATGGGTTTTGGAGTAAAACTCTGGCTGTTCTTCACCTGTGCAGGTGTCTGCTCTGGACCAGGAGCTGATCGAGGTTGATCCTGACACCAAGGAGATGCTGAAGCTGCTGGTGAGTTTTCACATCTGCTGATAAGTTAGTTACATTAAACTAGGGTTGCACAATATATCGTAAATATATCGTTATCGCGATATCAGCATGCTCAATATGCATATCGCAAAGAACAGATAAATATCGTAATGAATGGTCAGCTCAAATGTTTGCTACACATAATGCATTCTGTAATTCACACGAAAGTATTACATTTTTTTTAACAAATCAAATGGAGCTCTTCACCCATTTGGCCAATTGGGTGGGTTCTCATAGGTTAGAGTCCCGTCCCCAAGGCAGACAGCCCTTAATTTTGATGGTTAGCAAACACCTGAGTTAGCTAAGTTCTGCTCTTTCTGCTGATTCTGCTTTTCCCGGGATCCACTGATTGCTTTTTCTTGTTTATTTTCTTTTTCCCTTTCCTTTTCACATGTTTTGCTTTTCTCATTTTTATAAGTTTTTTTATTTATTTGTTTTTGATTATTTTATTTTCTAGTACATTTTTTTTTATCGCAAGTAATATCGTCATCGCAATATTGATCACTGTTATCGAATATTGCAGGTTTTCCTAATATTGTGCAGCCCTACATTAAACTTTATTTAACCTAAATAATCCAAAACATCTGTCAGCAACCTTCTTTAGAATAAATGTAAAAAAAAAAAAAAAAACGGGCTTGCCTTTGGTGTCACGGAAGCATCCAGATTACACTCGTTGGGATTAGGATGAGGAGCTGGAGGCTGCCTATGGGGTGTTGGATCCTGGCAGCCCCAATCCAGATATGCTAAATTATCAGATTATAACTCTGGAAGTACAGAAACATTTCAATTGGCTCATCAGTTTATAGCAGATGTTGTCATGGTAACCATGTTGCTCCATGCTTGAAATGCTGGTTAGCTCTGAGATGATGCAGAGTTTCAGAAGGAAGACTGTATCAGCAGCCGTACACCGAAAAGCACTAAAACCGCTGCAGAAAAAGATCAAAAGTTGCTTTTCTCACTAGTTACATATCTATGGTTGGTGCTATTGACATCCTGATTTTCCCCCAGGCCCTTCCATATCAGAGCAGGGCTGTACAGTGCGACGAAAAAAACTGTATTTTTAAACGTAGCACTGGTGCAATGTCTTTGAATTACTCTTTTCCCCTGAACTTTATTGAACAAAAGTAAGTTACGTGTAAGAAAAATGCTTTTTACTGGCGCACAGCGTGGAAATCTGGATCCAGTGGAGGAAAATAAAGGAACCAGCAAAGGTACAAAGGCGGAACCGGTCCAAAGTCACGCAGATTGGCTAATGCTAAAGCTAACAGGTAGCAGTCTCATGATCAAGTGGCGCACAGAAAAAAATATGATGATGTAAAACTAAGAAAGACTAAACTCTACAAGCTGATGAAAAGTCCCCACCATCCTGTTGATTCTGCATCCTGCAGCGCTATGGATCAGAACCGCTCCAGATACGAGTCACATTTGCAGGAAATACGGCAAGCCGTTGTAGTATCTAACTCACAAACACTATTTTTGAACATAATTTAAACTTGATTATTGCCAACCTGTACATAATAGACATGCCACCATTACATTATTAGCAGCAGAAATTAAATGTTATTACCATTTCCAATACAAATGCATGTTAATGAAATGCAGTATATGTTACTGGATATATTTGTGTTGTTTTGTCTAAGATGAGGTTATTAATACAAACCTAAAATGTTACTGACATGTATAAATATCAGATGGAAAAAGGGAACTAAACACCAATCTAATGCATATTATTGAGCCTTTTAGAATATTTGGCCTTTAAAGAAGTGAGGCAGTTGAATGCACAGAGTGCATGGGCTGGCGCATGGTCACGATGGTACCACCTCTGCCTCAGTTTGAGCCTGGAAAACCCCTACACACACACCCTGTATCGAAAGGTGGTCTCAGCGTGCTCGTGGCTGAGGTCATTATTAATACAGGAAGATGAATCTGAGAGAATTCCCGTGTTTGGAGGACTGCCAGTTCCTCTCAGACCCTGATCCTCTCAGACAGATTTTCCCTGAACAGGTCTCACCTGTCGAGCTGCAGCACAGATCTCAGACCAGCCTGTCTTTGTCTCTTGTTCTGCAGGACTTCGGCAGTCTGTCCAACCTGCAGGTCACCCAGCCCACCGTCGGCATGAACTTCAAGCAGCCCCGAGGAGTCTGAACGTCTTATCTTCTAATAAAACCCGTTTGGGACAAAAAGCTTCTGCTTTCTGCGTTTCTGTTCCACAAACGGGCTTTAACTTGTTTTTTATTTAATGAACCGTAGGCTTGTGGGCATCAAAGGACAATAAAACCCTATAGTCTGATCATTTAGCCCTGGAGTGGGTTTGATTCCTTGTTTATTTCTCTACGTTTAATTAATTCAGACTGCAGCAGGAAAACCTGAGTTTGATCTTCAGGCCAGTCGTTTTAGTGCGGCTGGCTTAAAGCAACAAGAGACCAGTTGGAGCAAAACACTTTTAATCAGATACGGACACAGGGGCTCTAGGTGGTCTGCTCTGAGCCGCTGGCTCATAAGCACTTCAGCAGGAAGAAGTTGCAGAAAGCTCCTTGGGGACAGTCGCACATCTTCCCAATGCGAGAGCCTTTCCTGATGGCGCAGTGCTCCCCGAGATCGCACTGGACACAGAAAACATGCAAACCCGTCAGCGGGCAGCTGGACGCAGTAATGCAGCTGTTGGGTGTCACTCACAGAGGGGACCTGGCCGAACTTCTTCTCCCAAGGGTTGGTCCTCTTGGTCTGCAGCCGCTCCAGAACTTCATGCAGCGCTCCGAGCTGGAGACATAGAGCCATGAGGAGGATTGCTGTGCTTCATGAGTCTTAAATCTACAGAGCTGAAGGCAACATCAGTTCTATCTGCAGGTGATTCAGATGTCATCTAGGAACATCTAAACAATTGTTTTAGAAACGTTTTATAAAAACAGCACAAGTAGAAAAACTTTTAATCTTCTAAATGTTTTAATGGTGAAACGGGACCAGAAGCTGCTGGCGGCTCGGACTCACCAGTCTGTTGGAGTTGTAGCGAGAGTCCTGAACTTCTCTGTCGTCCCTCACGGCTTCCGTCGCGCGCGCGGGACTCAACGCGCACAGCAGCGCCGCGCACAGCACACCTCGCGCCCACATGTCAACACAACGAACACCGCACTGGTCCGGTTTGAGTCTCGAGCTGCTCTCACCTGAATGTCACGCGCGGAATGCCGCGTGCTCCGCACCTTTGGATGAAACCCCCTTCTCCCCACGTGCTCCTGGTGACGTCACCCCTCCCCCCGGTCTTCAGATTATGAAAATGTGTGATTACTAAAGCATTTCATTTTTACTTCATTTTGCTTCTAACAGCATTTAAATGATATGAACGTTTTTATCTTATTCAATGTTTTTAGATTTGTTTATTTTAATTCCAGCTCAGACTCAAAATGAACCTGAGTGCTTGTGTTCCACCTGAAGTCATTCTGCTTAAAGGTGTGGAACCAATTGGGGAACCTCAACCCGGAAGTTCCACCCTCATCCATTAGGGGCTGGTTTCAAAACACCAACTTAACAGCATGTTTACTGCCTGGTTCACGAACCACTCTGGCTTTAATAAATCTAGTTTAGTCATGACAACTGAGCGGGCTGAACTATTATCTACTCTTCTGTTTACATGTAATTAAATGCTTGAAATTATGAATAATTTGATTTTATTGACAGGTAACGAGCCGTCAAAGCTAGCACTTGCGGCTAGCTCTAGGGAAGTTCTTAGCATCGGACTCCCGTTAATGTTTGGCCATTTTGACTCTGAGCTTGCACTGTGCCCTCTGTGTTCCTGTTAGGGTGTTAATCGTGGAATTATTTGGACAGCTGTGATTACATTAGGAGATCATCCAAGAAGTCTTTGCTTCTTTTATTCTAGATCTTTATTCTTCCATCCTGGACAACATCTGTCCTGTCAGAACCAGATCAGCTCCTGCAGTGAACCCTACTTCCTGGTTTAACGACAGCATTCAGCCTGAAGCACCAATGCAGAAAAGTTGAGCGCTTGTGGAAGAAAACCCGTCTCCACGTCCATCTGCTTCATCTAAAGGACCTTCTGACACTCTGCAGTCAGAGATGCGAGGGTTGCCTAAACTGGTGTCCCAGAGCAAAGGGAACCCCAAGGTGCTGTTTAACACCATCAGCAGCTTTGTCTCTCCTGCCTCTCCTACAGCCTCCATCCACTCTGTTGCAGACGGTGAGAAGTTTCTGTCTTTCTTTGTGGACAAAGTCAATAAGGTTAGATCTAGCATCTCTCCTTCAGCCTTATCGCTGCCTCTCCTGACTCTAACCAGGCCCATCATCCTAGATAGCTTTGCTCCTTTTTCTTTGCCTGAGTTAACCAAACTAGTTAACTCTATGAAGACCTCTGCATGCCCCCTCGACATCTTACCCTCATCTTTGTTTAAAAGTGCTTTTCAGTCCATCAGTCCCAGCATGCTTTCTATAATTAATGCTTCTCTGGTTTCTGGTCAGGTCCCTGCTTACATTAAGAGTGCTGTAATCCACCCGCTTCTTAAAAAACCGAGTCTTGACCCCTCTCTCTATAGCAGCTTATTCAGACCCATCTCTAAACTTCCGTTCATCTCCAAGATCTTGGAAAAGGTTGTGGCTAAACAACTCACAGCTGCTCTTGATGAACATAACATCTATGATAGCTTCCAGTCAGGTCTTCGTAGAGCTCATTCTACTGAAACAGCCTTCTTAGGGTCTCTAAAGGCCTGACCCACAGTGATGCAGGGGACTTTTCTGTTCTGGTCCTGTTGGACCTGACTGCAGCCTTTGACACTGTTGACCATCACCTGCTACTGGAGAGGCTCAGAGACTGGGTAGGCCTTTCAGGAACTGCTCTGGAGTGGTTCTCTTATCTTTCGGAGTGTTCCTTTTCTGTGGCCGTTTCGGTCCTCCGCCACCTCCCTCACCCATGGTGTCCCACAAGGTTCTGTTCTGGGGCCTATGCTCTTTTTCTTCTGCTTCCTCTGCAGCACATCCTGAGCTCCTTCAAAGGAATCTCCTACCATCTTTATACAGATGACATCCAACTGTACATCTCCTTTAAGCCCCATGAGATGCCCACGAGACTGCTGCCAGTCCACTTCAGGGTTCATTTCAAGATCCTGGTTCTGGTCTTTAGGGTCTTACACAGACACGCACCATCATACATTGGTGATCTTCTCAGTCCCTACACCCCCAGCAGGTCCCTGAGGTCCAGTGACCAAAGCCTACTGGTTGTGCAGCACCAGGCTAAAGGTCAAAGGTCATCTGCTGCTGTGGCCCCCAGACTCTGGACCTCTCTCCCCCTGAGCCTGAGATCAGTGGTCTCCTTTAAACTCACCTGTTCAGGTTTGGTGGGACCTTCACCACCCTCTCCTTGTTCTTTTATTTCGCCTGTCCTGGGATCCATTGATTTCCATCTTTCCAATTAATTTTGTCTCCCTTTCCTTAATTATTTTAAATCATAATTTTTTTCTCATTTTAAACAGATTTTTTTTCAACTTTATTTTTTTGTTTTTGCGCAGATTTTCCTGATTTTTATCTTGAGAGGAGCTTTAGAAAAGATCGTTTACATTTCATTGGTTGAATGACGGACATGGCCAATGCCGCTTGGTCAAAATGGGCTAAAACACGACGTGTTGGTAGGGCTGTGCGATTTTCCCGGCATGCAGGGCCACCGCTCATGTTACTCCATGCTCAGGAGAATGGAGTCTATGTCTCTGGAGAACCGTCCTGAGCTCTTCTTGTTTTTATGAAACTTGCAGCTCGATCAGACGGATGTCAAACATCCTCTCCAGGACAGGCGGATGGATTCCTGGAGGATTGTCTCCTCGCACGGCTGCTGGGATTTAACAGTGACTTATGCAACACAAACAACTTCTCTCCTTCCTAAGACCCTGATGGCTCGACAGCGACGGATGATCCCAGACTTATTTCTGAGCAGACTTTCTGGTAAACATCCTGCAGAGTTGCAAACATCCAATCCCCCTGCTGTCAGCCAGGATTTACTGAGAGGAGGAGACTGACACACACTTGTCCTCCTATACTATAATCTATACAGAACCATCCTGGTCGTTCCAGGTTTCTGGACATGAGAACAGACACGGGAGGCTGCTAAAGGCTGGCAGAAGTTTTGAAAGTGTGAACACCAGGTTAGAACTTTCACCTTCTAAGGTACCTTCAGAACATCAGATCAGAGAACATCCCTGGTACAATAGTCTGAATCCTCCTGAGCTCCTCCACCGAGCTGAACAGAAACGTTCTCATTTATCTCTTCAGAAAGCTCCAGCTCAGTCACCATGGAGACCGATCAGCTGATGACCTGATGTTATCTTTTAATTGCTGCCGACCGACAAGACCGTTGGACATGAAACTTTCCTTCAGGTTGACATCAGCGCCTCACAGGTAGCGACCCCCCTGAGCTGGTTTAAACTCTGGAGGCTTAGCTCCGACTCTCCTGTCAGCAGCAGACGTAAAGCTGCTGATCCGGGATCAGAGCATGAAAACCCTCTTCAGTGTGACCGACTCTGGTCTCCTTATGTCAGTGGGAGAGGTCTCATCATCGCTCGCTCATTATCCGTCCAGCTTTCCGTGTCCTCATCCAGATGCTCGGATCTCTGGCTCTTTGAAGTTTCCAAGGATGAGTCTGAGGCTTGTTAACCAATCCTATCGCTGAAGCTAATCCGCCTTGCGCCCCCAGAGATGTCCTGATGTGGACGAGGAGACGCTCATGCCTATCACCATGATTGACACACAATCGACTGTAATGAGGTTATTTAAGTCATCAGAAGTTCTTCTGATGAAAAATGGTTCAAACTTTCCTCTCAATACTTTATATTAACGTCACTGTTTCAGATTTAGAACTGGATCCATTCAGGTCCAGCTCAGGTCCAGCTAGAAGACACGCTCTGACCTCAACGTTCAGAACACTCCAGGTGCTTTCTATACAAGTCTTTATTTTCTCACACAAATATTTCTGAGTAAAAATGTCCAGATTGTGCTGCAGCCTCATTCAGAAACGCGTCTGCAGCAGGATGCTAACACTCAGAGTCTTCAGCCTGCAAGACTCAGCTCTGGGCTGAGAGGGCTCACGGTCAGAAGTTCGCTCGCAGGCGCCGGTTCTCCTCCCGAAGCCTCTCGATCTCCTCCACCAGAGACTCGTTAACCGAATGTTTCTCTATCAGACCGTGGATCTCCGTCTGAAACACACACACACGAGCCAGGTGTTAAAGCTTGAAGATCGGTTCTGTCTGAATAACAACCAAAACCGATCCAGAACCACACAGTTCTATCTGAACCACCTGGATCAACGAAGGACAACTAAAATAAGTTGTGAAAGTCCTCTAAGTCCAGAACCAGAACCATCAGCAGCTCTTCTCCGACAGTTCGGAAGTTTTGGACTGAATCTAAGGAGTTTTACTGCTGAAACGCAAATCGGAACCGAACAGAGAAGAGTTGGTACCAGCTGGATGTAGAACTGTCGGATCATCTCCACCTGCAGGTTGATGATGTCCTGGTGGCACGAGTTCCTGTCAGAGAGTCGGGTTTCAGACAAATCAGGTTCTACAGGCCCAACACAACCCTGCTGGTACCGAACCAACTGGGTTCTGATCCGACCCAGCAGTTGGATCAGATCTCAGAGAGGTCAAAGCTCAGGGACACACCTGAACTCCTCCAGAGTCTCATGGATCATGTTCTGGATGAAGTGGACCTGCAGGGCGGAGAATGGAGCAGCCCCTCCTTGTCCAGCCACGCCCACCACATTCTGGGACAGTGTCACAGATGGACCTGAACACGAGCAGAACATCAGAACCACCAGAACTTGGACCCAAACAGCTTTCATTACAGGAGCAGACCTGCTACAGTGGGCGGAGCAATGTGGACAGGTGAGCTATAGCATGGTTGAGTCTGAACGCCATTGGTCCTGCGGAGGCTGGCCTCTGGAGTGAAGTGTGGGGCTGGCTGATTCTGATTGGTCTGTTGGGATGATGTGGGCAGAGTCTGAGGTTCCCCGTCCAAACCGGAGCCGCTGCTCAGGTCAGCCTGACTCTGAAAGGAAACTTTTACTCATTTCTACTCAGATTTGTGGCGTTTTGGTTACTCATCAGTGCTGTCAGAGGTCGTCACCTTGGGGTCACATGGTTCCACTGCTCCAGCAGTGGTTGGCTCCTCCTCTTTGATTGGCAGCGGGGACTGGAAGACCGACGGGCTGTAGCTCCACCCCGCTGAAGCCGCCAGCTGGTTCCCCAGGGGGGTTCTACGCTGTGGCCCGGTTCCTGGGTCTGAGACACAACAACATGGTCTCCATGACAACAGGAACCATCTTTACAGGTAAACTACAGGTGCTGCAATGGCCCAGTGTCCAGTACATTAGGAGTAGAACCTCAAGAGTGGACCAGAACTCCTCCAGAACCATGTGAGACCTGCTGCTGAAGGAGGTTCTGCTGGACATGGTAGTGGACCTGGTCCTCCTCCGAATGGCTCTGTTACTATCTAGGACTTTCACATGGTTCTGTTCATCAGAGGTCCAGTTCCCCTCGTTTTAAAACCTGTTAAGAACCAGATGACTAATGGACTCCATCAGAGCCGACCGGAACCAGAACTGATTTATACACCTGGACCTGGTTCAGGTGAGCTCATGCAAAACGGTCAACCACACACATCACCACGTAGGTTCTGACCGACCTTCTCGGACCGGGGAGAAGATGTCCAGACTGCCCCGACCAATCAGTGGCTGACCCTCTCCTTCTCTGGTTACTATGGAAACAGAAACCCGTCAGAGCAGGACCAGCTGCATCGTTTAAAAACGAGTTCCCGTCCTACCGTTCGTTCGTCCAGTTAGGGTCTCTCCGGTCTTCCCCTGGTTCCCCGAGTCAGAACCTACAACAGAACCGGGACAGAACCAGCAGGGGGAAACCATGAGACCAGCACAAAGACATCAAACATGGATCAGGTAGCAGCGCCCCCTGGTGGTCGCACTCAATCCTGACATCAGACCTTCTCGAACTGGAGAGAAGATGTCCAGACTGTTCCGTCCCACGCTGCTGAACGTCTGTGTGGGCTGACCTTCGGCCTCCCGACTCGCGCCCTCCACAGCAGCGCCCCCTGCTGGATAAAACACAAGCTCAGAAACGGTTCTGAACAGAATCAGGTTTCATCATCAGAACCTGAAAAGGAACCTAAAACAGAAAGTCTGCTTTTATTCACCTGTAATTGACACCTGTCTGTGGGAGGCGGGGCCTGAGCTGGGGGTGGAGTCTGTGTGGCTGCCGGACAGCTTGGAGCTGGACCTTTTTGTACCGGAGACCTTAGAGGGACCCAGTTTGCCGGACTGTGACGGGACGAAGAGAACAGACTGTAGAACTACAAACGGTAACGACCTGGTTCTCCTGCTGATGATACCTTGTGTCTGCTGGTGTTGCTCTGGAAGCGCAGGCAAGTCACGGAGGTCTTGTGGGCTAAGGTGACCTTGGTGGGGGTGCTGGAGTTCCTCAGGTCGTAGTGGTAGACCTTCCCCTGAGTAGAACCAACCACCAGACCGGTACCATCTAACGAGAAGTCCACCGAGGTCAGAGGACTGTCCACCCGGATGGACCTTAGAACTCTGCAGAGACAGACGGGTTTTGGTTCTGGCTCTTGAATCAGACCTGCAGTCCAGGGGCTTCATTCATCAAAGCGTTCGTACGAACGTTCCTAGATTCCTTCCTACAAATGAAATTTAGGATGTGTACTCCTGATTTGTGAAACATACGGTGGCGTCTCGTACTCACGTTCCTCTGCACTCGGCCTGATGATAAATCCCACCTGTGCTACCCAGGTGCTCGTGTCCGTTCTCCCTCGTTCACACATAGAAATGCCCTCATTCAACCATATTTGGTCATGCTACGTCCTCAGCACATGAGGGGATTCCCGGTTTTGTTTTCCCCCCAGAAAAAGTAAGAGAAGCAGCGGGTCCTCAGAAATGTAGCTAGCTTTGTTACTAGGCGTTAGTAACAGCGACAAAGTGGCACTGCCTCTCTCTCTGCTGCTAAAGCTACTGATAGCAAATGCTACGGGCGATGCCTGAGCGTGAACGCGCATGAAGCAGCCTGCTCGACCCGAGCATCTCTCTTTTTCTGTGACTTTACAGAAAAACAGGCAATCACAGTAAAAATGCCAGGGCTCATTCTACAGGACCAGGGTATTGCAGGAGAATGTATGAAGAAGGCATTTATTATTTCTATACATGTTTTGGCTGTCAAACTTCCTTAGAGTCCCTTTAAGTCACCAAAGAGCTATCGTTAGCTCGTCAACGTCTCGTTTTCGTTATGAAAAACAACACTGTGCCACACAATGCGTATGAAATACGCACAGATCTGTGTGCAAGTATGGTTGATAAATGAGGCCCCAGGTTCTGACTCGGATCAGCTGGAGATCCAGAAATCTGCAGAGCTAAGTTTCTGCTTTGGGCCGAACCAGCCAGAACTGAGAGAAAACGGGCTAGTACCAGACTTACATCCTGCTGGCCGTGTCGTAGAAGATGATCTTCTTGTCAAGGCCGACGCTGACAACCAGCAGTTCACTGGTGGGGGAGAAGACCAGACCTGACCCGGGAGCCTTGTGGGAGCCATCGAACGTGTGCAGCTCCTTCTGGGTGTTGGCGTCCCACAGAACCACCGTACCGCTGTCAGAGACACTGCCCAGCAGAGAGCGCTTCACTGGGGACATCCGCAGGTCATGGATGGGCTAAAGAGAGGTCATAGGTCAAGATAAATGGATCAGCTGATGTTTGGATTCAAAAGAGAAACAAACTTCTCCAGACCTTATGCCAGAGTCTCTAAAACATCTAAATGTTTCCGGTCAACTTCCGCTGTCGGCTCAGTCTCCCTCAGGATCCTGTGATTATCGTCTTTTATTCATTTTTATCTTCCTTCACAGTTTTATCTCATTTCTTCCTTTTCTCGTGTTATTTATTATGTTTTGTTTCTTTAATCATTTTCAAAATATAATTTTATTTATTTGAAGTAACAAACTTTTATATTTCGCTTCTCCAGATAAAAATCCCAAGGTGCTTCACAAAAACATTAAATATATACGTATAACTATCATAACGTTGGGAAAAGTGAACATTGTGATTAAAAATGTGAGGAAAGGGAAAAAGAACGAGGTAATCAGTGGATCCCGGGGAAGGCAGAACAAGGAGAAGGTGGTGATGAAGGTCCTGCCAAACCTGAACAGGTGAGTTTAAAGGAGACCACCGAGTCCACTGGTCTCAGGCTCAGGGGGTCACACGAGGAGGTGCTTGTGAAGCACCTCATGATTTTTCCCTTTAGAGGCGCTCTATAAAAAAATAATTTCTTCTTCTCCAGACGTCTCTGAAGTTTCTGACTTCCTGCTGTGGGGCTCAGGGATTAACTCTCACAGAGCTGGAACTCAGAACACATCCCAAGATTCTGGGTGATGGACTCACTCACCTGGTTGGGTCCGTGGCCGAACGCTCTACTGGACAGGTTGGTGGTCAGACTGTGGAGGACCAGATCCCCGCTGGTGGATCCAGAAGCGACGCAGCTGTCGTTGGCGTTAAACGACACACAGGTCACCTCCTCCTTATGGTCCTACAGACACATCCACACATGGTTCATCCAGACTCCTGCCCACCATCTGGGATGAAGAGGTCCAGATCTGAGAGCACTTACCCTGAGGGAGCGGTGAAGCCTCTTGGACTTTAGGTCCCAGATGTGGACACAATGATCCAGACCGCCGCTGACCAGAAACTGAGATGAAGAGCTCAGACACACTCGGGTCTGTTGTTTCTGAAACAGCAATGAAAAGTCGGGTTGACCGGGACAAAGTGGACCACCTGAAACCAGTTCCTGTTCTGATTCCTCTAACGGGAAAGACTAGCTGGACTTTAATCTCACACAAAGCAAAATCATCTGGAAACACAAACTCATCCGGGTAACTTGGATTAGAACTTCCTGAACCTTCCGTCAGTACAAACAAACATGTTGAGCCGGTCCATCTCACCCCATCGGCCAGCTCCACCACCGGGACGGGACTGGACTTCAGTCCAGAAACCACCAGTTTGTCTCCGCTGCTGCTGGCACTCACAAGGTACTGGTCTGAGTCAACCAGTCAAGGACAGAAACGAGACACGTGTCCACATGGAATCAGTCTGTAAAGCAGAGCCATCACTGGGAATGTCTTCGTCTGCGTGAAAACGACCCCACGCAGTGGTTCCCAACCATTTAGACCCGTGGACCCCTGAGCCGTTTTCTCGTACCACGAGTCAAACGTGTAGACGATTCCCCAAAAGTAGAACGTGTAACTGATCATTAAATGAAAGTAATTCATTAATCCATTAAATCTCCTGAACACTGAATCACGTCTCACTTCCTGTCTGTGAATTCTTTAACTTTAACAATCCTCATGCAGGATGCAAAAGTTTCTAGTATTTATTATGATGCGTTATGATCCATTCACCAACCATGCAACACAAAATCCTCACATAAACAAAGATATTTAAACAAAATACAAGTTAAATGTGATGAAAACAAATTTTTAAATATTTTGAACTAAAGTGAAAAATAACACGGAAATTCCAGATTCCTTTCATCACTTTTCATGTTTTTCATGTTATCAGTCAAGTTTTGCTTCACTAGTGAAAAACTGCAGGTTAATATGATGATTTGCTGCATTTTTTGGTGACAATATTAAATAAAGTTGGAGGTTTATTCTTTTTCTCTGTCCGTGTTCAAGCAACACTCTGGCCAGCGAGTCTGGGGTTATTACAGGTCAGAGCCGCGGTGCACACCGGCCACAGTGAGACAGACAGGGGGAGAAAGAGAGACAGACGGGGGGTGAAAGAGAGAGACAGACAGGGGGAGAAAGAGAGAGACAGACGGGGGGTGAAAGAGAGACAGGGAGAGAAAGAGAGAGACAGACAGGGTGAAAGAGAGAGACAGACAGGGGGAGAAAGAGAGAGACAGACGGGGGGAGAAAGAGAGAGACAGACAGGGAGAGAAAGAGAGACAGACAGGGGGTGAAAGAGAGACAGACGGAGAGAAGGAGAGACAGACGGAGAGAGAAAGAGACAGACAGGGAGAGAAAGAGACAGACGGAGAGAAAGAGACAGACGGAGAGAAAGAGAGACAGACAGGGAGAGAAAGAGACAGACGGAGAGAAAGAGAGACAGACGGGGGGAGAAAGAGAGAGACAGACAGGGAGAGACAGAGACAGACGGGGAGAGAAAGAGAGACAGACAGGGAGAGAAAGAGACAGACGGAGAGAAAGAGAGACAGACGGGGGGAGAAAGAGACAGACGGAGAGAAAGAGAGACAGACGGGGGGAGAAAGAGAGAGACAGACGGAGAGAGAAAGAGACAGACAGGGAGAGAAAGAGACAGACGGAGAGAAAGAGACAGACGGAGAGAAAGAGAGACAGACAGGGAGAGAAAGAGACAGACGGAGAGAAAGAGAGACAGACGGGGAGAGAAAGAGACAGACGGAGAGAAAGAGAGACAGACGGGGAGAGAAAGAGAGACAGACAGGGGTGAAAGAGAGACAGACAGGGGTGAAAGAGAGACAGACAGGGGGAGAAAGAGAGAGACGGGGAGAGAAAGACAGACAGATGGTATCTGTCTGTCTCTAAGGGACAGAGGATGTGTCTCTGTTAATCATCAGCTCCTGAAACCTAAACCAGGTCCGTATGTCCGTCGTTACACCGCCTTCAGTAATCCTGAGTCTTCGGCTCCAAAGCTGACGCAGCTGGACAAAGTTGATTGAGTCGCGGTTGGCCTAAATAGATAATTGATAATATGATATCAATCATATGCATTACTTTATTTGAGTATTTGTTAAAGTGCAAGTCTACCCCTACCAGATTCTTACTCCACTCCCACTTCCCGTTTGAAAAATGCAACAAATGCTGTTGCCTAGCAGACCGAGAGGGCGGAGCGGCTAACAAACACACACACAGGCTCACAATGACATTGTGACATCATATGGTACCAGCTAATGTTCTAGTGTACCTCTTAGCCAATAGTGATGGCAGATTTAAATTCAAATGCAGTGCAGAGGTTTTACCTGACAACGGCACAACACTGACAGTTTTAGGCAGAAAATTAAAATTTCTACTAAAATGCACTAAAGTGCAAAACTATTGACTACACGTGTCTGCAGCATGATTACACACATTTATATAGTTTATCAGAAAAATAAGTTGATTTGGGGGTGATTTGCTGTTTAAGCATAACACATCCCAGCCCAATGTTTTTTATTTTTTATTTTTATTTTTTAAAACCAGGGCGAGTGTTATCATTTGCGTAATGAAATATGAATTTTTCCGTGTACCCCCGTAATGCGCTCACGGACCCCTGGTTGGGAATCACTGCTGTTGCGCTGACACACACACACACACACACACACACACACACACACACACACACACACACACACACACACACACACACACACACACACACACACACACACACACACACACACACACACACACAGGAAGTGTAATCTACAGCTGGCAGGTTGGGAGCAAACAGTAAACTCAAGAGGACGGAGGTCAGGTTAGGGGCAGGGCTGGGCTGGAACCTCCTGAAACGCCATCCTTGTTTGATCAGAACCAGAAACACGCTGACAGGGGCTGGTCCCCAACTCCACCTACAAACTAAAATCAGGATACTGTTGGAGCTCCAGCAGGCCTGAGCGACAGGATGGCTGCTGCTGTGTGGGTTAAACTGCTCCAGTGGTGCCATGGAAACAGCATCCCAGATCTTCACGCAGTCTCCGGTGGACACCAGACATGTGGCCTCCTCCATGGCAGCAGCTGGAGGCAAAATAAGTACAAATAATTACACTCCTGAATCGTTTCACAAAGTAAACAGCTTTTTTGATGCAGACGTTGTGTGTGTGTGTGTGTGTGTGTGTGTGTGTGTGTGTGTGTGTGTGTGGTGTGTGTGTGTGTGTGGTGTGTGTGTGTGTGTGTGTGTGTGTGTGTGTGTGTGTGTGTGTGTGTGTGTGTGTGGTAATTTAAGCATCAGCCCTCTCCTCATTGATTTTAACTGAAACCAAACAGGAAGTATTTGGTCTTTATTCTGTCATCAAATAAATAGAAATGTGTTATTATTACAAAGTCTAAATAAATTCTGACTTTTAGTAACAAATTCAAAAATAATGCTGGTAATTTACTGGCATTAACTGTACACAAACTGGTATCTATAGTATATTATAACTAGTATTTAGCCAATATATCGGGCCAATTTTTTCAATTTTTTCTACTCTGCTTAAACACACCTGGTTTGAATCTACCTGGTGATTAACAGGCTGCTGCAGAGTCTGGTGTGCTGCTGAACAGGTGATTCATCCAGGAATCAGGTGTGTTGGAAAAGAAAAACAACTAAAACATGCTGGATAACAGCCCTCGAGGACCAGGATTGCCCACCCCTGCAATAGTACATTGTATCTAGTAATTATAATATAACTAGTATTTAGATGACTATAGTATATTTTATATAGTATTTATAATATAACTAGTTTTGATTACTATAGTACATTGTATCTAGTATTTATAATATAACTAGTATTTAGATGACTATAATATATTTTATATAGTATTTATAATTTAACTAGTATTTAGATTACTATAGTACATTTTACCTAGTATTTAGATGACTACAGTACATTTTACCTAGTATTTATAAAACTAGTATTTAGATGACTACAGTACATTTTACCCAATATTTATAACTAGTATTTAGATGACTATAGTACATTTTACCTAGTATTTATAATATCAACTAGTATTTAGATGACTTTAGTACATTTTGTCTAGTATTTATAATATAACTAGTATTTAGATGACTATAGTATATTTTATATAGTATTTATAATTTAACTAGTATTTAGAATACTATAGTACATTTTACCTAGTATTTAGATGACTACAGTACATTTTACCTAGTATTTATAAAACTAGTATTTAGATGACTATAGTACATTTTACCCAGTATTTATAACTAGTATTTAGATGACTACAGTACATTTTACCCAGTATTTATAACTAGTATTTAGATGACTATAGTACATTTTACCTAGTATTTATAATATCAACTAGTATTTAGATGACTTTAGTACATTTTGTCTAGTATTTATAACATAACTAGTATTTAGTGGAATTTATAAACTAGGTTAGGAGCTCAGGAGCCGTTCGGTTTGAAACTCCATTTGTATGTTTTTTCCTCCACTCTTCGACCCAATACCATGTTTCTGTAATCGCTTTGACAGAAACAGCTGGACTAGTTTAAACCCGCTTTAGTTGGCGAGTAAAGGCTGACTAACTAGCAGCTGTTGTGAGTTAACGCTAACTACCGAACAGCGCGCTTAGGCGGCTCTAAAGTTAGCGAACAGCCACAAGCCAGCCGGGAAAGTGACCCAAACGAGATTAAACTAGTTAGAAATGTTACAAGCTGATGTTTAACTAGGATGTTACAAACCTGCAGCTAGAAATAATCCTTCAAAAAGATGAAGATGTTGACATTTGACGCTCCGTCCAACAGGAACCGCCACTACGGAAACCCATAAGAGACAAAACCCCACCAGAACTCATAAAAGCGCTTTTTTATCTCATCACAACAGAAACCTCAGTTTTACTTTACCGTCGTTGTGGAAAATGGCTGGATGCTTAAAATTAGCTTTTTTCCCCACTTTTCACAATGAATGAACGTTTATTTTTAATCACTGGACTCTTTAGAGCTGCACTTACAGCCAAACCTGTAGCTTTATTTGTAAATTTCCAATGATCAAACAGAACAATCAAGTTATGTGATTTACAAAAACAATCCCCACATCGAAAACAACAAATCAAAGACACACATGTTCCCCTTTCTGAGAAAATCATTCCACAGAGTTCACAAACTGCCCGTTTATAGAAAAGATTAAACAAATGTTAGACACCGGTGTATGTTTTGGTGCAGTATTTCTACAAATAAAAATACATTTGACTCAGTATATCAAGAAATTCTTCTGTCTAAATTAGTTTCTTATAACTTTGTTTAGATACACTTCAGTTGATGAAGTCACATATTTATATTCCAAGAGACAGCATGTCTGCATTATAGATGCTCCTCTGAGGTCAACACTTGGCCCATCTGTTATTATATCAAAGATCTGCCCGTGTTCATGTGTTAATGTCAAATTTAAAATGTATGCATATGACGATGTTACCTTCATTTTGGCAAAAACAAAAACTCAGGAAGCTGCCCCATTCTCATTTTAGCTTTAGTTCCTGTAAATAACAACACAACTAAAACCACATGTATGATGTTCACCAAGCAACCAGTGGACATCAAACACTCAGGTAAATTTCTAGAAGAAATAAAAATTGTTTTTGAATTTAAAATCCTCAGTGCAATGTTGAATTTGACACTAAGCTTCAAGAACCACGTTAAAAGAATTTCTAATACCATAAAATTCAACGTATGAAACTTAAGACATAAACCATACGACCTTTCATGCTAAACTGTTAAGAGTTTAACTGTGTTTCCCAAGGTGCTTTACAATACAACAAGTCATTCATACACTCGTGGTGGTGAACTACAATGTAGCCACAGCTGCCCCGGGGTGCACTGACACAGGTGCGGCTGCTGAACACAGGTGCCACTGGTCCCTCTGACTGCCACCAAGGGGGACAAAGTGTCTGGCTGAAGACCACAACAACTGCAACAGATTGACTTGAACTTGCCACCTTCTGATTATGGGATGGGATGCCATTGTCACAGATCAATGTCATCCCACATCTGTAAAATTTAGACTCAGAACAACTGGAGAATTTTGAGAAATATTTGCCTGTTTTACACACAAGGTGTTACATCGGTCCCAGCCAGGGGTGGACAGGGACCAAAATTCAGCCCTGGCATTTTTACAAATCGTTGGCCCTCAGTCAGCGGGACACCGGGACAGTGCCGGAATGTCAGATGGGCCAGTCTGCCCCTGGTCCCAGCACAGGGTCTCTTCTGGAGCGGACTGTGAGGTTCCTACAGAAAAACAGCCCAGTAAGATCTGGAACCGTGTAACACCCCAGAAAGGAGTGCTTTCGAAAGTCAACTCAGAATTCATGCCAACACCCTCAAAGATGAGTACAGTTTGACTGAAGTTTTCCAGTGGGAGAGGGGAGCTGCGGGTATGGACATCTACCACAAGGGGGCGGAAGTCAGGTGTCTGCATAGTCAGCTAACGAGAAGAAGAAATCTCCCGCCCCATCCGCTGTTGCTTTTAAACCCAGGGCGGGAGCCTCCTCGGCGGTCACATTGTCCGTGTTGGTGCGCCTTAAAGGTCTTTTAACAGCACAACACGTTGCCAGGATGGTAAGAACTAAAGCCGATAGTGTCCCAGCATCGTACAGAAAAGGTAAAGTACCGATGTTTAAGTAGCTGGTAAGAATTAGCCTAGATGTTCATAAAGGGAATGTGGCGCGCGGGAGCAGTCGGCCGATTAAAGCTGATCGGTCATCGTGTTGGTATTAAGTAATGTACGACACGTTTTATTCGTTACCACGTGGGTTCTGTGTTATATGTAGGTGTTGAATCCAACAGCCTTTTCACTCCAAAACAGCCTCCCGCCAACTGGGTCTGCTTCCGCAAAACAACAGATCTAATCACTTGAGTCATCCATTCTTCTCTGCTGGGTTACTTTGGACCTTACCCTTTACTAAGTTTGGTTCTGGGTCAGTTTTCTTAGATAATCCACGCCTTTTCCATCAAACTGGCGCCACTTTTGGGCGCTGCTACGTGTCTTTATGTGGAGAAACCAGACTCAATAAATCACGTGATTTGTATCCGTTCTTAAGGTAAATCACCCGATGGATCTAATTTTCTGTCATCTATTAGCTTGTTCGTCGTTTTCATTAAGTTGTCCTACCAGTGACGTCATTCGCTAACCGTTAACATCTGGATCGTCATGCTGACGCTACAGCTCAGGCTCTGATAGTGTTAAACCTTTTTCTCATGTCTGCTGTGGTTCATGTTTACATCTGGGACCTCTTTCACTTCCTGTTCTGTTATATTTATGATGACTTCCTGTTTCTTTCTGGATATTTTGGTTCTTTTGATCAGTCTGATTTTATTTTGCAGCTGTTGCTGCTTCTGCACCCCGGAAGTCTCTAGGCACTGGTTCCTCCAACACGTCCTCGTCTGGTGGGCCCTCATCCACTCCTGGTAAGTCCCAGTCTAACCTCACACACACACACACACACACACACACACACACACACACACACACACACAGTATGTGACTGGTCTTTGTACTTCGCAGCAAAGAGCAAATATGCAGGTGGGAACCCAGTGTGCCCCCGTCCCACCCCGACCTGGCAGAAAGGCATCGGGGACTTCTTTGGTGGGCCTCCCAGGAAGCCTGAGAAGGAGAATCAGGTGCCTACAGAGGTGGAGGATGGCGAAGAGGCTGGAGGCAGTGGGGTGTCGAAGGCCAGTAGGAAGTAGGTTTTTGAGATCAGCAGCTGGTCTGATTCATCATAGTTGTGTTCACATCTGTAGGCCTGCTTTGCAGCATTTAAATAAATAAAAAAATGTAATAAGTTCTCTAAAGTTTGTGTGTGTCTTTGTTTTGAACCCATGGATCTGGTTCTGTTGCAGATCCAGGCCTCTGCCTGCTGAAGATGAGGAGGATGAAGACTGATCATCTGTCTGAACTCGATTGTACATCTGTAAATAATTTCTGCTGAATTCTTTGTTTGATCTTTTTAAATAGTTTTATCCTACAGAAGAATGTTTCATTGACTTTTCCCTCATTTTCTGTTTAACTTGTTTGTCTTTTTCTAATAAATCTGAACAAAAACTGAATCACATGTGCTCATTAAATCATTTAATGCAATCCTTTGAATTCATTACATTTGATAATTATGAAAACTCACCAGGAGCAGCGCTTATTTGAATTCTAAAACTTTAGTCTGCAGAAACATTAATCTGTTGGTAGCAAAATAACGAAATCATGACAACGTTGAGGTTTAATTTGCTGTCTGAGACTTGAAGAAACTCGAACGTCCTGCAATGCATTGTGGGTAACTCCTACAGGGAAACGTTCCAGTGGTTAAGATAAAACTCGTCATGACCTTTAACCGTTTCTGCGTTGACCTCTGGGTGAAGAAACAAATCACAAGTGACAAACTAGGACCAGCTTGATTTATATGAACGTTCGACACATTTTTATCTTTGTTACATGAATGTTTTTTTTGTATTTAACGGCAGCACCCTCCCCGTTTCTGTGCTCCCGTTATGTCCCGTGATCAAAGTAATTTCCAGTCCGAGCGCAACACTCTTTGTCACTAAGTGTTCATAAAGTTGATTTTTTATAGTTAATTTATGCGACTGTCTCTTTTACTGGCTGATTAAAATCTATCCAACCTGTGTGAGCTACTCTGGTTCTATCACCGCCTTGGCAGGAGGTCCAGCAGTTTAAATCAGACGTCTAACTTTATGGTCTACGGAAGCCCGCTCTGTCCAAACAGTCTGGTAGAAAAGGAAAACAAGTCTGCGTACACATTTTTTATCTGTAGCCACAAAAGATATTTAATCGTAAAATGTTAGATTTTTATTCTGTTTTAGTTTTGTGCGCCTGCGCGGCTAACAGGTTTAGCTACAGGATCGATTTAGTTGCTGGTTAGTGGCGGATAAACCGGTTTAACGACCTTCACGCGCTGCTGAAGACTCGGTATTTTTTTTCTCTCTGAAGGAATTCAGAACTTCACGATTTGTTGTAGACGCGGTACGATGTCCGACAGCGGTGTGTTTCCGTGGACGGTGGTCGTTCTCACCTGCCAGCATAAAGACACCGTTTACTCTTTTCAAAGAGGTGAGAACATCGGACTTTTTCACGATCTTTGAACTTGCTGTCTGGTCTTTGCAGTTCTTCAGTTGATCTGACGGTGTCGCTAATGAGTGAAGAACTGATTTCTCTGTCTTTTTAGTCACTAGAGTATTCAGGTCCAGGCTTTCAGGGCCGGTATCCAACATGTTTTAGTTGTAACCCTGCTCCAACACACCTGATATCAATCAGCAGGTGATTAATGAGCTTCTGCAGAGCCTGATGACCTGCTGCACAGATGATTCAACCACTGAATCTAGTGTGTTGGAGTTGGACCTATATATATGTCGATGGTTGGACCAGAGAAACCGCTGGATACCGGCCCTCGAGGCCAGGATAGTCAGAACACCGGAACCGAGTAACCCTGCACCAAAGGAAAGCTTTCATCCCCTGTCTGAGGGTGCGCTTGTTTTGCAGACCAGTATAAAGTGGTCATAAACTTCTGTATATGTTCCCTGCACAGTAACAAACATCATTGTTATGAAGTAAAAGTAATAAAATCAGAACCATCAGAGGATAAAACAGGAAGTGATCCACCTGAGACCTGAACCAGGATCTTCTAAGCTGGTAACCCCAACCCTCGTTCCTGGTAGGCTTAGTCGAACCAGGACCTGATGTGAAGGGTTTTATCAGGTTTTTCCTTTCAGCTGTAGCCGTCTGCAGAAACCCACTCATCATGTGTTTGTGTGACAGAGCTGGAGCTGCGGCAGCAGCATGGTGTTCTCCCTCAGGGCGCTTTAGTTTTAACTGTTCAGGACCGCCAGGAGCCACTGGGCAGCGGAGGGGCCACGCTGAACGCTCTGCTGGTTGCTGCTGAACACATGAGCAGCAGAGCTGGACACACTGTGAGTCTTTCTCTCTCTCTCTCTCTTCTCTCTCTCTCTCTCTCTCTCTCTCTCTCTCTCTCTCTCTCTCTCTCTCTCTCTCTCTCTCTCTCTCTCTCACACACACATGCACACATACACACATGCACACACACACACATGCTGAGGTTGTTTCTCTTCCAGGTGGTGACGGCTGATGTTCTGGATGAAGCTCGTATTCTCATCCTTCACACGGTGGGTTCTGGTTCTGATAGGTTCTAACATTTTGTGGATGAAGGTGACTGATTTCGGTCTTCAGGGTCGGGATTTTCCCTGGAGCTCTTGCAGCCGAGCCTTCTGCTGGCTGCCCATAGAGAAATCGGAGCAGAAAGTCCAGGGTCCGGTCTGTGTTCTGGACCTGCTGCTGGACCAGCTCAGTACCCAGGTGGGTCTGCACAGAATCTGACCTGCAGTCAGCTTTTTCAGGTCTGACCCATTCCTTGTTGGGTTTTTCAGATCTGTCCTGGTTCTCCTCCCGGCGTTTGGGTTTGCAGCACCGACATGATTCTCACCGTACCTCCTGACTTTGGTTAGTGTGACCTCACTTCCTTCTGCTCAGCCCAACAGAACCAGAACCAGTTGGGCTGCCTTGTTCTGATCCAAGTTCAGCTGAAACCTTCCATTCAAACCAAACCGTTTCCTTGACAACTATCTCAGAATCAGCTGATGAACAGTAAAAAAAAGGGGGTGGGGCTTACATCAAGGCAACAACCAATCAGACTGAGAAAACTTCTGCAGGTAAAGTGGGAGAGGCTAACTGCGCTGCACCGCCCCCTCTGCTGGGAGCAGAGATCAGTTTTCTGAGTGGTTCTGGTTCTGATTTAACTGGTTTGTTCCACCTGTTCTGCTAACACCTACCTGTTTGTCAGCTTTGTCCTGGGAGGAGGGCTTCTCAGGTGTTCGGGTCTTGGCGGTTCCGGGCGACACCTCCTATGCAGCTGATCATGGAGTCTACCTGACCGACTCTCAGGTTCTCGCTTCATGAATATATTCCTCCAGTCAGGCTGCTGAGATGAGGTTCTGCTGATGAACGGTGTGGTTCTTCCCCCAGGCTCGGGTCCAAGACATCATCTACAGGGGAACCAGGGAGCAGATCCAACGCGCCCTGATGCCTGATGGGAAGGTGCCACTGGTGCGTCCTCTTTCTCTTCCTCTGAGAAACCAAATCAAATGCACCTGTCTGATTGACAGTTTGGCTGCAGGTAAATAACTTCTGGATCAGAACCAGAAGAGACGGGAACCCAAACAGAATTTATTCCTGTTTTATTCAGTTGTTCTGGATAAAAGTGAAGCAGATTGAATTGACGTGTTCTCTGGTGCTGATCGGGTCTGTGTACCTCTAGGTTTCAGGTCCAGTGTTCTTCTGCAGGACCGTTTCAGAGAAACTGTTGCAGACTCACGTCACTCCTCCTCTGGATGGCTGCACCTACTTGGGTCTGGACTCTGGAGCCCCGCCCCTACAGGTGTGCACCGTCACGTCTGAGCTTTGAGTTAAAGCTAAAACCCAGAGTTTTCCACCTTTCAGGAATTCTGTATTTTTTTAAGAAATCTGTAAAAGTGATTATCTTTCCCTGAAGGCAATACATCAGTTAAAAAAAAAAACTAAAAGGGAAGTGAAATCTGAAATAAACCTTCAGACTGAAGCTGAACTGACCTGAATCTCCATCCTCAGATCTCGCTGTTCTTGGACCTGCTTAAGTGTCTCTGCTCTGATGTGACTCTGGATCAGTTTGTTGCTGAAGACCGCGCAGGGTGCAGCTCTACAGCAGGACCACAGGGGGCAGTGGTGAGGAGCGGGAGGGCAGAGCTGTGGAGGATTCTGAGAGGAGCGCCGCTTTCGTTGGGTCAGCATCTCTTCCTGTGCTCAGAACTCACTTTTAGGCCCAATCCCAACACTCGCACTTCCACACTTGCACCCTTCAATTGTGCGATCCCGACCAGGGTTGCGAGTGCGTAGGGTGTCCCGATTCTCAAGTACGGAAGTTGATCACGCCCCTTTTGCACCCTTGATCCACCCTTCACCCAAGTCTGCATCGATGCTGACTTGGGTGAAGGTTATTACCCACAATCCATTGCTGCAGGAGAAAAGGCTCAAGTTCCTTTTCTGAACATATGTATTTTCTAATGAAATGAGTTCATTTTAGGACGATTAGTTGATGCTCTGAATGTTTTACACAAAGCAGCAACAAATGCAAATTTATTTCAAATAATTGTTTGCTTGGTTGTTTGAAAGTTGTTAATAAAGGTTTTTTAAAAAACGTATCGCAGCGGCCATCATCCCAGCACAGGTTGCGGTTGACGACGCAACGCTCCCCGTCTCATTTCTGCTGTTATTCGGACTCTTGTGTACCACGCACTCGAAGCCTCGCTTCACACTTTCTCCAAGTGCACGCTGCTGAGGACCGCAGGGCGAGTACTGGGATTGGGCCTTAGTCAAGTTCCTGCTAGGGGCTGGTTCCAGTACAAGCTTTAAGCCCCGCCCCTCCATCTGATTCAATGAGGCCTGGGGGGGGGGGGGGGGGGGGGGCAGCTGGTTGGATCTGATTTAAGAACTCCAGGTTAATTATAATTTTAAAGACTATCAGATGTGAACAAGACTAAAGGTGTTTTTGTTCCCTTCATCAGCATACATCTCCGGTGGTCGCTATGACTACCTGACTCTGTCTGGGAAGCAACACATTGACCGTCTGACACATGATTGGACGGGAAGAAGCACTTTGTCTCACATCCAGGTGACATGTCTTGCTCTTCAGGATCATCCAATCTGGCAGTAAAACATGTCTGATATTTTACCGGTCCACCTGTAGATTAAGAGCCGGCTAAGTGATGGAGCTCGGATTATAAACAGCGTTCTGGAGGGAGGTGTTACCGTGGCAACTGGAGCAGTGGTGCAACACTGCCATCTGCAGGTGAGATGAAGTCAGTGATTGAATTTAAAACCTGATCCGAATCAACTTTGCTGTCGATGCACCAGCATCCTGGAGCTTAGACATTTGTGACCGTGGCACAGCCAACTCATATCTGGTCTGGGGGTGGGGAACCCTGGTCCTCAAGGGTCAAGACTCAGCAGGTTCTAGAGGTCTGATTCCTCATGGGCACTAATAGAAGGTGCCATATCTCCCTAGAGTTGGCTGAGCTGTGTTGGCTTGCTGGGGGTTTTAAGGTTCTTCTCTTCACTTCCAAAGCTCTCAATAATCTGGCTCCTCGCTCCGTCTCTACGTTCTGCTGACCACCATCTCCTCTGCAGTCCCACAATGATGTCTAAATCCTGCGGTGAGCGGGCCTTTGCCTACGCGGCCTCATTCATCAAACGTTCATAGAAATATTTCTAGATCAAGGCATCAAATACTGGTGCCTTGGTCTGCCTGAGTGTTCGTGGCTCCCGGGTCAGGGGGTTTAAGATCTTTGGCGCCTGCCTGGTCAATCCCGGTGGCTGCCTGGTGGGGTCTGGGTCCCTGGGCTCTGCCGGGTCCCCGGCGGGGGTGGTCGCCCCTGGGTCCCGGGTCGTTGGGTCCCGGGCTTGGCCGGCTAGGGGGTGGGAGGCTGCGGTCGGGCCTGTGGGCTTGCTGCTGAGATCTCCAGGGGCTCTGCCGGCTGCTGGTTGTGGCCCCTCGGGGCGATCCTCTGGGCCTCTCGAGGGGGGCGGGGGCCTTTCCGGTTGCAGTCTCCTTGGGGTTCCTGTGTTCTGGGGCAGCGCCTGGATCTCTGAGACTTGGAGGTCCCCCCGTCTCCTACATATCTTTGGGGGGCGGATCTGTGGCCCCTCACACTCTCTATTGGACGCTCCTATAGATAAACCTTACATAAACAAGCACGTGTACACACACAGGTGCTCACATGGTGCTCTCAAAAGTATGAACTTGGGCACGTTCAACACATGTCTTAAGACTGTCATTGCCACTAAATGCACTATGATTTATCATCGTGTGATTGTTCAGTTAAACAATGTTGATTTTATATTTCCTCATCAGGTTGACGCAGTGATAGCTTGCTCTTGTTGTATTGTGTGTTTTTTTTCTCTTTCTGCAGGTCTAGAAGCAGACTGTTGTTCATCATTGATTGTTTATTTTTGTGGAACCCCCCTCCCTTTTTTTTCTCTTCCTTTCTTTTTCACCTCTGTCTCCGTGTCTGGTCAAAATTATAAATCAAAAAACAATGACAATAAAGTTTTAAGTATCAGGCGTGACATTAAAAGCAGAAGCTTTGATGCTCCACCTGAGAGTAAATCTGTAAGGCTTGTTACCAGCATTCAGACGTCAATTCTGTTTGCTTTACAGCCAGACAGGACACGGTAAAAAAAAAAAAAAAGAAGAAAAAAAAAGATTCCTAGATCCCTTCTTCTGAATGACATGTAGAATGTCCACACAAACAATCAAAATCCTGATTGATCACACCTGCAGTGGCCTCTGCGTACGCAGGTGCTCGTGTCTGTTCTCAGCCCAGGGACCGGTGGCGCCAGCGCTCGGCAGCCTCGCCTCTGTCAGAGCGCACCTGGGCAGCGCTGGCTACATGTAGCTCATCCCCACCAGAGTATGAATGACTGATCGTGTTGTAAAGCATCTTGGGGGGTTCTAGGACACTAGAAGGCGCTATATCAAATACAGGCTTTTTACCATTTACCTACAGAAACGGCATCAATTAACCAGAATTGGCCACCCTACTTCTTCAGCTCACGCCGAGGTTTTCTGGTGTTTAGGAACATTTCCACACACAGGGTTAGGGTGAATACATGATGACTACCACCCAGTGGGTGTTATTTCCTACACACAGGTCTGGTATGGTTGATGAAGGAAGGCTCAGGAATGCTCTGCCTCTCTCCGTTCCTCTGGCTTCCTCACTTGCACGTCTTAAATCTGGTCTCAAGTCACACTTGTTTAGAATGGCTTTGGGCAGATGATGCCGTGGTTGCAGGCGTGTCTCTGTTGTCCTCTGGTTAGACACAACTGGATCTTAACCTTGTATTTGCAGACTGTGCAAACAGCTGCAGCTAGGTTTCTAACCAACACTAATGGATGCTGTCACATGACACTGGCTGCCTGTGACTTTTAGGATCTTACTATTTGTCTACAAGGCGCTAAATGTCCTAGCACCCCTGTATCTGTCAGAAGTCCTTTCACCAGATTGTGCCGCTGTGTTCCCTAAGATCAGCTGACCGCTTACTGCTCTTCAACCCAAAAGGATCTATGAGGCGAGAGGGTACGCTGCTCCTCACCTTTGGAATGCACTCCCTCTCACCAGACGAGTCTCCAACCACCGCCGTTTCAAGTCTAGACTCACTTTTATGATTTGGATTTTGGACAATGGTTTCTTTATGTGTGGTTTACTGGTTTTGAGCTACTGATGTTATTATTGTTATAGTTTTTAAAAGGTCTGTTTGATGGATCTTCTGTAAGGCGCTGTATTTAAATGTGCGGTAGAAATAAAATGGTACGGTGTTTGTTTCCTGTCTTCAGTGTAGTTGTTTCTTCTGGGCTCTTTTACTTGTTCTTTATGCTGTTCAGAACTTTGCTCAGCTGTCATGCTGTTTTAAATGTGCTCTACAAATAACACACCTGCTTTTGTCAGGCTGAACAGGTGAATTGGTTTGCAGCACAGGCACTTGTCACAAGATGAAGCAAGACACATATAAAGAGCAGAAGACAGCAACAGCTCAGTCAGTACCAGAGATGCAAGGCTTCCCTGCATTGGTACCACTCCTACTGGTTAGACCTGAATGTTCTGCGCCAGGGAGGTAGGAGGTGCCTCCGCTCCATCACCTGATCACACCCATAAAAGCAGGACTTACCAACCGGGGAAAGAACATCTTACTCTAACGGGAACCAACCGGGGAAAGAACATCTTACTCTAACGGGAGCTGGACCAGTTTTCCAGCCCCTGCCCCCCCACCGCACATGCGTCGTGGTTGATCTGATGTTTCCTACCGTTCTGTTTTGTTTTTTTAACCGTGTCCTGTCTGGCTGTGAAGCAAGCAGAATTGAGGTCTGAATGCTGGTAACAAGCCTTACAGATTTATTCTCAGGTGGAGCATCAAAGCGTCTGCTTTTAATGTCACGCCTGATACTTAAAACTTTATTGTTATTGTTTTTGAATGCTTTGTAATTCCGACCAGACACGGAGACAGAGGTGAAAGAGAAAGGAAAAGACAAATGGTGGGAAGAGAGGGGGGGGGGGGGGGGTCCACAAAAATAAACAATAATGAACAAGAGTCTGCTTCTAGACCTGCAGAAAGAGAAGAGCAGAAAAAAATGGGACACACAACAGTACATCAGGAGCAAGCTATCACTGCGTCAACGTGATGAAGAAATATAAAATCAATATTGTTTAACTGAACAATCACACAATAATAAATCATAGTGCATTTAGTGCCAACCACAGCCTTAAGACATGTGTTGAACATGCCCAAGCCCATACTTATGAGAGCACCATGTGAGCACCTGTGTGTGTACACGCGCTTGTTTATGTAAGGTTTATCTATAGGAGCATCCAATAGAGAGTGTGAGGGACCACAGATCTGCCCCCAAAGATGCGTAGGAGACGGGGGGACCTCCAAGTCCCAGAGATCCAAGCGCTGCCCCAGAACACAGGAACCCCAAGGGGACTGCAACCAGAAAGGCCCCCCGCCCCCCTCAAGAGGCACAGAGGATCGCCCCGGGGGGCCAGAACCAGCAGCTGGCAGAGTCCCGGGAGATATCAGCGGCAAGCCCACAGGCCCGCCCGCCGCCTCCCACCCCCTAGCCAGCCTAGCCCGGGACCCAGGGGCGACCACCCCCGCCGGGGACCCAGCAGAGCCCAGGGACCCAGACCCCACCAGGCAGCCACCGGGATTGACCAGGCAGGCGCCAAAGATCTTAAACCCCCCCAGACCCGGGAGCCACGAACACTCAGGCAGACCAAGGCACCACACCCCACACCATGTGTGGCAGGGGGAGGGGGGACGAAGATCTATATCATCAAAGGAGGTCCCCTACCGTTCTGTTTTAATACAATCTTTCCATGGTTTAAGATTCAGGAAGGAATCAGTCGTTTGGTTGAAGGTGATGGTTAATCCCATGAGAAGGGAACAGGTGGTCTTCATAAATGTTCTATGCTCCTCAGGGTCCTCTGGACATCCCCACAGGATGTCTGCTGTCCGGCCTCCACGTGTTGACATCACCTTCTGTCAGGAAGGTGTTGCTCAGAAATGACATCATCATTCAGGGACATCGCATTGAGCTGGGGGAGCTAAAGCTGAACGTGTACACGGTGATGGGCGCACATGATGATCTGCAGGTATGTTCTTCACCTTCAGCTTCATGTTTATCTAATAGTCTGATTTAGTCAAACTTCCATTTTATTTTTTATGTTTGGCTCGTATGCTGCCAGTGGCATGGGCGGGAACGCTTCTACTCCATCACAGGGGAGGGGGATGTCTGGGATAATGATAGTTGTGTTGATGGTGGTGGTGGTGGTAATGATGGTGATGATGATGATTGTGATGATGATGATGATGATGATGATGATGATAATGATGGTTATGTTGATGGTGGTGGTGGTAATGATGGTGATGATGATGATTGTGATGATGATGATGATGATGATGATAATGATGGTTATGTTGATGGTGGTGGTGGTAATGATGGTGATGATGATGATTGTGATGATGATGATGATGATGATGGATGTGTTGATGGTGGTGATGGTGGTAATGATGGTGATGATGACTGAGATGAAGAAGATGAAGATGATAATGAAGGTTATGTTGATGGTGGTAAGGATGGTGATGATGATGATGATGATGATGATGATGATGAAGATGATGATCATGATGATGATGATGATGAAGATGATGACTGTGATGAAGATGATGATGATAATGATGGTTGTGTTGATGATGGTGGTGGTAAGGATGGTGATGAAGATGATGATGATAATGATGGTTGTGTTGATGGTGATGATGATGATGAAGATGAAGATGATGACTGTGATGAAGATGATGATGATAATGATGGTTGTGTTGATGATGGTGATGGTAATGATGGTGATGATGATGATGAAGATGATAACTGTGATGAAGATGATGATGATAATGATGGTTGTGTTGATGATGGTGGTGGTAAAGACGGTGATGATGATGATGATGATGATGAGGCTTACCTAATATTCCTTCTCAGGCCACCTGTGATGACAACAGTTCCTCCTTCCTCAACCAGAGATGGAACATCTTCTTCAGCTCAACAGGAGTCCAGTAAGAGATTTTATGCTCCATCATCTCCTCGGGAAGAAAATCCCTTCTGGAGCAGAGCTTCAGACAGGAGCAGAACCCTCAGAAGAACCAGTCTGACCAAAACACTCTCCTAATTTGAGTTTCTTCTCTTCTTAAGGCCAGAGGAGCTGTGGGTCACAGGAGAACAGCGCTCCCTCCTGGAGGCTCGTCTATTCCCGGTCCTCCATCCCAAGGGAGGTGCTGTGAATTTAGAGGGAGGTGTTGGCTGGCTCTTGGGGGGGCAAGGCTGTCTAAGGAGGTGGAGGGAGGCCTGGAGGCTCTCTCTGAGGGAGGTGCTGTCACTCACACACCAGAAGGCGGAGCTCCAGTGGAGGGAGGAGCTGCTGTTTCTGGCAGGGCGGAGAAGAGTAACGGACTCACTGCGAAGTCGCAGCAACGTGTGCCTGTTGCCTTGCTTCAGGGCAGCAGTGCTGGGTGGCCAGCAGGAGGAGCTGCTGGAGACTCTGGACAGCAGTGAGTCTGTCTGGGTTCCTTTCAGACTCACGTTAATGTCGTTAATGCCTCTGCATTTTATTCATACTTCATTATAATGATTTGTGTGTGTGTGTGTGTGAGTGTACTTGTCTTTGTGTGCTTAAGTGGACAAATTTAAACTTTTAACCTGTGTGGACATGTCCACATTATGGGGACATTTTGCAGGTCCACACAAAGACAAAATACGGTGTGACTTAACTTTGGTTTAGAGTAGGGTTAGGCAAAGGAATGGAAGTCAATAGAGGGTCCAACGAGACATGTGTGTGTGTGTGTGTGTGTGCACGCGTGCGTGTGTGAGGGAGCCTTTCTTATTCCAAACTGAACTTGACCTTTAACCTCCTTGTTTTAGTTGCAACGGGAAATGGGATTCAGGGGGTGGAGCCTGGAGCTGAAATGGGCGTGGCTGCTCGCTGTCTGTCCTGCATTGCTGATGTGTTGGTGTGCATGGCAGGGGGGAAGGGGGGTTTGAGAAGTGGACCAGCTGCTAATGAGGCCTGGAGCTCTGCCTACATCCTGTTGGAGAAGGGTAACCTGAAGGGCGGAGTCCAGGCTCTTGCCACAGAGAGGGGGCGCTGGTTGAGCAGGTGAGCCTCCCACCCCCCACCCCTGCTGCTGTTGGATGTTTTCTGACTCAGTGGTGTCTCCCCTGCAGGCCAGACCTACTGGTGCGAGCAGCACGACACTATGAAGGCGCTGGACAGGTGTTGCATCGCCTGGCTGTGATGTCATCACAGAGCTTCATTTCAATTGGAAAGGGAGAGGCACAAGCCATTGGGGTGTGGCAGGAAGTGGACTGCCCTGCCCGACTGGACTTGGCAGGTGAGCAACAGCTTGATATAGTGCTCTGGGACGTGATTGGTTAACGGCCTAAGTGGCATTTGCGATCTAGGAGGTTGGAGCGACACCCCACCAATTGCCTTCGAGCATGGCGGCTCGGTGACCAACGTTGCAGTGAAGATTGATGGGAAACGACCAATCGGTGCCAGAGCCCGCCGCATCCTGAAGCCCCACTTCCTGTTCGTCAGCCACAGCGGGGGACGGGACAGCGGCGTTTCCACGGAGGTGGTGTGTGAGACCTTGGATGATCTGAGGGACTACTGTCAGCCTCAAGCTCCTGGTACCGGATAGGCAGGTCACTGGTTAAGTGGGTTGATCCAGAGAACACCGAGGTTTCAGTGTTTGTGTTTGTGCTGTAGGAGCTCTGCTGAAGGCTGTGTGCGTGTGCAGCGGCCTGGTGTCTCTGTCCTCCCAGCATCCTTTGGGGCATCAGCTGATGGAGAGGTGGGGAGGAGGAGTGGAGCTGCACAGCTGGTCAGAGCTGCCAACTGGATCTGGACTGGGTTAGAACACACACACACACACACACACACACACACACACACACACACACACACACACACACACACACACACACACACACACACACACACACACACACACACACACACACACACACACACACACACACACACACACACACACACACACACACACACACACCCCCCCCTGTGGTAAGTGGCCTGTATTTGATAGAGCACCTTCTAGAGTCCTGGGACCCCCCCAAGGCGCTTTACAACACAATCAATCATTCACACACGCATTTATACGCTGGTGGGGATAAGCTACGACGTAGCCACAGCTGCCCTGGGGCGCCCTGACAGAGGCGAGGCTGCCGAGGACTGGCGCCGCCGGTCCCTCTGACCGCCTCCAGCATGAATGGAAAAATTGCATATTTAATTATGACCAATAAGATGTGATATTCCATATAAATATGAAATATCAACTAGCAAAAGAATCCAAATTATTGCTGGTTTTAAGAATCTAGCTAAGCAACTTTTGCTTCCTTTGCATCTTCTACAGTCTCTGGTTGGGCCAGAAAAGGTCAAAATGCACCAGAAGCCCCTGGAGTTCTCCTGATGTCCGATTGGTTCTTGTTCTGCAGGTACCAGCAGCATACTGGCAGGGGCGCTGTTGGCGGCAGTCTACAGATGCACTGGTCAAAGCTACGATACAGACTCCCTCATCCATGCGGTCCTGTACCTGGAGCAGGTTCTTACCACAGGTGTGCTCACACCAGTCTTCTCCTTCAGCCCCTCTTCATCCTTACACCTTCATTCTCTGTTCTCTTCCTCAACCCCCCCCCTCCAGGTGGTGGCTGGCAGGACCAGGTGGGAGGGCTAGTGGGCGGCATTAAAGTCGGCCGATCCAGAGCGTCTCTGCCGCTTCAGGTGGAGGTGGAGCGTCTGAGTCCTCCGGAGGTGTTCTTGACCTCCCTGGAGCAGCACCTCCTGCTGGTTTACACCGGGAAGACTCGCCTGGCCAGAAACCTGCTGCAGGTGAGCATCTGTGAGAACACTGTTTTGAGTTTGCAACCAGACTGGATTAAAACTGCTCCTTCCGTTTTGGTCGAGTCTGGTTAACGATGGTGTTCTTGACTTCGTGCAGGATGTGGTCCGTAGCTGGTACAGTCGTCTGCCTTCAATGGTTCTGAACGTCCAGCAGCTGGTGTCCAACTCTGAGGAGTGCTCCTCAGCCTGTTCAGAAGGTCAGAGCATCCTTAGGGATGAGAATGATGGTTACGTATTGTAACTCCAGATTCAATGGGTGTACTCTCCCCCCTTAAGCCTGGATTGGGTAACGTCCCTTCTGTAATCAATCAGTGAAGAGCTTTAATATACGTTCATCTATCGGGCGGGCCAAGATCCGGCGAAAACGGCCCAGAGTTTGCCTGATAACAGCCCATTATGGAAAAACACATGCCATACTCGACCCAGCAGGGCAATGAAGGGAGGGTGATAAACGTGCAGAGAAGAAGCCCGGGATGATAATAATAATAATAATAATATGATGATGATGATGATGGATAGGAAATGGAAGTATGCATCCTTCAGGCATCCTGGTTCACCTCCATGACCTGTTTCATCGTGAGCACGTGGAAGTGTTTCATTGTGATGGAACAATGGACTAGAGGCAAGTCGAGGATAGGTCACATTCCTTTTTGAGAGCATGGTCTCAAATGCTTGTTCACCTGATTGGCCTTATCGAGTTAACGGTGAACACTGAGGGATCAGGAAGTGATTCCTGTTTTTATGAACTTTTGTTTAGAAATCTAGACAAATCAGGATTTGACACGTTACCAAAATACGTCAGAAATCACGCCTTCACTCGGATGCTCAGAGAGGTCAACTCTTCGTGTGAAGTGAATGTTAAAACATTGGTTCAGCCGTAACTACGAGGTGTGAGTTTACTGAGATCAACTGGTTAAATAAACAAACACTGATCTGGTGTAGCTTAAGATCTGACATGAATCGTTGGAGGACAGATATTCATTTTACCACATCATTGATTAATGCACACATTATTCACACTCTTTGGGATTTAACAAGAGATGATTGCGTGACACTTATGCAATTATCACGTTTTAAAAAGTCATTTATGATTCAAGGAAGATTAACTTTATTCAGAGTGAAAGTAGAAAGTCTGTCTTCCTCAGGACTTTTGTTCCAGCCAACATAAGGTAGCTGGGTTTATTATGGCTCCTTTATCTGGTGACAAGGCCTTATGCAGTGCTTCTTGTTTGGAGGCCAGACAGATGGGCGTTTCTGTCTGCACATTAAAAGTTAATTTCTGCTCATTTGTGATGTAAATACTGACGTTTGGGTACGCTATGCTGAAAACCTCTCACAGTGAGATGAAGTTCAAGAGCTTGCTGAGGGTCTGACAGTCAGACCTCTTCTCTTAAACAAGCTTACTCTCTCGTGATCCCTACAGAAACAGTTCTATCTTATCTCAGCAGTAGCTCAGGAGGTAGAGCGGGTTGCCTCATGATCGGAGAGTCACGGGCTCGATTCCAGCTCCCGCCAGGGGTATTCTGCTGTTGTGTCCTTGGGCAAGACACTTCACCCAACTTGCCTGTGTTGGTGGTGGTCAGTGGGGCCGACGGTGCCAAATGGTACCCTCGCCTCTGTCAGACCGCCCCAGGGCGGCTGTGGCTACGTAGTAGCTTACCATCACTGGCAGTGTGTGAGTGTATGCAAGTGTCTTTGAGTGTCCTAAAAAACGCTATATAAGTTTGATATATTATTATTATTATTATTATTAATATTATCTCCAAAGGAGTCATATAAATACAATTCAAAGAGAGCATTCAACACGCTTCCCCAAAATAAAAACCCAACTGGTCCTTTAAACCAAGTCAGATGTCAGTTTAGTCTGACCACAAATGGTAAATGGCCTGTATTTGATATAGCGCCTTCTAGAGTCCTGGAACCCCCCAAGGTGCTTTACAACACAATCAGTCATTCACCCATTCACACACACATTCACACACTGGTGGGGATGAGCTTCATTGTAGCCACAGCTGCCCTGGGGCGTACTGACAGAGGCGAGGCTGCCGAGCACTGGCGCCACCGGTCCCTCCGACCACCACCAGCAGGCAACATGGGTTAAGTGTCTTGCCCAAGGACACAACGACAGCGACAGACTGAGCGGGGCTCGAACCTGCAACCTTCCGATTACGGGGCGAGCACTTAACTCCTGTGCCACCGTCGCCCCCAAGGAGTCCCAAACTAAGTACAAAAGCAGTGACCACACTTCTGAAGACCATGTGTCACCAAATGTCACTGCTCAACCAAAGAGAACCAAGTTTAACTCATCAGTTTAACTCAGAAATCCCAAAGCTACTCCTTTGTAAGGACAGTTGAAGTAAGTATGTCAGCAGTAACCACACATGTGTAGACCTACCAGGATGTCTCCCCCTCTAAATGTCCATCACAGTTTAACGTACCAAAGGTCTGTCTCTCATCCAAGCCCCCATAATTCTGCAATGAAATTGAAGCCAACGAGGAAGTGGCTAAAACTGCAGTTCCACCCTCCTCCACCAGGGGCTGGCAGCAGAAGTGAGCAGGTCCTCATTGACTCCCATGTTAAAAAGGCCACAGCAGAAATAAACATGTTTACAGCCTTGGTTCAAAAACCATTCTAGGTTTAATAGATCTAGTTTACACTCATGACAACTCTGAGGGGGGTGAATTTGTTTAAGTACAATTTAATGCATACATTTCAGAATAATTATAGTAGCTAAAAATGCTACTGGCTGCGCAGTGGCACAGTGGTTAGAGCTGTTGCCTTGTAGCAAGAAGGTCCTGGGTTCGATTCCCGGCCTGGGATCTTTCTGCATGGAGTTTGCATGTTCTCCCTGTGCATGCGTGGGTTCTCTCCGGGTACTCCGGCTTCCTCCCACAGTCCAAAAACATGACTGTTAGGTTGATTGGTCTGTCCAAATTGTCCTTAGGTGTGTGTGCACGACTGTTTGTCCTGTGTGTCTCTGTGTTGCCCTGCGATGGACTGGCTCTCTGTCCAGGGTGTACCCTGCCTGATTGCCCGTTGACCGCTGGAGATAGGCACCAGCCCCCCACCCGGCGACCCTGAGTGGACAAGGCGGGTTCAGAAAATGGATGGATGGATAAAAATGCTACTGTATGTTAGCTTGGGTCAGATTTCAGGACCTTCCTCCCACCCCTCTGGTGCAGGAGTGTGAAGGAGTCCTGTTTCAGCTGTAACGGCGGATGTTTACACGTGTTTCTGTCTCTAAAACCCATAAAAACAAGGCCAGCGTGAAGAGATCGTCTCAGCTAACGAACGCCGACCGGAAGTCGGTCACATTTTCCACACAAAGGCTCACGGTCAATAGGAATAAGGTGGATATGAAATACAACCAGCAGGCCCAACAGTCAGATCTTATTATGGGATGTATAAACCAGAACCAAGGATGCTTTACTGTGCAGATGACCTCTGACCTTTCAGAGCTGTTGTTGGTTACTTCCTGTCTTTAGTTTCCAACATTTCCCATAATGCTACAGCTCAGTAATACCAGAACCACCCCCCAGGGTCTCTGATCAGACTGGGTCAGTGTTTGGACCGCTCATGGCAGCAGAAGAAGCTGATGGCGCCGGGTTGTGAGCCGGGTTCAGTCAGAACTATGATGGAGGTCCTGAAGCCGTTGGTTTTGGGTCAGAGCCTGGCCGGCGCCGGAGGAGGCGGCTTCCTCTATCTGCTGACCCGGGAGCCCCAACAGAAGGAGGCGGTTCTGGAGGTTCTGAACACCACGTCGGTAGGAAACATGCAGTTTCAGTAGACTGGGCCAGGTTCTGGGTTTCTGATCAGAACCAGAACCGTGTTAATACCCAGTAATGCAGAGAGGGTTTTTTTCAGGGTCTGGGGGACTTCAGCGTCCACTCGGTGCAAGTGGACCTGGACGGCATCACAGTCCGGACCGGATCCGATGGATAACTGCAAAGTTCTGGATCATGAAGCAGGTCTTTGGACCACTGGTGTATGATGAAGCTGCAGTACCAGGTCATCTGACTGGTACCAAGATCAACATCTGTGTTTTAGAGGCTGGTTCTGGTTCAGGTTTTAACCTTTATAACCCAACAACTCAGAACCCGGTACCACAGTAGAACTGGACCCATCTGGGTTCTGAGGTCTGGTTGTAAAACATTTATGATTTAATAAAAAATGTCCTGAGTCAGCAACAAAGTTTGTTTATTTAAAAGCTTAGAAACATTTGTGCAACAGAACCAGAACCGGAACTCTAAGACGTTTGTTTCTGTTCAAATATCAAACTTCTCTTCACAGACGGCGTGTCCGTTCTCCTCGAACTCCTCCCTCGTCACCACCATCTCCTCGTAGTCCGGGCTATGAGCCAGCAGCTTCCCTCCTTCCCACGAGTAGCTCACCGGGCTGCAGACAGAACGGGTCAAAGCTGTCAGAACCAGAACCACTGTTCTGCTGTCTGGAAGCTTTCATTCCAAATAAAATTATTCTTATTTTTATGCAGAAATCTGTCCAGAATAAGTTATGAAACTAAAATAAAAAAGGTTTCACAGACAGTTGGTGCTCTTTAGACCTGGTTACCATAGCAACGATGCTCTAGACTCTTACTTTGAAGGAAGAATCACCGATACTGGGAGGTGGGCGGGGACAAGAGAGCGTAGCTCCGCCTCCAGACGCTCCCTGAAGCCCGGGAAGAGCGTGTTTCCTCCAGTCAAGATGATGTTCTGGTAGAAGTGGGGCTGCATCTCTGACACAAACACGTTTATTTTGTATAAAGCGTCATGGCTTTGCTGCAGAAGATATAAAACCCACAACATGGTTCATGGTTGCCAGTGTGAAACTTTTCTGAGCCCAGACACAAAACCAGAATAAAGCCTCCCGTCAGAGCGGCTCTCATGGAGCAGAGTCCATCCCATTTAGTCACAAAAGGTCTTCAATAGCGGCGAATAGTGTTGAAGCTAGAGCTTTAACCTGACCGGCCTCATATCTGACACCACTCTGCTGCCCATAAACCACACTACATGGTTTTGTGGAGTGGGTAGGTGTCCTATAGGGGGCGCTCTTTACCTGCTTCATGGCTGTTAGCTGTAAGGCTAGCAGTTAGCATTTTCAGTTTGCCGATCGTCAATGAAAAGCAGAACAAGAAGTTTGCTTTTTCTGCTGGCAACATGGCGGGGCCTGGAAGTAAAAGTCAGAGTAATGTCTTTGGAGGTGAAGCAGAGAGCTAAAACCAGAGTGAACATCGGCTAAAGAAGCTAAAGGAGGCTACAAAATCAGACTGATGGTGACCTGGCTTTGTTGCTACTGGACTTGTAAGTAGCATTTTTGTCCAACAATGTGGATCTTTTTACTTTGAGGTTTATTTTGGTATCAGTTGGCTCATATTAGTGTTAGCTCGTTGTTAGCGCTAGCTACAGCAGGGTTGTTTACAATTGTAATTCCACTTTCAACCAGTTGGGTGGAGGAGCAGGAAACTGCTGTATGACTTTTATCTTGTCTCAGTTTGGTCTCCAGTGAACGTAGCCGTGTTACCGTGGATTTAACCCTCCCGCGTACCTAATGGGGTCAGCTGAAGAGTGAGCATCACCTCACCTCTGCCAATAGACCCCAACGGATAAACTATCAACCCTGCTCAACCATCCTGCCCTGGTAGGACAGTAAGAGGGTTAAAGACAAAATGCACACAACTAAGCCCCGCCCACTGACCAGCTCATCCTTGGCTTTAGTTCACTTCCTGTTTTACATTCAACAGGATGAATCTTCCTGTTTCTCGCTGTGGTTAGAGGTTCTGCTAAACAAACCAAACGTTCTTCTGGTTGTTAGACCTTCGGTTATGACCCCCCCCCCCCCCCCCACACACACACACACAAAAAATCATGATAGTTATTCCTGGGAGGCGGACCTTCAGGCAGCGACTGGACAGAGTGGACGATGGCCTCCGGGAGACCCATCTCCTGGATGCCGATGTCTGACGGGTGGAAGAGCATCTCAGGAACGGCAAAGCGCTCATTGGCCAGCCTCAGGATCTGCTCGCCTGTCTTGTACTTCCCACTGAGGACCATCTCCTCCCGAGGCTGGAGGGCAGAGACCAGACAGGAACATCTCATAAAAACAGGATTTGCTCCTTTTGATTCTAATCAGGACTACAGTTGTACCAATAAGTTCACACACTCCAGGTCCTAATCATGCGTGTCGCCCCCTTTTAGCATCAATGACAGCTTGGAGGCTTTCGTGGTCATTGTTGAGAAGATTCTGGTTATTATCTAATGGCAAGGCTCATTCTTCTTAGCAAAAGTCCTCCAGTTGTTTAGCGTCGCCCACGACTCAAGACTGGAAACGTCAGTGCAGCTCTGGATGGAAGACACACGCGTTTGTCAGCAGCCCAAAAACTCACACACCTTTTATAATCACACACATATGCAAGGAAACAGAACACAGGTGAGGACGGTTGCCTTTAGCAGCCACTCAGACCCAGTTGTGTTCATGTTTCAGGACAAAATCACTTTTCCACAGGGTCATTGTGGCATTTTATTTTGTTACAATGATTTGAAATACACGTGTTTTAAAATTAAAAGCTTCACAAGTCACTGACCCCGAGAGAAAAAAGGTTTTTGACATTTTTTCATTCATATTCTTGGAAAAGTGGCCAAAAGGTCCACCAGGGTGTGTTAACTTATTGGCAAAACTGTAGAATGAGCCCAGCCAGGTCCAGGATGTGGGTCAGAACCGGCCCGTCTCACCTTACAGAAACCTTTTTTGATGGAACTGAAATCTGGGAGAACGTAGTCCCTCACAACCGAGTTGTCTTCCCCCTTCGACCTGGAAGCAGAAGAACCATCCAGAACCACTGATACCCCCCTGTTCTGTGTGTGTGTGTGTGTGTGTGTGTCTCACAGTGCGATCTCCATGTCCTTGTAGAACTGCTGGGAGACGTAGCACACGTCTTCCTTCACCTGGTTGATCACATGCGTCTCGTCCATCACGTGTAACTGGCTGAGAATAAAAAAATATTTATTTATTTTTATTTATGCGACAGAAACACGACGAGGCGCTCCAATTAAACATTCCAACACAAACCGGTAGGAGATGATCTCCTTCAGGTGATTGGTCAGGAGCTTCCCACCCACGTTGATCCTAAAACAAACCCATATGCTGCTGTTAGTGTGAGCATTTTTACAATATCTCTGCTATAGGTCGGCGACCTCTGACCTGCGAATGCCCTCCTTCAGCTTCTTGCTGCGACAGTAGGGGACAATGTGGGTGAAGGAGAACCCCGAGTCCACAACCAGGCAGCAGAGCTCCGACGGTTTGGTGTGGAAGTAGTGATGAGCAGAGAGGGAGCCGGCTGAGGAACACAAGAAGCCTAATCTGATCCCAGAGCCAACCATCTGAAAAGTTTCTGTTTTTTTACTTTATTGATGTTTTTACTGATAATTTGGTTTCAAATGATGAAAACTTGGAGTCTGGTGTTTTATTGGCTGTACACTGTCACAACTTCATTCAAAGATGTTGTTGCAGACTCACCGTTAATCCTGAGGGCTGACTGGAACTGGTACTCCTCAAACAGAATCTCGTTCATGGACTCTTGGATGGAGCTGAAGTTGAAGTAGGGCTCTGTGACGATGATGCTGGTGTCCACAAACTCCACCTGTGCAGAGATAACAGTCAGCCTCAGATGGAAGGAAAAGGCCTCTAGATGTTCTCCTCACAGGGATTGCACCTTGAACATCTCCTTCCCAAACAGGTGATCCCACACCTTCCTCTGCACATCCCAGTTGACCAAGTAGCCCTGCAGAGACACAAGCAGAGAGCAGGCACCACCACAGATGTAAACGTTAAATATAAAACACTGAAACAAACAGCAGCACGCTGCAGCTGATGAGGAGGAGGGCCTGAGGACACCTGCTGACCTTCTGAAAGGGGAGGATGTAGAAGAGACCTGAAGGATCTTTGATCTCATCCAGCTGATTGGCAGTGAATGTCTTTAATCTGGATGTCTTCGAGCGAAACTGACAGTTTGGGATGACGCTGAGGGAAAATACAGTCACAATACATCTGTAATCCACTGATCGACTTATTAAGCTTTATTTTCTCATGCAAGTCCAGAGAATGTTTTAATCACGTTTTACTGTGAAATCAAAGCAGTAATTTGGCTCCAACAGGTGTAGCTTTAGTTAATTTCTGAGGCTATTTTCCATTTTTCCGACAAATTCACATAAACAAATTACAGAAAATGAACAATCTCCTGGGATAGAAAACGAGTTTAAATAGGGCACTGGAACATTTCCGGTCCTAGCAGGAACTTTTATTTTTCTAACTCTAGTGAATTTTATAGGAATTTACGTTCAAGTTTCAACATAAACACATTCAGATTGATGTTCTCGGTTATGAAGCGGAATCTGAACAAATAAACATTTAACTGGACACTTCCTGTCGCTTAGCTTCCTACCGGACTTTCTCCTGACTGTAACCGATCTTCGCCGAATTGGCTCCGTTATCCAAAACCAGCGTGGCCATTTTTAACCACTGCTTATATCACAAAATCAACAAGATATCGATTCATTCTTTATTTACTTAATCACACTTAAGATATCTGACACATTTTAGGAGATTTAGCTAAGCGGCTAGGGTACGTGCACAAAATGGTCCGGGTAGAAACAGGACCACTTTAATGTTTCTTTCCGCCTCTCTGTCCTTGCGTCCTGTACAGTCAAGGGCTGTGTCTCAATTATGGTCCTGAGCGGTGCACTTTGAGGAAGTGCGCACTGCAGTGTAGTACACAAGTGGGACAGTGAACATTGCCACAGCGCGTCTGCGACGCATTTTTTATTAACAAAAACACCAACAGTACAAATAACATCACCGAAGTACAAACTCTGATGGTAAATAAACAATTAGCTTATCGAAGAAAAGACAACAGGAAACATGCGTCACACAGGAAACGGTTATTCTAGCACTTTTTCAGGACGCGTAAAAAAATAAAAATAAATAAAAACTTTTGCAGGACCGATGTGCAGGACGCGTCATTTGATAATTTGGAATTCTAGGATGTCCAAGGAAGGTCCCGCCTTTCTCACCTCTGATTGGCTAGAAGGGCTCTCCTACGATTGGCTATTTCATGTAAGAGGAAACTGCAGGTTTTTATGTTTACAGCCAGATCTTGAGTTTTTTGAAGAAAATGAAAACTCATCGCTATAAAAAAAAACATCATTTCCTGATTTACAACAAACCAGTTTCAGTTTCTTTCGTAAAAGAACCCGAGGAACGTCAAATGTGAACTTGTAAGAAATTTTGCTGCGTTTTATCCATCGACATAAATATATCACACTGTAGACCGACTACGTGTTGACTCTACTGGGGTTATCTTATTACGTAATTATTAGGCTATCCTATGTCTTCACTTTAATAGGTTAAGGTTGAGGCTGTTTATAAGTTGGAGCACATCTCTCATGATCAGATTAAATGTGTATCATTTAATCAAAAATTAAGGTAAAGCTGATTATGATTTCACCTATTTTTCCTAGTTAATAAACAGACCTGATGCACACAGCTGGGCAGTTTTATTAAAATTCATACCCAGGTAAGGCACATATGTTTATCCTATGTACTCTAATGCCAGAGCCAAGAGATATAAAGTAAGTCCATAAACGCAACAAGACTAAAAATTCACATTTTACGTATTTCAATTTTTTATGAAACATAAAATGTTTAGCAAAACAGAACGAAATGATTATTATAATGCTAAGTTTACATTTTCTTTACTAAACGCTCCAAAACAGCTTTCTGCTGGTGGCAGCAGCAGAACTGCAGAAAGAGAGTTGCGACCACACACACACACACACACACACACACACACACACACACACACACACACACACACACACACACACACACACACACACACACACACACACACACACACACACACATGACAATCTGCACTTAGCTGCTAAAAGAAATAGCCAATCGTAGTAGCATTTTTAGCCAATCAGAGGCGAGAAAGGCGGGATCTTCCATGGACATCCTAGAATTCCAGCACGCAGTTTTAATTTGGGATTTCGCGCCTTGCAAGACAAACGTCGAGGCACTCCACAAGAAAAATAACAACAAATTTTAAAAGTCTAAAATATTTTGAATCATAAATAATGGGGAAAGTTGAAAAACATCTGAAAAATGAGGACAAAAATGTACAAGGAAAGGTAATACGGGATCCAGGTGTTCCGACTATCCGTGCTACTTGTCGTGTGCTACTTTGGGGACATGCGCAGACCAACTACTACATCACAGGCTTTTTACCTGAAGAGACGCTACCTCTGGGAGTTTATACTGCTTGTTGTACCTGACAGTTAGCTTGTAAAATATCGTTATTATACTGTAAACAAGACATTTCTCCCATTGTTTATCGTCATTTATGGATTCATAACAAACACGGTCTTTTTCACAAATAAATCACCACAAACTCTGTATATTTTTGCTAATAATTATACTACAGTTCTGTATTGTTGAGTATTATCACCCATTTAAAATAAACCACGCTTAATAAGCGTGTTACTATACTGTAGACAAGAGCAAAACTGTCATAACATGCTGCGGTAGGAAGCACGGACCAGAACACCGGGAAAGGCAGAATTAGCAGAAAGATCAGATTAAGGAGAGGGAGGGGATGAAGGTCCCACCAAAGCCTGAACAGGTGAGTTTAAAGGAGACCACTGAGTCCTCTGATCTCAGGCTCAGGAGAGAGGTCCAGAGTCTGGGGGCCACAGCAGCAGATGATCTGTCACCGTTGACCTTTAGCCTGGTGGCTTTGATCACTGGACCTCAGGAACAAAGTGGTGATGGTCAACCAACTGGACATTGTGGTGGTGGACAAACCACAGAGGACAGCCATTGTGGTCACCGGAGCACTCGTGGAAGTAACCCCCAAACTGGAGGAGTGGCTCAGCAATAATCAGGTGTTTTTCATAAAAGCAAACCAGAATCAGCTGTCCGTTAAAACATTTTATTCATTTGTTTGGCTTTTAAACCAAGAAAATGTGTCTTGTGTAAACAAGACAGAGTTACAGATAAAGGCACTTAACTTCTGTCGCCGTTGTTAAATAGTTGCTCTTCTGTACAGATATTTACAGTTTCTCCATCCTGACAGAGAAGTTGGGTGAATTCAAAGAACAAGAAAGCAACAGGTAAACAAAACAGACAGTTAAATAAAACTACACCAAATAATAGATTTGTTCATAAAATGACGTCTAGTAGAAGAGGCTAAAATACAATAAATATGACGACAAGCTGAAGTGAAACGTTAAAATAATGACTGAGAACAAACAGATGAAACAAAGCTTTACAAAAACCAACGTTCTCTTTCAATCCAGGGTTTTATGTCATTCAAACCCAAAGATCTGAAACAATCACTTAAAAATCTACCTGTGAACACGAAGGCTTCTGTCACACCTTCACCTGTCAGATTAAACTTCTTCCTACACCTTTAGGGTTTACGTCCTCTCTCTCCACGGACCCAACGGGAAGCTGATCGAACTGCTGTTGTCACGGCGATGGAGTCAGCGGGAGGAGCTTCGGTCGTTCGCAATGTCCTGCAGACGGCGCAGCAGAGCTGTGTGGTTGTCGGGGCAGACCCGTTTGGGGGATGTCTCCTTGTCCAAAGGAATGCTGCGCTTCCTGCTGGGAGTCTCGCCGGTCCGGATCATGCTGTTGATTTCCTGGAGACGCTGTGGGACACAGGATGGAAGGAGGACACAGAGGACAGACGATGACCATCGGTAGATGAAAGACATTTGTTTTGCCTCCGTCTCTAGCCTCAGCGGCTGTTGCTATGGAGACAGGCTGTGAACAATACAGTATTACTGGGGGTTGCGTTACATTTCTGCTGCTGCTCATGCTGGGTTATCTGGAAATGGAATGCAGCCCTTGTTAACATAATATCAGCTATGAAACGGGCCTCGTGTGCCCGAGTGTTTCTGAGGAGTCTCACATTGGGGGGGCTGCTGCAGATGTAGTAGCAGATCTTCTCCCGGGGGAGGGCTGGGCAGGGGGCGGAGCCTGACTCGTGAGGTGAGATGTAAATGGAGTGCTTGCTGGAGAGAAGCATCCGACGTGGGGAGCCTGTCCTCGAGGTAGGGTACGGGCACAGTGGAGGGGGGTCCGCCTGCAGACAGACAGAGGCATCATAAGACAAAAGGTTTCTGCTGGTGGTGGGTGCTGGTCCATCTGCCTCAAGGACCGGTTCAGCCTGCTCTCATTAACTTGTTCTGGCCCAGAAGTCTTAGAGGACGTACCCCCGTGGACGGAGAGCTCCTTGAGTATCTCACAGCAAACTGTCTCATCTGCTTTATGTAGACATCGTTGTAGAAGTGGATCAGGTCTCCTCGTTCCTCCTCACCACCATCCACAGCTGAGGAGGAGGAGTCACCGCTGGGCTGGGGGGTCACCAAGGTGCTGCTGGAGCAGGTTAGACCTGGACTGATGTCTCCACCTGCTGGTAGGAGGAAAGAGTGATCAGGAAAACCATTCAGGTTCTAAAACGGGTATTCACTTCTGGTCCTGGTTCTATCAGCACGTTTTGGTGGTTTCTCTGAGAAATCAGGTGGGTTGAAACCGAGTTAAAACTAAAACGTGCTGGATACCGTACCACCAGGCCCGGTAACTGAATATTCCTGTTTTACCAGAGTTTTGACCTAGGTGAGCTGACCCAGGTGGTTTATGACCCACGTGGGTTCTGACCTAGGTGGTTATGACCCAGGTGGGTTCTGACGTAGTTAAGCTGACCCAGGTGGGTTCTGACCCAGATGGGTTATGACCCAGGTGAGTCTCTTGAATGAAGAACCTTTCATAGACTTCTGACCCGGGTCCTTTCTGCTGTCAGATGATGAGCTTTGGTTGGTGTCTGTGGTGGAGGATGGTCTTGTGCTCCCCGAGATCAACACACTCCTGTAGACCTGAAACACACACAGGTTAGTGTGAATGTGTGTTAGCTTGTGTGTGTTAATGTGTGTGTGTGTGTGTGTGTGTGAGTGTGTTAGTGTGTGCATGTGTGTATTATTATGTGCATGTTAGTGTGTATGTGAGTGTGTTAGTGTGTGTGTGTGTATGGTAGTGTGTGTGTGTATGTTAGTGTGTGTGTGTGTGTGTGTGTGTGTGAGGGTGTTAGTGTGTGTGTACATGTTTGTGTGTGTGTGTGCATGTTGAGCCCTTTTCAGACAGACATTCTGGAACATTTGTGGACAATTCAATCCGGTTTTTAACCGGAACTGTGTTTTCAGACACACCACTTTTGTACCGGAACTTGTCCTTTCGGCTGCGTTCACACAGCAGGGAAAAGTTCCAGATGTCTGAAGCTCAATGGTTAAAGGAATCACTGAAGCGGTGTGAAGCGCTCTGTCGCGCGTCTAGGCGGTACCGTAGGAGGCGAGCTGCCGTGGTTCGCCGCATGCTACAGGAGCGGGCTATCTAGATGCGCACAGCGTCCCTGGTCCCCTCCTCCTCCCCCTCCCCCTTGTCCGGAACTTTACCTCACCAGTCTGAAGCAGCCACCCTGTCCGTAACAAGTCTGGACCTGTTACTAGGGGCTTAGGTGTGTGTGTGTGTGTGTGTGTGTGTGTGTGTGTGTGTGTGTGTGTGTGTGTGTGTGTGTGTGTGTGTGTGTGTGTGTGTGTGTGTGTGTGTGTGTGTGTGTGTGTGTGTGTGTGTGTGTGTGTGTGTGTGTGTGTGTGTGTGTGTGAGGGTGTTAGTGTGTGTGTGCATATGTTTGTGTGTGTATGTGTATGTTAGTGTGTGTGTGTGTGTGTGTGTGTGTGTGTGTGTGTGTGGTAGTGTGTGTATATGTTTGTGTGTGTATGTGTATGTTAGTGTGTGTTAGTGTGTGTGTGTGTGAGTGTCTGTGTGTGTGGATGTTAGTGTGTGTGTGTATTACATTGCTGCTGGCCTGGGGCTGTGTGCGATAACACTTCATGATGTTCTGGAAGGACCTGTCCTCTTTGGTCACCTGACAGGAACACAAGTACCTGAGTGTGTTTCACGTTTACGTTTCATTTGTCACAAATATCTTTCCCAGCTTGTAAACAGGAAACAGGAAACACACCTTAGCCATGACATAAACAGCACACATGAGCAGCTGATCCAGGTGACGGTCCTTCATCATGTCTGTACTGTGGACCAGAGAATGTTCAAAACACGTCCAGATCTTCCTCCTCAGATCTGTTGGGATGTCCAGTTTGACACAAAGATCACGGAGACGAACGCTGGCCAGGTGGAACACCTGGAGGAGAGAATTCTACCCAGTCAGGAGTTGAGCTGACAGCCGTGGGAGTGTGTGGACAGGTGAGGCGTACCTTTCTGAAGAACAGAGAGAGGGAACCTCTCCTCAGTGGGCTGCTGACTGCTTTAGTGACTGGCTTGGTGACAGCTGATTGGATGGCGAGAGTGCTGGTCAGGTTCTGGGCAGGGAGTGGCTGAAGTGTGGCCCCGCCCACTTGCACTGGGATGAAAGTGAATCCTCCATTCTCATTGGGTATCCCTACAAAGAGGTCAGAGGTCAGCACATAGTTACAGGTCACCTGTTGTAGTTAACTCATTGTTTTGAGTCCCTTACCTTGCACAGGTATAGTCAGTGTCTGCCCGTTGTTGGCCGTGACGGTGGCGGTCGCCACTACAGTCTGCCCCGCCGGAATGGTGGCAATGAGGCTCGGCTTTGTGACGCTGCTCGGTGGTGTTCTTGTGGCGCTGGTCTCACCCTCCGTCGGGTCAACAAACAGACGGCGACGAAATCCACCTGTGGGGGGGGAGCCATACCGGTCCTGCAGGGTGGTGGGGGAGGGGGACACGCCTTCAGAAGACGGAGGGGCAAATTATTTCTACACAGAAACACAAAAGAGTAAGACAAGATGGCTGACAAATCACCTGTGATGGTGCTGTTGGTGCTGAGGTCTGGTCCCTGTGAGGCTGGAGTGAGGGCAATGCCAGCCCCACCGCTGTCTTCATTCTGTTCCAGGTACTGAGGATGCATCACCTGAAACGCAGACGCACACACACGTGCACACACACACACACACACACACACACACACTGATTGACCCACAGAACTTTCAGAACCACTGAATTTTATTTGTGAGCAGCCTAAAGCCTCCTCATATCTCTGAGACTTTGGTAAACAAAAGGTTCTGAATGTTTCCAACATCATCTGTTCAGTAAGAAGATGACATCATCTCTACAGGTGAAGTAGAACCAGGTGCTGTTTGTGTTCTCATGGACCTCCTGGCAGGTCGGGACTTGGGCTGACTGGAGACTGTGCCACAGCGGGGAGTTGCTGGTCCAAGCCAGGCTCTCCAGAACCTGCTCCTCCACCTGGTTCAGGTGCTTCACGACCTCCCGAAACAGACCCTGTTCCGACCGGACCAGCACCTCAATCACCTGCACACACACACACACACACACACACACACACACACACACACACACACACACACACACACACACACACACACACACACACACACACACACACACACACACACACACACACACAGTAAACGTGAGTTTTTATGAGCATTAGTTCGTTCATCAGATGATGAAATAGTTGTTATTATTATTATTATTATTATTATTACAGTTGTTATTACAATTATTGTTGTTTATATTATTGTTGTCTTGAGCAGTGTCTGGCAGATGCTGCTGACTAGTGCCGATAGCTGAGATGAAGCTCAGCATGCTGCTTCCTGATTGGCTAATCTGGACTCAGTCTGAGAACGGGTCGGGCCAGCTGGTACCTTATAGAAGTGGTAAGCAGGAAGCTGGAAGGTGTGGATGACTCTGGGGAAGTCTCCTGGAGGTCTGTAGGAGAAGGTAACGATCTCCAGGCAGCAGGCCAGCAGGGAGCGGTGGAACACGTCCTGCTCCAGAATACACTGCAGAACCAACAGGGGGTATGGTTCAGTGCAGTCACAGCTGGTAACCATCACACACAGAACCTCCCCGGTCCAGACCAGACGCCCTGGGTCAAGAGTCCAGACCTTGAGACCAGAACTGTACTCACAGACAGGTCAGCGTCTCCCAGGATCATCTTTTCTCTCTCAACGATGGACTCCAGGATCCTGTAGTACAGCGCCTCGCTCAGGTGGAAGAACTTGACGGCCATGTCTGCTGGACAACACATGGTCAGGTGGGACAGCAGATCAGCTGATCACTGGGCTCAGGTCCTCACCTTTTTCCATCCCCTTGCTGTCATCAGTGCTGTCCTCATGATGCTGTGTGAAGATGTCTAACATGTCCTTCAGGCGCTGACTGATGACATCACTGGGGTCTCTGGAACAGCCCCTGGAACCGAAACAGCCGCACTCCAGACTTCCAGTCAATGTAAATTGTTAAAGGTCAGAGGTCAGGCTTAGTCTATCAGAACTGGACCTCACCAGAACCTTAAACCGGCTTCACCAAACCAAACCTGGAAAAGCAGCAAGTTCACCCTAAGGTCAAAGGTCAACACTCAGTTTCAGGGAGGCTAAAGGTCACAGCAGCTCAGATTGGTAGCATTTTACCTGAACAAACCACGGAGACACCAAGGTGGATGTGTTTACCCACAATGCACTGCAGCAGAGACAGCTGTTCCCAGCTGTCAGCACGGTCAGTGGTGGAGCTGACCTCTGACCTTTAGGCTTTACAGAATGGATGCCTAACCTCTGCACCACTGTAACACCTGTGCACATCCTCAGAAAAAGTCCCACAAGATAAAACGTGGCTTACTCATCAGGCACACTCCCTCACCGGCGCCGAGCTGGCCGTAATCCACAAGAATCCACAAGTTAGAACCTAAACGGACCTGATATCTGACCGAACTGTGCTCTAAGTCTAGACTCTGGAACTCTCTCCCCCTGAGCCTGAGATCAGTGGACTCAGTGGTCTCCTTTAAAAAGCAGCTGAAGACTCACTTGTTCAAGCTGGCTTTTGTATGACCTTCTTCACCACTCTCTCTTTATTCTGCTCTCCCCACCTATTCCACCTTCCTCAGGATCCACTGATTTCCCTCTTTCCTATTCACTCTCTCTCTTTCTTAACATTTTTTTTAATTACAATTGCCTATTTTTGCTCATTTTAATATATTTTTAAACATTTTCTAAATGCTTTTTTATATTTTTACATATTTTGTTTTTGTGAAGTGCCTCGTGATTTTTATCTTGAGAGGCGCTATAGAAATATTTTCTTCTTCTTCTTCTTCTTCTTCTTCTTCTTCTTCTTCTTCTTCTTCTTCTTCTTCTTCTTCTTCTTCTTCTTCTTCTTCTTCTTCTTCTTCTAAGTGCAGCCCTGAGACTAAAACCTGAAGCTAACAGGTTAGCTAAAGGCTGATTCAGCACGCCCATGACTGGTTGGACGGACGGATTTCCCCGCATGCCGCGTTCTTTCTGACATGTTTAAAATGTAACTAACTTATCGGCTGTATCTGACACTGTCAACCACAGCTTCCTTTGGTCCGCACTCTCTAGCATGGGCATCACAGGGAAAGCACACTCCTGGCTTGAATCATACCTGAAAGGACGATCTTTCAGTGCATCTTGGCTCGGACAATTTCTGCTGTTCACCATCTTGCCACAGGAGTCCCCCAGGGCTCTGTACTAGGACCTCTTCTCTTTGCCATATACACCACCTCACTAGGTGAGATCATTCAATCACATGGCTTCTCCTACCACTGCTATGCTGATGACACCCAGCTCTATCGGCCATTCCCGCTGGACGACCACAGAGTCTCTGAACGAATCTCAGACTCTGACATATCAAGATGGGTGAAATCCCACCATCTCCAACTCAACCTCTCTTACACTGAATTACTTGCCATACCAGCAAAACCATCCATACGGCACAATATCTCCAAAGTGATTCCCTTTAGACATGGTGGGGTGGGAGTAATGAGGTTAGCGGATCAGAACCTGACACCTGAGGGTTCTCTTAGTCCGGTCAGAACCCATACCTGAGGATCTGTGTCAACTTGGAGCTTGGCCCATATCTGGTTCCTGACAGCAGAGTGTGAAGGCGCCCAACACTCTTCATAGCGGTAGACAGCGGAGACGCCAGGCGGACCTCCTGTACATATTTCCTCCCGGTCAGAGGAGTAGAGACCTTCAGAACCGAAGCCTGGTGAGATCCGAGATGGAATGCAGTTAGAAGGAAGACCAGTAGACGGACAACAAACAGGAAGTGAGTCTTACAGCGAGGCTGGTGTGCAGCCTGTAGAGGGTGCTGTCCTGGTTCTCCACCTCCTCACAGAGGCTGGGCTCTGGGGTCCCAATGTCCTCGCTGGCCCCCTCCCCAGTGAAGATCCTTTCATCCAGACCGCCTGAGGCCAAAACCTGTTCCTCATAGAGGCGACTGAGCGACAAGCTGAGGAGATCAGAAGCAGCCAATCAGAACCCAGGACTGGATCGTTCCAGAACAATCAGCTGAGTGACTAAAACACTCACAAACTGTCTCCAAAGTTCATCGGATCCAGAAAACCACTCAGACTGTCCTCCTTTCCACGGAGAATCTGTGGAGAGACCAGAACCTTCAGTCCTATTGGACCCATCAGAGCCACCTGATCTGCTCCTCTCCAGCAGCTAGACACCACCTCCTCATGTCACATAAACCTCAGAGCGCGTGCTCTGTTCTACAGACCGGAGATTTAGGGAAAGAAAACCAACAGAAAGCAGGAGGAACTGACTCTCTTGTGGAAGAGCTTCTTGATGAACGGCTTCCAGAAATGTTCTTTAACGCCTTTGGCCTCCAGAACAAGCCCGTCGTGGAGCTCACACAGCTGCTCCATGAAGCAGAGCGGACCTGGAGGTGGCCTGTAGTCCCTGCTGGTGAAGTCCTCAGGGAGACCTGCAGGAGGAGGTGCACACAAGCAGGTCAAAGGTCACAGCAACCAGACTCTGAACAGTTCATGTTACAGAAATAATTATCCAGACTTTCTGAAGACAATTTTAATCCTCTGACCTTTGACCTCTGAGGCATTCGGGCACAAAAAAGCGGCTGAACTCAAAGGATCAAGATCAGGATTCTTCAGTGTTTTAGACATTTTCCTCTGATCCAAATGTGTCCCCGTGTCTCTATGTCCCCATGTCCCTGTGTCCCAAATTCCCTATGTCACTATGTCCCTGTGTCCCCATGTTCCTGTTTCTCTGTGTCGCTATGTCCCCATGTCTCTGTGTCCACATGCCCTTGTATCCCTATGTCCCCATGGTCTTGTGTCCCCATGTCTCTGTCTCTGTGTCCCCATGTCTCTGTCTCTGTATCTCTGTGTCCCCATGTCTCTGTGTCCCCGTGTCTCTGTGTCCCCATGTCTCTGTCTCTGTATCTCTGTGTCCCTGTCTCTGTATCTCTGTGTCCCCATGTCTCTGTGTCCCCGTGTCTCTGTGTCCCCATGTCTCTGTCTCTGTATCTCTGTGTCCTCGTGTCTCTGTGTCCCTGTCTCTGTATCTCTGTGTCCCCATGTCTCTGTGTCCCCGTGTCTCGGTGTCCCCGTGTCTCTGTGTCCCTGTCTCTGTATCTCTGTGTCCCCGTGTCTCGGTGTCCCTGTGTCCCCATGTCTCTGTGTCCCTGTCTCTGTATCTCTGTGTCCCCATGTCTCTGTGTCTCGGTGTCCCCGTGTCTCTGTGTCCCTGTCTCTGTATCTCTGTGTCCCTGTCTCTGTATCTCTGTGTCCCCGTGTCTCGGTGTCCCTGTGTCCCCATGTCCCTGTGTCCCCATGTCTCTGTGTCCCTGTCTCTGTATCTCTGTGTCCCCATGTCTCTGTGTCTCGGTGTCCCCGTGTCTCTGTGTCCCTGTCTCTGTATCTCTGTGTCCCCGTGTCTCTGTGTCCCTGTCTCTGTATCTCTGTGTCCCCGTGTCTCGGTGTCCCTGTGTCCCCATGTCCCTGTGTCCCCGTGTCCCTGTGTCCCGTGTCTCTGTGTCCCCGTGTCTCTGTGTCCCCATGTCTCTGTGTCCACATGCCCTTGTATCCCTATGTCCCCATGGTCTTGTGTCCCCATGTCACTAATTCCCCATGTCTCTGTGTCCCCATGTCCAGGCTGAAGACACACTGCTGAAGAGCCTCTGATGAACAGGAGGACCTGCTGATCTGGGATCAGTGTTGGTGAAAGTTCACCGTACCTTTGAAGCTTGGATTGAGGAGGTCTCTCCTGGCGCTGCACAGGAGCGCATTGGTGAGGACCAGGTCCAGTGCACACAGCAGCAGGTGGTAGGAGTTCACCAGGTCGTCGCTGATCATGGGGAAGTTCCCTGGAGCCAAAAGCAAGGAGCTACATGGTGAGAGGGGGTTATCGTGTCCGCCACCGCTGACTGGACGGACACGTCCAAACTTTTATTCAGTACGTAGAAAATTCAACAAACAAATGAAGATTGGACCTTTAAGTATGACAAACTGCAGCAACTAGAAGTGTCTTAGTGCCGCTCAGAGAACTTTTACCTTTAGCGTGAACGTAGAGCACCCAGCAGAAGTTAAAGAGCTCACTCACAGAGCACGGGTGGCGTCTGCAAAACAAACAACGGCTTTTTTATTCATGTTAACAGGTGAAAGGAACAACCGGCTCCTCCTGATCAGTCTGATGGGTTCTCCTGAACATCTGGAACAGGCAGCTTGTGTCGCTCATTCAATTCAATTCAGTTCAAGTTTATTTATACAGCGCCTAGTCACTACCAGGGTCGTCTCACACAGTAAACGTTCCAATTTCATCTGAACGGTTCCGCAGAAACAGCTTCAGCTGTCACTAAAGGAGAAACTCATTCATGTGTTCATCTCCATCAGGCTGCACCACCACAGTGGTCTTTTGACTGGTCAGCTATAGCAGTGTTCCCAAACCCTGGTCTTCAGGACACACTGTCCTGCACGTTTTCCATGTCTCTCCTTCAGCATGCTTGATTTAAACATTTACATCGCCTCCTCAGGAGGACATCAAGTGTCGCAGATGGCTGTTAATCACTCATTTATTGAAGTTAGGTGTGTGGTAGCAGGGAAACACTGGTGTTTGAAAGGGCGACATGGAAAACATGAAGGACAATGAGCCCTGAGGACCAGAGTTGGGGAACACAGTGCTAGAGTCTTAACAAGAACTAAGAGCACCGAGCACATCACTCCTGTTCTTAGATCTCTACACTGGTTACCAGTAAACTACAGAATCCAGACTCAGTGGCATGGGGCCAGACTGCATGTCAGATCTCCTTCAGGTATCTACATCCAGCAGGGCTCTGAGATCATTAGGAAGCAGTCAGCTGGTAGAACCGGGTCAGAACCAAACAGGGTGAAGCTGCTTTTAGCTACTATGCTGCTGTGCTCACAGATGGAATCAGCTTCCTCATGACCTCAGATCTGCCCCAACTCTAGAAACTTAACTGAACACATTCATGTTTTCATCAGCTTTTGAATAAATGTTCTTATGCTGCACCTTCTGCACTGTAACTGCTCACCCTTTAAAGAGCAAGTCACACAGAAACTAACTTTTTTAGCGATAACTAGCATAAATGAGTGTCTAATAGTGTTGTAGACATGTGTAGTCATTATTTTTGCGTTTTGATGCATTTTCTTTGAAAACTCAAAATTCTGTCTAAAAACGTCAGTCTAGCAGCCTCTTCAGTTCAAAAGTATAGAACACGTTTATTTTGAGTCGGTTTTAGCCAACGGCTAACGAGAACGATGCTACGTAGCTAAGAAAAGTACTACGTAGCAGCTCTGTGGCTGTAGGTTATAAAAGCACCGCGGCCTCAACCAGCCTTGTTGCAGTCGGGGCTCGTGAGTTGTGCTGTAGTTAGCGATAGCATTGAGTCAGAGTCCCAGCAAAGCTTCTAGTATTATAGATATTTAGTTCTAGTAGCTTGGCTGTTAGATTGTAGTTTAGTGTTTTTTTTACATGTGAGTATTTCACCAACTTGGTGGTTTGAACCGGGTTATGCTGGTTTGAAGAACATTTCACAAATTAGTCCAAGCCGTTCCAGTAATTAGCCGGATCCCGCTAACTGCCGCTTCCTCTAAACCAGGCCTATTCGAATGGCGGCCCGTGGGCCACATCCGGCCCGCGGGCCCTACCCAGCTGGCCCACCTCACCCAATCCCCCAACCACCAATGGAAAAAAACTGTTGAAAAACTGTTTTAGCATGCAAGTATCTAAATTCCCACACTGATATTGCACTTGAACACAACACCATTTTAGCAATCATGGACATATATACGTAGACGCCCCGTGGACTGGTGCTGTCTATTGGTGCTGACATAGTGTGGCTTCTACATATTCATGTCTATGTTAGCAGTGACCCAGCAATGACCCAGCCCCCCTGCCTGAATGATTCATCTGCAAGATGTCACTGACTGATCAGAAACGCAAAACTGACAGGGAAAATAGGCGATGCTAAACCACTGTGCTTATTATGCCACGAAAGCCTGTCTGTATTGAAAGAATACAATATTCAGAGACACCACACGGAGAAAAATCAGACATTTGGCGCTCAATTTCCCAAAGGAACATCAGAGAGGGCTAGCAAAGTGCAGAGCCTGCTAGCATCATACAACCGGAGCTCTTCTACAATAGTAAGGGCATGTACTGCACAAGAAAAAGCAACTGCGGCCTCTCTACGCGTGTCATTGATTTTAGCAAAGAAGAAACGGCCCTTCACTGACTCTGAAACTGTTGAAGAACGTATGTTAGCTGTTCTGGACGAGGTGATCAGCGATGAGAAAATTAAAACAAGCGTGACTGCTGCAGTGAAGAGCGTGCCTTTGTCAGACACATCAAACGTACGGCGAGTTGAAATATTAGCAATGGATTTGTTTGACTCACTTATCAAAGACCTTAACAAGGCTCCCGTTATGTCTATTGCTGTAGATGAGTCCACAGACAGAAGCGACACGGCCCAGTTGTGTGTGTACGTGCGCCTCTTTGATTCTGATTGTGCACGTTTTCGAGAGGAACTGCTCTGCCTGCTACCATTAAAAGGGCACACAACAGGTGAAGTCTTCTTTGATAAAATCTCAACTTTCTTTCAAAACAATGGTCTGGACAGGACGCGCGTGTGCTTGCTTGTTACTGATGGGGCTCCATCTATGGCTGGGAGAATAAATGGACTCGCAGCGCGCTGGTCAGCTGTTGCACCGGGGATGAAATCCTTGCACTGTATTGTACACCAGGCAGTGTTGTGTGCGAAACTAAGTAGACACTTCAAAACTGTAATGGACAATGTCATGGCCACAATAAACTTCATTCGTGCAACGTCCAGCCTTCAACACCGTCTCTTTCGGCAGCTGCTTTCTGATATCTCTGCAGAGCACAACGGCCTGCTGCAGCACAACGATGTGAGGTGGCTCTCCAAACGTAACTCTCTGGAGTGTTTCTGGGAGCTTAGGGTGGAGATAGAAATGTTTCTTTGTGAGAGCAAACAAAAAAAAGCAGAGGCACACCTGAACCGCATGATTGACAGCAGTTTTATGTCAGATGTATGTTTTCTGAGTGACTTATTCAAGCACTTAAACCAGTTAAATCTGGGACTACAGGGGAGAGACAAGACGGTGATTGAGCTTGTGGAGCAAACAAGCGCCTTTCAGGCAAAACTAAACATTTTCACAGCTGACTTGACTGGTGAAAGAATGCTACATTTTCCCACACTCCGTAAAGCCACCTCTCCTCCGAAAGTCACGGCAGAAATGACTGGTTTAGTCGCGAAACTGAAGGACAACTTCGCCAGTCGCCTGGAGGATCTGTCACTTACTACAGAGGCGATGCAATTAATGAAAGATCCATTTGCTGCCATCGCTGAGGAAACGTCCATCAAAGCTAAGGAAGTGGTCTCTTATATCGACGAGGGACAGTTCCTGCTGGAGTTGGTGGACATGCAGTCATCACTTATGATGCCACAAGAGCTGCGCACAAATGGCTCCGCTAAGTTTTGGAGTCAGATCAATGCCCATCAGTTCCCAAACCTCAAGAATGTACCTCAGTATGTTTGGGTCCACCTATATTTGTGAATCCAGCTTTTCCCATATGAATGCAATCAAAACAAACCTGCGCTCCTCTCTCTCTGAATCCTTTCTGCACTACTGTCTGCACATTGCACTCAGCTCCTATGAGCCAACATTCCATTTCTTGTTCAAAACAAAAAGTGCCACCTCTCACACTAAAGTTGCAAGAATAACGGTCGAGCTATGGTTGTTGTTAATGTTTATTTAGTAGCTGCGACTGAGTTATTGCAGGTTAATAAAACAAATGTTTGTATTACCAGCTCTGCAGCTGCTTAATACAGATCATTAAAGCAATAAAAAGACGTTGTGCATTGCTTTTTTTTTGTCGTTGTATTAGTGGTAGAGGTAATATCAGTCAAAATATTAAAATTTAATATTTAAACGTTGTCCGTAAAATACATAATAAAGATTTGGGTATCCGGCCCAAAGCTGATCCACGATTTTGAAATCTGGCCCAGTAGGGAAAGTAATTGAATAGGCCTGCTCTAAACAGAGATTTTGGGCCCACTCTGAGGTGAGTAAGCTAAATAATTACTTTTAACCAGTGTTGGGCAAGTTGCTTCAAAACTGTAATGCATTATTTATTACTTGTTACCTTCATTTTAAAGTAATTCATTACATTACAATATAACTGATTTTAAAATGTAAGGCATTACACTACTTTTGCATTACTTTAAGTTACTTTCACCAAAACAACTTCAATATGAATCTGGTAATGTGACGCTCAGTGAGCTCATGACATATATGTGGAAAGTGATGTGGTGCCTGAGCTAGGACTGCTGTTAAAAACAGTCATATATAATAACAGTGCTTTAAAATGATTGTTTATTAAATAAAAGCAACAACAATCTGTACTCTCAGCACGCTGCCATCTTAGATTAACTGATCAGGGAGTGAGGTGGTGGGGGCTCCAAGCCTATATTTGCCTTGTTCCCCAAATGCCTTGATACGGCCCTGGATGTGGGCCTGACTTCTGGGGTGATCTGATTCTATCACATGTATAAATATTAAATGCTTATATATTATTGCTTTTCACTGGTAAATTGTGTATTGGGGATAAATCTACCTACTTTTTTATTTTTTTTCTTGGTTTTATGTGAATAATTTCCTGCCCTTTCTCTCTCTAACCTTCCTGCATGCTGCATGTTTTCTCCGTCTTCCAGAAAAAACTGTAAACTAGACTTCCTACTTTCTAACGATCAGCCAAAGGGATCTTCACATGCGCGGCGCTCCAGCAGTAATGAGTTGAAATCACCGGGGCACAGATTATGAACTCAGCTGAGGCAAAGCACGTCAGAAAAGCACAAAATACCAGAGAACATGCGCTGATATGAACGATCGCAAGTGAATTATTTTGTTTTAGTGGAGCGATTTTGTGAATATAACAGCGGCCGCGTGCAGGACGCAGCTGAGCCGTTACCGCTGCGTCCTCTCTGCCCGCAAAGCTGAGTCCATAAATGACGTCATATATGCAGATACTGGATCTTTCTTCGGGTTTCCCGTAATTTGAATTTTTAAGGAACACATTTTGATTCTGGGTTTAAAAATGCATTGTAATTACCGCGTTACTGACAATTGTACCGAGTAAATATTACCATTTTCTTTCCCTGTAATGCCTTACATTACCACATTACAGCAAAAAGCAATGCATTACAGTAATTAATTACTTTTGTACCGCATTACTCCCAACACTGCTTTTAACAGCTTCTAAAGATTGTTCCCCGATTTTGCAGCTATAATTGTTATATTTATAATTACAAAGTAAGAGAGACGTGGTTCACATAATTTAGCTAATATCAGCCCACAATGCCGCAGGCTCGGAGCGAGTGTTGTGTGTGTGACGATGTCACAGACGGGTTCAGGTAGAGTTAGTAATCTCAGCGCTGATGCAAAGTTGGAGGGACACTGAGGAGCAGCTCCTCCTGCTGCAGACCTGACCCGGATCTGAACTGGTTCTGAGTCCGGTTCTCATTAAAACATGTCTGATTCTGGACCCTGAGTTAGTTCTGAGAGCAGTCAGATCTGTGTTATTGCCGTGTTATAAAGCACATGAATTAGACAGTTAGTTTTGTACATGATCTAAGTTACTAACCTCCCACAACAACGTGATGTTATTATTGTTTTCAGGCTAAATCTACCTAAGAAACCAGACTGATGTAGTCCTCCACCAGCCTGCACCGGTCCAGGCTAGAGCCTTGCAGGTGAGTTATTTTTAACCATCTGTCTCTCTTTACCTTGCAGTTTTAACATTATGTCATTTTAGCTTACCGTTACACATGTGTATTGCTGCTCTTAAACACTACGATAATATTTGCAATTTCTTTGTTTTTCCGTAGCCTCCCAGCAGCAGCGTGTCTGACACTGGGACCATGATGGGAACTCCACCCAGAGATTTGTCTTACAGCTAATTTTATTTGTGTCTTTAAATTATAATCTGATTTATGTTCTCATTCCTGGAAAGCACGCTGAATTACTTCTATGCCTGAAATGTGCTATACAAATAAAAGTACCTGCCTAAGGAAAGGTCAAAGGTCGTCCTAGTTAACAGTTCAATTCTGTGTTTAATCTATGGGAAACAAAATCTTGCAAGGGTGATTTCAGCCAACCAGACCCAGAACAGGAAGCAGGTGGACTCTACCGAAGGGTCGGAGGTCACGTGGACCCACCTCTGTTTGCGACTGCGATGGACCCGAAGCGGCTCCTCTGATGGGGTCTTGAAGATGGATCTGAAGATGGGAACGTACTTCTTGAAGATGACGGCTGAAACGGTGAAGTTCCGCTCCAGCTTGTCGGTACTCTGACAGAAGTCCTGTGGCAGCTTGGCCATGTCCTGCCACTTCTTCATCTTACTGAAGAACTCGATGAGGCTGGAAGAACATCAGAACCGCTCAGCAGATCCCGTCACATGACCTCCTAGCAGCCGAGTTATGGACCAAACACACAAACCTGATGTGAGAGCAGCGCAGGACTCTGGTCAGTGACACGTAGTTCCCCTCAGTAGTCCCCTTCCCCACCGTGGGCACCGAAGACCTGCAGGCCACGTAGAGCGCACAGGCCAGCCAGTGCAGCTCGCTGCCCTGCACACACAACGGTTCTGATTACTGCACCAGCTGGTTATGGGTTAGGGGTATAGGTTCGGCATAGTGGAGTCACTAAAATGAATGGAAGTCAAAAGAGGTCCACATAAACATATAAATACAAGTGTGTGTGTGTGTGTGTGTGTGTGTGTGTGTGTGTATTTCAGGAAAACAACTACACATACCGGCCTAGGTCTATCTGCCTGTCTATTTAGTAAGAGAGAGGAGTATTATATTATTGTATGCATC